CAACATAGGATCCACTCTTGCGGGGATTCCTGTACTTGGTCACTTTGCAAACAAGGTACCGGAGTAGCGGTACCACTTGCTCGCACAGCACTCCGGTCGGCGTACCTCGCACCAACTGCACCTCCTTTTCCTACAAAGGCGTGTCCTCTTCTGACTCTATGATTTCTGTCGCTACCAAAATCCTGGGCGACTCTCTAGCACTGGGCCTCGCAGCCTCCTCTGTTGCAGCCTCCACTCCATGCCTTGCTAGCACCTCCAAGGGGGTGGGAGAACCTATCCCAGGTGGACCTGCTACATCCTCCCACTCTGGTTCCGCCGAAGGCAGCTTGTTCGCTCCTTCCGCTGAAGGCACACGTGTCCCCGCATCCCTGCCTTCGCCCGTAGGAATGCTCTCTGGGGTTTCAGCACCAAAGGCGCCTCCTCCTCTGAGGAAGGCGATCCCCTCGCAATTGCAGCTCGCCCCGTGTCCGCGCTGCTGCCCGCTGTGAGATTCAGCTTGCGAGCCTTCTGCTTCGGTCGGGCTTGCTCGTTGGTTGGCCGACGCCTCACTGGAACAACGAGCGATTCTTGCCGTCTCAGTTCTTCCTCTTCACCAAATTTCCGCTTCCGGGGTGCCCGCGCACCTCGTTGTTCTTCAGTCGGCCTGGCAGTGTGATTGCGGGCACTTCGTCGGGGTCCGTATCAACCTCGACATCCTTCACAAACCTCTCCGGATTCATCCGCGACAGCAAGGGAAATTGTATCTTCCCCTCCGCCTTCAGACACCCCATCAACCGATAAAAATTTATCAAGAACGAAGAAAGGTGATTGACCGATCCCCCCTTCTCCTCTCCCGCATGTTGACGCGTGGCCTTCCATAAAATGCGAGCCCAGTGAATTGGCATACCCGCCAGCGCCAGCTCTACAAACCCCACTTGCCAAGCTGACATGTAGGTAGTCCTAAGAGGCTGCAGAATCATGAAAATTGCCATCGCGCCATTTCGCCGTTTTTGATCAACATAGTCACGGGTCTTATACCCGTTCTTGCGCGAGCGGCGATTCTTGAAAAGGGCGTCGAAGGTAGCCTCCTCCTCCTTCGAGAACTGCACACTCTCGCTGTCAAACAAGAGGTCACCTTCCTCTCCCGCACATCTTCCCAAGACTTGCTCCCAGTCACTCACTCGTCATCTCTCCGGGTGCGGTCGATAGCCTCTCGAAGGCTGGTCCTTCTTGCTCAGCCACTCCTTGACCATAGCCGGGCACACCCAATTTCATCCCCACAAGAGCAAATCAAGTTTTACTGCGGTCAATTTGTCTTGAAATGCCCGCAATCCAATTTGCGGCACCCGCAGTAATATCATCCTCAATGCCACGAATTTGCCCATCAAGTTCCTCCCGCTTGCTGCCTGCTTCTGTTGTCACTCCGCGTTGATGGTTCGAGTAATTGCGAAATCGATAATGCGCGAGTGGACTCCTTCTTGGTCCATCAAGAATTGTCAAGTTCGACATCGGTCTTGGCAACGGGTCAATTGAATGTTGTTCCCGCGATGAGGTGTAACGGTCTGCTTCCCACGCGCGACTTCACGCTCCGCCGTCGCGCGGATTCCCACACTTGTACATTTGACATTCATGACAGTGCCGACTTCCGCCGGAGTAAATCTTGTTTCGCATACCGCCGAAGGCACTAGCGACAAAGGCGCTACTAGCGAAGGCATTCACTTCAGCCATTTTCCTTTCCGTCCCTGCTTTCGCCGAAGGCGTCTCTTAGCGACGAAGGCGCTATCCTACCGCCGATGGCGTCTACAGCCGAAGGCATTCTCAACGAAGGCACTAGAAACCAGGCCCGAAAGCCTGAATCGCCCCCACCCGAGACACCTGACTGCCTTCGGAGGAATCTCTTACTCCCTTTCACTGTTATATCTCATTAACTTTCTTTTTAGGTACCAACTCTTATCTACGGTTACTACGGCGGTACTTACTATTCAAAAATGCTATATTTTTGAAAAAAAAACATAAATTGTACCACCACAGGGCTCATCCATAAGATCTTTCCTTTTGAACTAAGCTTACTTGCTCTTGTGCAGAAAGAAATACACAAGAGCAAGTGAGTGTAGTCTGTCTAGCAAGAATCAGCTTTCATCCAAAGGAAAATTCAACTTTTCTTGTACCATACGTATTTTTCTATTTGGTTTGCACGGTCTTGAACTCACTAAGTTCGTCGTTGTCTGAATAAACTATCAAAGTACTATGTCGTAGAAAAAATAAATGCACGAGCCAAGTATTTTGGATCACTTTGTCTTTCCTTTTAGAAAAAACTTGCATATGCCTTAACATACAGTTAGCATAAACTCAAATGATGTCTCAATATGTAATAAATATTTATATATCATTTATCACAATTTGGATCAAACATAGCTTTTGCGTGAAGAACGAGAGTTATACATGGATGCTAGATACATTCATATTTTGGTCAAGATTTAAACAGTGCTTATGATAGCTACTAGCTATTAAAAAAATGATTGAAAACACATGAAGCCATGTTCTTCATACACGACTTCACCCAACAAGGTCTCACCGCCACTTTCCTCAAGTTTTGTGGATAACATAAAGTGACGAGAAGATTGCAATCAAAGTATATTCACCAAGAAAAATGTAGTCATAAGGATAAGAATGTGCACCTCAAAGGCCAGTTACCTCTTCAAATGTTCCACAAAGAATTTTAATCGTCTTCTGAACGAGTTTGTATGATTTTACCTTTCAAGCTAACTTTGATCACAAAGCCACTGCAGAATCATCGACTCGAGGAGATTTTTTACTCGATATCCTATAGCACGCAAGTGACTAAAACGAAATAACTTAGAGCTCGATAGCCGATCATGCCAAACAATTCCGTTATGCGTTGAAAACTTTGTTCACTACTTGTATGTTAAGCCTGAAATTCTCTCCTCTCTCGGATCCTTTTGCCATTTCATAGCAAAGGTTGGTCCATAATGGAAAACAAAAGTCTTTTTGTTAAAACCTTTATGGAAATTGGAGCTTACATGTTCATTGGTACAAATATTGAAATAGACCATGTTCAGAAAATAAAGCTTCATCCATGCAATGGGTTATTACTACATCTTATGTTAAGAAACATTTTCAAGGTGGCCGACCCTTGTCACTAAGGGCTCCTTAGAAAAGGGAGAACGCGAGCTCTGCCCGCCCGGGCCCGCATCCTGACCCCTTCCAGCCAGACACCCTCCCCCGCAGCTCCGACCTCCCGCTTCGACCATGGAGGCCCTCCCGCTTTGGATCGCCCCACTCCCGCTCGACCATCAGGCTCTTTACCTCGCGGCCTCCCTTCCTTGCAGTGAACTTGTACTTCGTTTTTTTTCCTCCCCCATGCCCCAAATCTCCTCTCCTTGCAAAGGGGAGGAGAAATGGAGTAGCATGTTTGGGGCTTCCACTCTTCTTCCCCCCAAAAAAAACTAGATCATTTTCTTTCTAAAGCTTTAGTTTCTAAGGAAATTATTTCTCTTCAATTTTTATATTTAAGTAAATCTATTCATGTATTAGCATGATGGAGAATCACAAGTTAACTCATAATGAAAGATTTCATAAAAGCAAAATTATAAAGTGATAACAAGACGTCTTAATGTGTCTTAATGGGTCTTCAGGCGTCTTAAATCGCGTGATGACAAAGGTTCTTTAATGGGTTGCTTTGAAACACAAAGGGAGCAAGTTTGACCACAATAAAACCATAAAATTTAGAACGGCAGTGTTATCACTTGTAATGCCAATTTTTTGTGCCAGAAGATTGTATGATATCCTGTGATAAAGTGAAGGGGTTTTTTTTATTTAATTTTCGACCAAAGTTCTTCCCAACATCTTGATCTTGGAACATATTGCATTCTTATATGGAGTGTACGACGGTTTTATTATATGCCGACCTAGTGTGCCACTCAATATGATGGACGACCTTTCTTACGATGTTGAAAGAGAAAAGGTCGCGCCCTCAGTGTGTTTAAGACAGGGGTCGGGAGGCGGCCATCCGTAGTCGGGTTGGGGTCGGAGGGAGGAGGTCGGGCTGCGGGTAGAGCTTGCGTTCTTCCTTTTCTGAGGAGCCATTAGTGACGAGGATGGCCGACACATTATCAAGCATCGGTTGAACAGTTCCACTACGAGGAACTATGGTGGTCAGTATGACGTCGACGAGGTTGTGAGAATATGGATTCCCTCGCAGTTGAGTGCGGTTGGATGCCTAGATGTTCTTATAGTCCATCGAAGTCATTGAACCGGAAAGGGGAGGGATCTACTTCAATGACTTCAAGGCTCCACCGGAAAACTAGAAGATGCCCGGTTAGCGTGCCCGGATATACTTTCCATCTTGGGTCGAAAAGAGTAGACTCGCAGCGAAAAGAGAAACTTCCGTGACCGCTCACTGCAGAATGACACCTGCCTGGGGCTATGTATAAGTTTGTGCAGCTAAACCTGTCCAAAAAAGCCTGGTTGATAAAGCACAATAGACTTTGTCAGCCAGGCTGACAGCGCATGTGCCACTCAGTTTTCAATTTACATTTGCTTGCTTGAGTAGATAAACTATTTCAGGAAAATGATTCAATGAAGATAAACTTTGAAATCTTCTTTGTCAGCGTGACGAGATGGAGTGTATCATCACACTGATGCATTCAGTTTGCCTCACGTATCCTATCCTATTGGCTTGCACAACAAAAGTCAACATCTTCTCTGAACTTCTAAGAATATTTTCCAATCACAGAGGATGGAGTACACGCTTTTCGTTTTCGCATGTTGTCTTTACTTAGATCGCTCACACGTTTCAAGGACAAGATCTGATTGAAGACGCTGCATCTTTTTTCCACGCGTATCCATCGATCGGAGGTTCTTTCTTCCCGTGGGTATTGATGCAGCTAGATTTCCAGTCTCCCATTACAACTTTACATCCAGCTCATACACAACTTAGAGAACTTCCCATGCGCACTATCATGCATTCCTTGAAATTCTGCGTACACATCGCACATCTTGGCGTGTTTTGGATTTCAGATTGACTTGCAGCAGAGCTGTGAGTTGTTCGGTCACACAAAACGCTTCCCTCCCTTCGAGTTCTCTGAACGCAAACTCGAACGGAGGTACGCAAATTCGAGTTTGCGTTCCGAGAGGCGCTAAGTCCCGTTTGTCACACGGTATCCAATTTCGCTTTAATATGAAATTCTGCTTTTCTGTTCGTTCTTGGTTTCGAGCAGTCTCTTGCTTCCAATTTGCACCATCTCCTTGGGTTCGTAGTGATTGCTCTTGATCCGATTCTACGAATAGCTTGGAGTAATCTTTGTGTCCCTACTCATGCAGATTGCACGAAGTCTCATGCCCAGCTTGCACTTGGACACGAGTTGTGACACTGCAACAGGAAAATTTGTTTTACTCGAGAGAGCCTTGCGTATCGGGGAGAGGCCTCCTGTCGGCAAGGTTACATTTCTCCTGCGCATGCCAAGCACAATCTCTCTGCGTTCCTAGTGATTGCTCTTGATCCCATTTTGTGAATAGCTTAGATTAATCTTTGTGTCGCTACTCATGCAGATTGCACGAAGTCTGATGCCCAGCACGCAGTTGCACACGAGTTGTGACACTGCGACGGAAAGATCAGAGACTTGCGTATCGAGGAGAGGGACTCCTGTCGACAAGGTTACATTTCTCCTGCGCATGCCAAGCACAATCTCCCTGCGTTCGTAGTGATTGCTCTTGATCCCATTCCCTGAATAACTTGGAGTAATCTTTGTGTCGCTACTTATGCAGATTGCACGAAGTCTCATGCCCACCACGCACTTGCACAGTAGTTGTGACACTCCGACCCGAAGATCAGTTTTGCTCTAGAGAGCTTTGGGATCGAGGAGAGGTCAAGGTTACATTTCTCCCGCGCATGCCAAGCAGCAAACTTTTCTTTCTCTGCCAGAGTGGAGGAGAGAATGGAAGGTGCAGGGCCATCTATCGTCAGTGACCCTGCTCAAGTCGTGACACGGGAGGTGGACTCTGCAGACGAGGAACCGGAGCTTTCCTCCGACCTACAAGACTTTATACGGCGTCTGGAAGGAAAAGGCGAGCCTATAACTTCGCTTACAAATTTCGAGCCGTCATCGCTCTCGACGATCTTAGGTCCGCGAAGCCAAATGCGCCTCCGAGTGCTGAAGGCAATCGGCAACTGCAACACCCTTGAGTATCTCGAATTAAAAGATATTTGTGACGGAGATATATCGACGTTGACGGCTAGCGAGTGGGATGTCGTTTTGAGTGGATTCAGGTGTAGCACCGTACTTCGAGAGATAAGGATTTCATTCTTGAGGTGGAGTTCAGACGAGGAAGTGGAGAGGTTGTGTCTAGAGCTGGGGAGAATTCTGAATACGTCTACTGTAAAATATTTGCAAATCAACAATTGCAGATTGAGTGCAAGATGTTATTTGAATCTCGCATCAGGAATGCGAGGAAAGTCTGAAACTAAACTCGAGTCTTTAGAATTACATGACGCCGCGTGGGAGGACTCGAGTGCGGTGAAGCATGTCGCTGACATGATCAATAGTGCTACTCGATTAGAAATGCTGAGTTTAGGTAGCACATCTCCGATACTCATAACAGTGAGGAGTTTAAGCAACACAGCTCTGAGAGAAATGGGCTGCGACATGAACGAGAAGGTCGTTCGAACCATGTCCCAAGCTATAAACGAGAGCTCGTCTTTGAAAACATTGAGATTAGTGGGCGTGACGAGCGGAGCATCGGCCTTCTTGCAGAAGGCATTTGCCTCGGATAATTGCAACCGGTCGATTGAACATCTTGAGATGAGAGACATGCGTGTACTCGGAAATTGTGTAAGAGATTTTCTCATTTACGAGGAGTTGAGATTGAAGGAGGTGACATTGGTCAATATCTACATGCCTCCCGAGGAATGGCGTGTGGTAGGAGAAGCCATACGGGTCAATACCACAGTAAAAACTATTAAAGTGTCAAGTTTCCATACCCTGAAAGTCTCAAGTTTCCAAATCCTGGAAGGATTAGAAGAGCTTGCGTGTGCTGCTAGCTCTGATAACAAGGATCCAATCATGCAGGTTTCACTCAGTGGCCAATCCGAAAACCTTTCACAGCTCAACATTTTAGGAAAGGTTCTGCGCGGGGAAATCAAATCTATAAAATCTTTCAGATTTTGGTGTAATACCTATTCCACCTATTTTACCAGTCTCCCTTGGAAATCATCTATAACTGATTTCCAAGAGAGACTGGAAAGTATCTTCCCGATGAATCGAACAAGTGGTGATTCTTCAGTCCTGGAGAGTCTATCATTACGTACAGAAGAGCCAATACGTCGTTCTATGGTCTATGGTTCTACAGTGAGTGATGAGGCCAAGATATGGTGGAAGCACCTGTTTTTGTTCTTGCGTGGGAACACAACTCTCACTCACTTGACTTTGGCTAAGTCCGAAGCCTCCGGAGAAAACATCAACGAAGAGGTTTTTAGGGACTTGATGGGGCTCCTGCAAGTAAACTTATCACTCCAGGAGATAGATGTCTCGGACACCTCATGGGCAAGGGATGGAAAGGCGGCGCAGATTCAAGAGGCGCTAAAGCAGAATCAGAAGCGGGCGGAATACAGCTTTTGCTTCTCCAAATTGACATTTGGAGAAGCAAAAGCTGGTAGACTCTTCTTATGCGGCTATCCTAGAGCAGGTAATGTGCTCTACAAGTTATCAAGTTTTTGAACTAGCAATATAAGGTTTTACTTTTAGAATCTAAGATTAAATTATAAATTTTATTTTTGTATCTAGATGTATTTGGATTTGTGTGAAAAATAAAACGGAAATATAAGAAAAGAAAAGAAAAGTCAAACTGTAAAGTATTCAAATTTAAGTAAGATATTTTTAATAATTTCAAATTTAATGTGTAATTTGGATTTCTTTTCACTCTTTTGTATCTACATTGAGTATTTAAAGAATATGATATCAAGTAATTTGTAAAAATATCATAAGTAACAAGTTATATTTGTTGTGGTTATGTGTACTCTATAGGCAAGACTCAACTACGTCAAACCTTGATGAGAATAGTGCAAGACAAAAGCTGGCTCAGAAACGAATGGGACAAATTGAAGTGGAGGACTAGGGGAATTGAAGTCGAGTTCTTGGAAAATAGTGAGAAAAGCCAAATCTCAATTTGGGACTTTGGGGGACAAGAAATGTTTCGTACCCTTCAAAATGTGCTTTTCCCTCAAACCATCAATTTTTGTGTTTTTATATTTGTGTATAGTCCCTTCCGTAGAAAACCACAGTCTTCTTTACAAGCAGAGTTGAAAGAATGGTTAAGTTTCATCTCATCCAGCGCTAGGGTCACAGGACATAATCGTCCACAAGTTCTTGTTGTGATTTCACACAAGGATAAAACCAAAATCACATCTTTGAAGTGGGCTGAATCTATAGTAGACCAACTCGCCAAAAGATTTGCAAAATTTGTGGATCTGCATCCTATTCAAGAGATTTTCCATGTGGATGCTCGGAAGAAGAAGCAAGTTATTTTTCTCAAAGATCACATTTTTGAGATCTTTCAGAAGTTGTTGAGTGAAAAATCCCCACTGGTTCCCCAATTGTGTTCTGAAATCTCTTCCCTCTTGGTTAAGAAAACCAAGGAAAACAGAAGTTTTCCTCTTTGGTCATCCACAAAGTTTTATGAATTCTGCGCCCCAAGCCTGAAAAAATTCATTCCCAATTCTTCTCCTCACGCTGATGATCATTCAAGGATATTAAAATCAATCATATCCTATTTGAATGACGTTGGATCCATTGTATCTATCCAAAACCTTGATTACATTGTTGTGGATCCGAACTGGTTAACCAATACGTTATTGGGTGAGCTTGTAGCTCTGGGCCATTCTGGAAGATCTGGATCTTCTCGCAAAAAAATTCCACGTGACTTATTCAAAAGTTCTAACGGATTTGTGGGTGAGGATGTCTTTGCTAGTTTGATAGAGAAGTTTTTGGGAAGACAACCACATGGAGAGAGAGGTGTGGACAGAGAGATGATTGAAAACATCCTTATCAACTTAGATTTGTGTTTCAAGCTCGAAGATCCTTTAGAGTATTTCATTCCCTCCTTCATACCTGAGCATGCAAGCAAGGAAGAACAGAAGCATCAACAAGGGACGCACGTGAGGCCAATGACTTGGAAAACTAAGGTGGATAATCCAAAGTTTGTCGGCATCCGGGTTCAATGCCAAGATGAATTAACAATGTCATTGACCGCAGCTTTTTTCCCTTGCTTCCAGGTGATTTCATATTTACTGTGAGAAGATTGAATGCGTCAAGTTCCGAATGTAGCTTGTGTAAGATGAGTAGAATGTTCACTTATCATTACTTGAATTCAATTTTTAAATGCACAGCTCAATACTTACCAAATTGTATCCTTGTAGATGTTCATGAGACGCAAGTTGATATCCGAAATGGATGTTTCCAAGGACAATGTGACCTGCTGTCGACATTATCTGGAAATTTTGCTTGATGGGCGCAAGTACTTCGTCGAACAAGGAACGTCCCACAAGTACGTGGATGTACTGATGTTATACTCGAAGTATAAATCAAGGGAGAGGGCTCTGAAATATGTGATGAAGGATGTAGTCCAGGAGTTGATCTCATTTTGCGCATCACCCAAAGGCTGTCCCGGGGTGGCGTTAGTGCTCGGTGTGATCCAACCAATTTGCGTGGAGATGCTGATTCCGAGTCATCTGAGAGGGACAATCCTAATCGAGGATCTTAAATCACAATTCATTCGTAGCATCAATGAGGATGATCTGTTGGAGAAATCGCACTTGGAGAAGGAAGATGAGTTGTTCAACTATGAGCACTCTTGGCCCATGATTAAAGGGCACACAACAGAATGTACATTCGAAAGAGCTAGGGAGTTGCTGTCGGAGAGCGATATGGAAGCGGTTGTGAAGGAGATCCAACAGAAGCGAATGCAGCAATTGGAGTTAATGCAGCAATTGGAGTTAATGCAGCAATGCGGTATCCAACAATTGAAGTCATTGAAGCAAGGTATAAGCAGCGTGAACAATGATTTGGTTTTGTCTCATCCTGATATGAAAGACTCCAATCAATCTTCATCCAGGTGGTTAAGTCAGGAGAGCACAATTGTAGAAGACCGTTCAACCCAAGTTATTTTGTCCAGGTTAGACCAGATAGATAGATACCTAGTTCAAAGGTTTGATGGTGTTGATGAGAGGTTAGGATCAGTGGTGAGCATTGGGCAGAGATTGGAAATTAAGGTGGGACAGATAATCTCGTTGCAACAAGAACTTCAGTCAACATTGAGTGATTTCAACTCTAAAGTGGATAGTATGATTCAGTATTCTGAATCGCTTAAGCAGGCAAGAACTCCCAAGCGACCTTACGTTACGACCGATGTTGGCGTTTTATATAAGTTTAGTGCAGTCATGCATTTGGGGACAACCGTTAGGTTACACTTGATGTGTGAGTCTATTACAGAACCTGAGTTTCACATGGTCAAAGATCAAGAAGGTTTGAAGATACGCTTGGATTGGGAGAACTGCAAGTGGATTCGGAGAACTGTTGAAATTATGTATAAAGTCATGTATTTGGGTGCAAAGGCTGGACTGGCTAAGTTCGTCCAATTGGGCCAAGCAATTCCTGACTGGGCAGATTTAACATCAGATATTGTTAAACTAGTTAGTATTAGCGATGAAGATCGTAGGGCAATTCTAAAAGGTGAGGACAGCAAGGAGCTGCAAGAAGCATGGTTGAGGATTCAGCACACTCTTGCGCCTCATCTTCAAAATCGCTATTCCGAACTCTTCAGGTTGTATCCGGTGAGATACGATAAAGCTGGGCATGCATGGGTGTGCGAGGAGTGCATGAAAAATGGCCTTAGTTCTAGAGTTTTGACTTGTTAGGATTTCGAAGAGGTCAGAATTCCATTATGCAAGTGACAAGCATATGTTTAGACCCTCATGCAATATACAACTCTGCAAAACCTTCCTTACACAAGTCTTTTATAATCTTTGCCATGATGTAAATTCCACAGTTATGTTTCTGAAATGGATGAGTGTTCGGCTAAACTCTGAAGATGACTTTTTTAGGATAGAGTGATCAAATTGTCTTGTTGCAAGTCTCATTTTGAAATTGTTTTGTTGATGAAATCCCTTCACTTGACACGCGCGGATGTTCACCTTGAACTTCCACTCATATCCCTGATTCTTCTGTTGTTGCACGATGAAGGTCTAACAACTTTATGATGGACCGGAATTCAAGCTACGATGTGTTGTCATTTTCAGCTAGTATCAGTGTTCAAGCAAGAGAGCAATTTAAACTAAAGAGAATGCTTCTCCTAAATTTCCTGCACGACGAAGCTCAGAAATTCATAGTTTTTATGAATTTCTGAAGATATATTCATGTGAATATCCTTCTGGTGTTTCTTGTATGACCAGAAGATTTCACAAGATTCCTTAGGAGGCCTAATTCCAATTCTTACCGGTATGCATCTTACCGGTAAAACAGAACTTCTGCACCAATTTCTCCTATGATATTCAATCTCGCATCTGGTCATCCATAATTGGATTCCATTTGTGAAATTGTTGATGTGTAATCAGAGTTTTTCGTTCCATATTCTTCGTGCTATACCCCAATCACATGCTTTTTGCTTGCCGGGATCTCAGCAGATTTTAAGTCGCCAGCACGCTGAGGAGTGTCAGGTGTATAAATGTGGAAGTTTGGTAACACAAATGCTTTTGCACCTGGACTGCGTGTGGATGTTCAGTTACAGAGACTCTTAATTTTCAATCATATTGTACAGTCGATTGTACAATCATATTGTACGATAGACCAAGCAGTCTATCGTTTCTGTAATTGTCCTCAAGAATTTGCAGCTTCGTCCCACCTTGCCCTCGAATTTGCATTTGTTCTGTACCACTCCTTCAGGGAATTGACCGTCTATGACGGCTGATGAATCACAGGAAGAATTAGCAAGAGGTCTGAGGCTAGAGCTGAGACCTAATTACATACAAATCCAAGACTATAATGAAGTAGCGTGAGAGCAATTCTGATGATTATTGATTTCAAGTGGAGTGAAAAGCTAAGTTGTAATTTCTAAGGCATACAGTTGGAACCTAGAGAATAAGATTTGTGAATGTATTCATGACCAAATCATAGTACTTTCAATTCTGGGCACCGAACCATTCTCAAGCAGTATAAGGTGGACAGCTACATAAGTTCTTTACATCTGTACAGAATCAGCTGTGTGGATGTACAAAGTACAGGAACCTCTGAGCCTCCCGAGAGTGGTATATCTGCCAGGATGGAGGTCCTTCTCGAGATTAGGAATGGTTGGGATGATGGAGGTACGATAAACCTCCAAAATCTGAAACAATTGGCACCAAACATACTGACGGCTTCGCCAATGAATGCAAGTTACAAGCGAGTACACACACATGAGGACTCAACTGGACTGAGCTACTGACCTCGGCTAGGCCAGACTAAACTGGATGAGACGTTTTCTTACAGATTGATAACATGACTTGGGAGTTAAGAGAGTGAGCAGACCCTGGGATAATTGCTGAAATTGGTTTTGAGAATGTGCTCGACGTTGAGAGGGTCCACTGTGAAAGTATTGTTCATAGTAATCATTGGCACGAAGAACGTCAGGCACCCTTTCTTATGGTAATCATGGAACCAGTCGTTTATTCTATCGAAATTTCGGGCTCGCTCGATTATATATCCGATAAAGATCCATTTCTTTGGACGTTTATGTTTTAGCTGCACGACTGTTTTGGACGAGTGACGGTGCACCCATATGATCCAAGTCAGGAGGGTCATCACCGCTACGATAGCCGCTGGCATTCTATTGATTTAATACTCTCTTGTCTATTCTTCAATATACTTCGCAACTTCCGGTCTGACGAACCTTATCTTGCTCGATGAAGCAAAGAGATCAGGAACAGTAGCACCCGGCGCATGCACAGCTCCATCCTCTACGGATCACAGCCCGAGGGCTGGACTAGCTCTTCTTCCTGCTCGTCTGGCTCTCCCTTCGGATGTTGTTTTCTCCATTCTTACTCCCTCCTTCACTGCTGTAGAAATCCCAACGCTAAACGCAAGAATTGTGCTTAGATCTCTCGCTCGTATTGTGTGTGCGCTCGGTTTGATGCAGACCCAAGATGAAAGCTCTCAATGTGGTTGTAATGTGTGGAACCTTGGAATTTCTACTCAATCCCTGTGCGTTCCTTGTATTCCAGCCTCATAATCACTTCAACTTACGAACAGCTAGAACGGGCTTAGACCAACTAATCACATTGTCTTATGTTTGGTAACAATTATGAAGTTCGTTAGTGAACTAGACGGTATGCAGCCATTGTGAGGAGAGCGTGGATTGGTCTGGCTCCATCCCTACAGACATAGTAGAGCAGGAAGCATGAAAGTTGATTATGTAATGGGGCGTGTATTCACGTTGATGACATCTACAAACAGATGATGTCTGAGAGCATCAACGCTCTCATTGTCAGATGACTGTGTCTCCTCTCTTTATCCGTTTTCTACTGCAAGTCTATGTTTATGTTGAAAAATGTTTTTCCTGTCAGAGATTTAAGGTCGCCATGCACTGCTTCTATAATTGAGAACAAAAGATGCACATAAATCGAAACTCCTCCTCCGATATCTGTATTACGATTGAGCTTTCTGAAATCCACTCAGCTCTCAATGGAGACGACGTTTGCTCTTTCCCAGCCTCAAGCTACTCGCAACGACTGATAACAAGTTACCACCACGATGCCCTACCAGGGATTCGAGTGTTTCTTGAAGGTGGTTGTACCAATTTATCCTAACTTAAAATCTCATCTACAGTATATCAGACAGGACTATGCCAGCGTAGAAGCATTTACAATGCGCTGTATTCCGAAACACGATTCCCACTACACTCTCTGTCATCCTCACGGCAGGGAGGGATGGAGTGCCCTCCTATGAAATTCTCATCCCTGCCCCTCCCTAATCTGCCTTCGATAATCGTCCATTGATGTCCATGTGCTGAATGTACTGAGTTTACTATATGTCCACCACTTCAGCAAAGATGAAACTCGGAGTCGCTGGACGGCCGCAGCTATTCGTAGAGGAAGTCTGGGAAGGAAGCTGACCGTCAACGTTTCACCGGGGGTCGTTGAATTTTACTAGATTTCAGAGGATATTTTACAGTTTACGGTGTTTATCAAATTGCCAAAATCTTCCGTATTGCGGCTGATTCACCAGTTACCTTCTTGTCGTACTGTTTCTAATCAGTATTCTAAACAGTTACAAGTCGGGTTAGATTGTGGTTATAACTTCGTCTTTGTCATTCCACCTCGTAAATCGCCATTACCACAACTGGAATGTCGTCTCAGTGTTGTTAAATTTGTCATCGTTTTCAAATAGTTCAAAGGTTCAGTTTGTGCATTACAAGCCTTGGGCGGTAGTCTGCTTATATATGTACACTATAATTTCAGGAGATTATCTGGAGTCAAGAGTGTTCGGCTAACTGAGGTGAGAATTACCGCAGTTACTTAGAAGTAACATTTAATTACAAGGTAGTAAGTAGTTCATCAATTACTATTTTCATCTATCCTATCCTGTCATGCACTAATGACATCCTGCACCAGTATGTCATCGTCATGCTTCCTAAACTTTATTATGTCTAGTATCTATCTTATAATTTGTTAAATCTGGTTCGACGACAGAGTCTCGTCTGCAATAGAGTCTGCCACAGTATCAGTTAATCCTCGGCCCAAGTAAAACTGAAAGTCCTCTGAAATTGCCAGTCCTTTCCCGAGAAACGAGTTGAAGATATTGTAAAATCGTATTTAAACCAGGCTCTTGCTCGCTTGCCTATGGAGGCACGGAGCTTGCATGGTACAATTTTATCATAAATAGATGATATTTTTATAGCCGGGATGGTTTTCGTTTCTGATTGAGGTCCTCCCATTTCGAAGCATTATCATTCCCTTTGCAACAAATCGTTGGCATTTTAGGCCCTAAAATCACCTCCTTGTCTATCCGGCAATGGGGTTTAAAGCCAGTGAAAACTCCGTTCTCACCGGTGACGACCAAATCCATGGGACTGATGACGCCCCAATCCTTCTATCACCCACTCCTTCGTAAAACTTACAAATTGCCGGCAGTCTTACCATATATCAATCCATGACTCAACTTACCTAGTTAATCAGACTTAAAGAAGATTTTATAAAAATTCCACACTCACAACTTATTTTCTTACCATCACAATCCCACACTTGGTCCCATGTAAAACTACCAGCAACACTCTTAGATAAAATTTTACCAAGACTCAAATACACTAGGTGTGCTTTTCTATACCGATTTTACAATGAATCTAGAGCTTATGACTAAATTGTACTCTCTTTTTCACGCAAAATGTCAAACTATAATCATTAGTGAAATCAATGTCTAGATATTTATAACTCTTTACTTCTGTTATGTATCTACTCAAATCGTGATGTTGTTACTTAAACGTGAAATGAAATGTTAAGTAATTTACTTTTGACAAATGTATTTATATTTATAACTTTACAAGAATTGAACCGTGTATAAACTTGCATAATCTTCTTGTATTGCATCTTGGCCGTGTTATCTTTTGAACACTTAACTGCAATCTGCAGTTACATTATGAAAAAAAAAACTTCACAACCAAGATTGTGAGCCGAGTATCTCTTGTAAAGCAACAAAATTTTAATACAACTTTAAGTCAACTTGAACAAACGTGTTTCTATTGTATATGTTGATTCTTAACTTCTTTGATTTCATGTCAGTGACCATGAACACTAAGCTCATGAAACTCAAGTGCAGAGATTCCTCGCCAGAGTCGAACACAATACACTTGTGACGCGACAGAGGAAAGGAGTTTACATTGTGTCATTGTATCACTTCGATCGAGAAGGAAAGCTCACTTGTACGCCACACAAACTCGCCAAAGCACTGACCAAAATCCTCACCATGCCCTCGAAAGACCAGTGCAAGCTAGTAGAGGAGATTTGTCCACACTCATCGCCCGGAGAAAGGACCGGCCTGTCACGTGAATCTTCACCGCTTATTACATGCGAAGAATTGCCCAAACGAGAAGACCAACGCTCACCATAGACGCACGCATCAGAAAGTATGGTAGAAATCGAGGATATGAGAATAGACTCGATGACAGCGAGAATGAAAGGAATTAATTATTCCGGGCTGGAACATCCGGAGGTAAAACGCAGACGGACGGCCAGACGGACGGACGGGCGGACGGACGCATTTTGGGTGGATCAGGCCGAGGATATGAGAATAGACTCGATGACAGCGAGAACGAAAAGGAATTAATTATCCCGGGCCGGAACATCCGGAGACAAAGCGCAGACGGACGGACGGATTTTGGGTGGATCGGGTAGCCGCTGGAGGAAGAGCTCCCGACATGGGAAGGGGCACTAAACCCCGCAGGCGTCTTCGTTCGCAAGGACCGGGTGGGACTGGATGACGGTGCTTAAACCTTGCCCCGGGGGTGTGAAGGTTCGGGACGGTGCGGGTTCCGTGAGCTGGGCGGACATTCATTGTGGGGAGCTATGCAAGCGACGATTTGTCGAGAGATGTGAGCGTCGTTGAGTCTAGCGTGGGCGGGGAAGAATCAGAAAGACGACGACGACGATGACAGCTGCTGCTGCTGCCATGGCCACGGTGCCGGTGTCGTCTCAGCATTTGGGATTTCGTTCGAGCCATTTCGTCGCTTTGCCTGGTGCTTGCCTGCCTCTGCCTCTGCCTCTGCCTCTGCGCTTGCGTCGTCGTCAGCAGCAGCAGCGCTCGGTCTCTCTGTCGGTCTCCGTCAGAGCCGTGCACGACGGCGCCTCCTCCTCCTCCTCTCAGGTATGGCTATGGCTGCTCGGAATTCCTGGCCAGAATGCTGTGACGTTTGTGGCGAGAATCATGTCCGTTTTAAATTTTGTCGACCCGGAGTGTGCACGACCTCTGGTTGCTAAAACTAAAGGTCCAAATCTCGGGAGTTCGTCTTGTGTTTGCCCTTGTGTTCGTCGAGTTGTTCCGTTTTCTCGGGGCTTGAGGTCTCGCCAGTTGCGAGGTAGATTTGTTAATTTCATGGGCTAGTTATCGCGTGAATTCTAGCAAAAGGGTCAAGCCATTCTCGCCTGTGACAATTTGCTCTTGCTTGGTTGGTCGCGACATGCCACTCCTGGATAGAATTCAAGAGATGTGTTACTCGAATACTTATCCGTCCACTGTCATACTGAAATGCTGGGCGGATGAGCAAGGAGTTCAGCTGGCTTGAAATTGGTCGCCTGACTCCAGAAAGACCGTCGGTGTTGTGTGAAGTTTTGCAGGTCGCGCTTAGAAAACATTATCTCTGTGGTCGCAAGACATCAGGCTACACACTTGGTGGTGCGACCTGGATCACCAAGACAAAGAGGTATCAAGCGATGAATGTCTGTCATCTCGTATCTCTGAAATGGGTCATGTCGTAGGTCTTGTTTTCCCTCGAGGCAGGTATTGAGGACATCTGTCTTCAGCGTGGTCAGCAATGCAAGCAAGACAAAATCTGCAAATTGCTCTCATCAAACTAATCAAACTGGTGGCGGTCAATTGCTGACAAATTGTGGGGTTTGTCATGTCGTGCTATAAGACAGGGGCGGTCGACTTGCCCGTGCCGTATACGAGGATGATAATGGTCTTCCAGATGACGCTATCTCCGATGGTCCTCTTGAAGAACCCGAGTACTTCAGCTACAATGATCCCAACACAGGCGAACCTGCTCCTACGTATGGAATTCGAACGCCTCTGCCGGACAGGCGCTTTTGGAATGAGGACATGGTCGACATTACCAGATCTACTCAAGCGACAACTCCCTTTGATTCGTCACGGATCGATTTTAGTGAACCCTCGGAGAAGAGGAAAATGTCAGGGGGCAGGAGGAGAAAGAACGACCTACCACCAACGGAAGCACAGATTGCTCGTGCTAAGGAAGAAGAAGCTGAGAATGAAGCCTTATTACAGAGCTTGAAGGAAAAATTCAGTTCCGATGAGGAGGATGAGCAGACAGAGATTAGCTACGTCGACTCCGACGACGAGGAAGAGGAAGAAGAGGACGAAGATGGAGAAGAGGAAGAAGAAGATGAAGATGGAGAAGGAGAGACGACTTCTACAGTTTTGGATGTGGCTGTCGAAAGCCCCGACGAGTCCACCTTAGCTCTTGCTACAATTGACAACGGCGAGGTAGATCTGACCAAAGATTCAAAGCCCTTAACAAACGATGAACTGTGGTGGAATTGGCGCAAACCTCCACCGGATCAGAAACCTTGGAGTGCCTGGCAAAAGCGAGCAGGAGACTGTGATACTGTAAGTCCTCTCTTCCATACCGGACGATGTCAGTTAGAAGCCGGAGTTAAGGCCTCGATGAAATGGGTTGTTCTTCATGATGCACTGTAGCTTGTTGGGTTTCATGCTCTTTCTTTACTCTACAGGAGATAGGAAAAGGGTTGTGGAATAATCAGCAGCGATTCTGACCATGTGCCAGAGGTCGACGAGCGCTATATCTGTACATTATCCTCCGTTTATACGAACTGGAAATCGCCGTGGTCTTTCAGTGTTTTTGATTGTAAGTCTTGAGTTGCAGGTCATGGCAGCTGCTATGGCAGAGACGGGGCAGATTGAGCTTTTTGGAGAGAAACCTACAATTGCCGAGGCGACTCTTGCACGTGCTCGAAAACGAGTTTTCTATGCTGAGAGGTGCACAAGTTCTTGCACAGTTGTTGGCTCTACCAATGCTAAGTTTCTCAGAGAATCTGCTAAAACTTTCAATTTGATATTCTACCTCTACTACTCGACTAACAGTATCGGATGAAAAATATTTCTGGTAGGATGGAGGCCGAGGAGGCCAGGAAGAAGGAAATTGGAGCCATGGCATACTACAAGGAGTGGGTAAAAAACTATAATGAGGAGACATCTAAGGAAGCCGTCCAACGGCGCTTTGAAGAAACAGGAGAGGAGGAAGGTGTGCAGCTTCTTGACATGTTTCAGCATCAGACCAGAGAGGAGTATCGCGTAATGCAAGGAACGGATATCCGAATTAGACGCGATCCTCTGACAATGCGTATGAGAGAAGACCAAATCAAGCAAGGTAACTACATTTCGTGAATATATCTCTGTACCGTTGTGTAGTTCTTTTGTGCACGGGATACATGGACAGTGAAGGGTCAGAGACACTTCCGAGTCTACGTCGATACCTACACCTCTTAGTGCTGAAGTTCCGTTTGTGGCCCTCGTTCTCTAGGTTTCATAAGCTGACAGTTCCATCCTCTCGCAACCTCCATCTTGAAGCCTGTAGAAGCAGCCCTTAACAAGCGTCCTCCAAAGCTGAGCGTCATTGTGCTTTGTGTCAAAAAACTGCTGAAACCTCTGATTCACAGAGGATGCAGTTATTCTTAGGCTTCCTACGCCGAATGATATGCATTACGCTTTTTCGACTGTGTGCTTTACGCTCGGTGGTCAGTGCAGAGTCGATCCTTGTGATTACACGCGTGTCTCTGCACTTCTATCACTAAGCATTTATAGTTCGTCGAAGAGAATGAAGCTTTTAGATGACATACTATTGCAGAGCTGCGAATCAGGTAGGTCTTTGCGGACTAGTATGTTCCAACTCTACTGCAAGTTAAGGAGGGTATGCTGACGGGCGATTTGATGTGACATATCATTTGTGCAGTTTGGGGAGGTGATCCTGTGTACCCGACGGTAAACTACGAGCAGGATCCTGATTCAATAGCCGATTACAGGAACCCGAACATGCATGAGCCGATACCGGACATCGTAGAAATGTTACGGGAGGTAATCTTGCTGAGACGTCTCCTCGGATATACCAACTCTGCCTTGTGATGCCTGAATGGAAGCGAGGACAGAATGCACACTCTTAGTACTCGCTGTGATTGAAGCTCACCTAACGTTGGCACATGTTTCCATGGATTCAGTATCTAGAGCGATGACCAGTTGAAAGCATGGTTTGTCTGATGTTGGATTGGGATTGAAAGCGAATCATGGGCTTCCCCTAACACCTGCAACTCTTTTGGAAGTCATAGATTCTGATCTGTTGCCGGGTTTTCTCATGCGATGGTTACGCAGTCTGGGCGCTTGATAACTCAAGAAGAAGTGAAGCGACTGCAAGATTTGGAGAAGGCTCAGGAGTTGGAGGTAAGACGAAGTTTCAACCCTGTGGCGATTCTTCTGAAGCAGTGTGATAGCACTTTATTTTGCTCTGTTGAGGCTAACGGAATAATGTCGCAAAGTTCCGTTTGCTGCCCTTGGACAGAGGCAGCCGATTCAAGTGAAGTTCTTGGCGCCTCGGGTGGACGTAAAGAAGCACCGTGATTTGAGAAATTCACCCAACTGTCCGTTGGGTGAATGGCTTCGCACGTTCTAACTCGCATGCTTCTTGCTTTCTTCTGCAGTTTGCTGAGGATGACATGCTATCTGGGGCTGTCGACATTGGAGACGACGAAGAGGTTTGAACCCTCTTTTCCATCCCATCGTACGGTGTTGGAATGGTGTTCGTATGCAATCACCTTGTGCACAACAAGCGCTTGAAGATGTGCAAAGCACTTCCCTCGTGCATTGTTTGACAAACCGAGGCCTTAGGACATTACGTCGGCAAGGTACCATCTTTTTTGAGGGCTCGCTAACTCTTTCGTTTTTCCCTCTTGTCTTCACAGGGTAATGATGAGGAAGACGATGATGAGGACGGAGAAGATGAACTACCGGAGGTTCCAGTTGTTGCTACCAAGTCCAGCCAGCCGAAATCGAGTGAACCCATCGAGGCGGCGTTTAGGCTTGACGAGGAGGACGTGCCGAAGGTCGAGTTACTCGAAGACGAGGACGAGGAGAGTGAGTGACGTAGTTTTGTAGCAGAGCATTTGATCCGGAGCCCTTTAGTTCGTCATAGCTGAGGTAAGGGGAAAAAAGATATTAGGCAATGTAGATCCAAGATGACAGGGTTGATATTATGACCCCCAAAGAGCCAAACAAATCTGTACGTGGACGATGTGCGTCAGATTTATTATTATGAATCGAAAGAAAGAATGTTCGACCTTCATGTCTTTCGAGAGTTATCTCGCCATCCATGTGTTGGTCATCGATCGCCTCAGAGGCTATGATTGCTTTTCGGTACGTATCGTCCACAAGGTATGAGCTCAGGCAGAGCTGAAATGTTTTAAAATGTTGGAAACCTGGTTGCCACCAGATCGTCGCTGCAGCTATAGAACCTCCAAATCGACGTAGCTACACACGGAACTCATGAGCTAACTACCATCTCGAATCGGGGAATGCCCAAGAGAAAAGCTGCCAAAACCCTACCGGAGGGGCTAGATGTGCAGCGGGTCTCAGGCCTTCGGCCGCCCGAAGCTGTTGACTCCAACCACACTCCTGACGGTCAGCTTCGATCGTGTCGATCGAAAACCATTCACCAGTGTCCAGAATAATCATCCTGTCCCAGCGTGCCGATCACATTCGTGTTTAGATGACACACAAGGGGAAAAGTGCATCAGGGGCTGGTGGAAGTTTGACAGTCGGAGGCATCAGTAAAGGAGAAGATGAGACACAGAGTCGAGATGAAAACTGTTGTGAGTGGAAGAATTGCAGGAGCCTTGATGACTACACTCGAAATGTATGGGGATGGAGGATGCTGAATCGACGACATTAAGGCCCATTCCCGAGGGTGCGATGGGAACTGAAAGGTCTGCACGACCGGATTTCTGCCCTGCCCCGCACTTGATTCGGATGCCCGCTCTCACTCACTCGTCTCTCGATTTGCCAGTCGGTCCTCACAAGGACTCCCACATGAGCATAGCCTGCATCGCCAGTGCATCGCCAGTGTGCCTACGGTAGAGCAGCACCTCGGGGCTGCTCACAAGTGCTGCAGATCCACCAGAACCATCACCAAATTTATCACCCGCTGAGGGAAAAGAAATCGGTCAACTGTACGAACACGGTGATACACCTACAACTGGGCGGATCGGCGAGTCTCGAGGCCAACTCGCGTTGCAGGAATTTATAGCTCTTGCACTTTAGTGGCTTGAACAGTTTGTGTCGCACTTTCGGTGCAACGAGGCCGGTCGATGTCACTGTTATGTCTCGGGTCGCATCTCGGAACGCTTTTATGACATTTGATTGTAAAGTGGCTTTACAGCGATGGCAACTGATCCATTTCTCAAGGATGTCGGATTCGACTCTCGTTCGCTACTGTAATGGACTTAGCTCCAGGCTGCGAAGGAGCAGTGGCAGTCCATTACAGTAGCGTGGAGATGTGGTTCGTGAATTACGAATCGAGGATCGAGCTCGGGCGATGAAAAGGTGATGGGGCTGAGCCGAGTGGCATGAGCTCGGAGCTCCGATGATGATGATCATCGTCTTCGAGTTAATGATTCCCGATTTGCACGAAGGACATCGCGTCCTTGGTGTGGCCGGGTTGTTCCAATTCCCCAGCGCACAAGGACGGTACGAGCAGCACAATATTCGTCCTTCGCTCGCTCGCACGCTCGCTACCAGCTGCCGATACTGATCGACATCTTCGTCGTCTGCTCAGCTAAGAGGCCCATCGCCTCATGCAAAGGCAAGCGAAGTCCAGATTTTCACCAGCGGAAGATTCCCGGGGCCCGCCACCATCTCTGAGAGACGCGACGAGCGCAGCGATCGATCAGATCGATAGCAGATCGATAGAAAACTCATTCTCCGCGGATCGATCACCTCGTCCACGACGAGGACGCAAGGACGGCGGGGCCAACCCGGACAGCCCCCTCTCCTACCGTTAGTCTCTAGCCCCTAGCCCCTAGCCCCTAGCCCCTGAGCAGGGGGGGCTGCCGTGGTGGTGGATCCAGTTGGCCTACTCAACCATCCATCGCTCTCTCCGTCCGTCCATCCGTCCGTCTGTCCGTCCGCCTTTCTGTTGTTACTTTCTGTTGGACCCTCGACGCACACTTGGGCAGAAGAGGGAAGCGAGTTTTCTGCCACGTGCTTGTGGCGAGCTTCCCTTCGTTCCCATCTCTCCCGGTTGCCGCCGGTCCCGTCCCCTGGCACTGTAACGGACAGGTTCGACGATGGACGCGTTTTGAGGGATGAGAGACGCCGCGGGACAACTACCGCTAGCACTCGGGCTGGAGTATGGGGCTGGGGGGAGGAGGGGGGGGTGGGGGGAGAAAGTAAGAGAGTGACTGGGGGAAGTGTGGGGGCAGAGTCTGGGGAAGGGCCGAGAGGGGGGAGTAACCGCCAACCGGCGAGGATCTTGCAAACGACCAGTCGGCCACAGGGATTCGAGCATCGGAGCCGCCCCTTGCTCTTCTCGGGCCATCCGGCCGTTAACGTGCGCGAATCGGAAGGCCTGCAGGCGGCCAAGAAATCGTCGAGGCCCCTCCTTCCCCTCCCTTGCCCCTGATCGTCCCACTTCCTCCACCGCCACCAACCAACCGAACGCCGCGATTCCTTCGGGGTTCCACCTGACGGCAACTGATCGGGACGTGATCGCACGCACCGTCACGCACTGCCACTCTGCCCCCGGGCGCTATCTTCTTCCGGCGTCATGTCGCGGCCGCGCCGCGGCCCCCCCCCCCCCCCCCCCCCTCCGCAGATAGAGCCCCATCGAGCCATGGCACATCGGAAAAGTGCGTAACGGATCATCATCCCCCTTGATTCCCCTTGTGCATCATCATCGAATCTACTGCAAACCCCAACCCCAACCCCCACACTTTATCCCTCCTCTCCCCTCCCCCTCGCCCCCACACGAACTACGTACATGCAACATGCCAATTCCATCCCCGTTCGGCCAAAGGCAGATCGCGGCAGCAGCCACACGGTAGCACGCGGAGACCCGTCCGTCCCGTTACGTTTGTGCCCCTGCCCCTGCCCCCGAGAGAGCTCCTGTACCGGATCGATCGATTGTGCCTCGCTGTGAGAAGAGTCGTCTTCCCCTTGACCTGCGGACCCGACGGGAACCGGAGGCACTCGCTCGCTCGCTCTTTCTTCTCGTCGTCGTGGTGCTAGTCGTCCGAGCCCCGACCTGACCTGGTACGCAACGGTGGACCCCGTGACCGTTCGGCCGACCCCCATCCTGCCCCCGTTTGCTTTTCTTGGGGCCCGCCTCTGGAACAACAACGTCGTCGTCGTCGTCGTCGGACGGAGCCCCCTTGCGTCGTCGTCCCCATTCTTACCCCCACTACGGAGCTTCGGCCAGCTCCTGCGCTTCTCTTGCATGGACCTTCATCATCACCCAGCCTCCGCAATCCACTCTCTCTCTCTCTCTCTTTCTCGAGCGAGCGAGCGCGGCGGAATCAGACAGGCAGGCAGACAGACAGAAAGACATGGCACCCGATCCTCGTTGCCTTAAAAAGCTCGCAGCCATCTTTGCTGCTGAGTCCCAGAACTGACGGGGCGGCCTGATCGATCGGTCGGTCTCGTGCATCAGCTTCTTCCGTTTGCGGTTCCGCCATCTCTCCGGCAGGCTAGCATGCATGTGCAAGCATCGGTAGACTGTCGGACCGACACCGCCAGCAGCACCACCTGGAGCCTGGAACCTGGGCTGGACGAAAAGCAAAAGGAGAAGGACGCAGAAGAAGAAGCAGCAGCACAAGGAAGAGCGACGCTAGCATCGACGACAGGCGCAGCAGCAGGAGCGTAATTTCTGCTTCTGCCTCGTTCAGTAGTACGGGGCCCGGCCCGGCCCTTCTCTCTCACGTGCTTCCCCCGACGACGCTCTTGCTCTGCTGGACACATTCAGCCGACGTCAGTGTGCCCAGCCGCTGCGTCACTCCTCCTCCGACATGCACTTGTCCATTGCGCTCGCTCTCCTCGAGCCTCGTGTCGCCGGTCCAGAGTTCCACTCACGAATGGGCCGCAGCACCAGCAGCACCAGCAGCAGCGAAGTCACAATTGTAACTCGTTGCTGATTGCATCGAATGTTTCCGACTGTCACCGATTCTCGTCGAAGCTCGCTGGCTGGCTGACTTGGCTGGCTGGGCTGGGCTGGGCTGAGTCTCTCTCTCGCTCTCTCTTGAGCATCCATCCTCCAGCAGCATCCTCCTTACTTCTATCCAGCATTGTACTCCTCGTCCAACAATTACCCCTACGGTTGTACTGCCAGCATCCACACACAAGTGGCGCTGCCATAGCCTTGGGCCTAGGCCTCCAGATTAGCTGGGTGCTGGTTGTCTGCCATTCTATGACTCTAGTAGGAGCTACGAGCTCAAGCACACGATTCCAGCGTACGATAATCAGGAAGCGAGCGGAAACTCCTCCGCGGCAGCCATGTTAACAGATGAGCGTAATTTCCAAGAAGAATACGCAATTCCCGAGAAGTTCTGGGCCTTGTCGGAGCGAAGAGCACTTATCGTCTGATGCTCGCAGAGCGCGCAGCACGTCGTAATTGAACACCCCAATCTCCTCGGTTCCGCCTTTCCCAATTTTCAGAAGAACATCAACAGGAAGCACGATGTGCGTGCGCTACTTTAGTCGAAGAAGATGTCAAAGCTCGAAGAAGACCTTTAGAAAAAAACTGCGACCATCGCCCGAATGTCACAAGCTTCTGTCCAAGTCCAAGCCGTCGGGCGGCTCACGAGACCATGCACGCCTGCCCGCTTGCGCTCCAGAGGCCGTGGACTTGTTTTGCCCCGAGTCGCTCCCCATGTTAGATCCACAGAGCTGTCAGGTCTCTTCCGATGCTGCTGCTGCAGCAGTCGAGCCGTCTGATCTTCCCACGGATGAACTTCGGCTCGTTGCACCGATGACAACACCCAGCAGCAGCAGCAGCAGCGACCCAGGAGCTGCATTTAATGCAAAATCGCCTCCCGGCTGCAATGTCAAAGATGGCGTGTGGCATGACATCGACGGCATGCCTCAGATGCTTCCGAGCTTGCGCCCTCGCGCTGCAGATCCTCGACATGGGTTGGCCGACGGCGGTGGCTGGCATAATTTCTGCCCCGATCCTGGCTCGCAGCCCGGACTCGGCGCCGTCAAACGACGAGGCTGGCATCTCGAGACAGCCGCATCGTTTATCTCTTCGGGGAACTCTCGTCAGTCCAATTATTTGCCCTGTGAAAGATGGCCCGTCCGAGCACGTGCACCGTTGTCTCTTCCGTCTACGAGGACAGCTTGCCACGATCGCCGGCAGCCGACTAAGCCGTCGAGCTCGTTCAGAATCAATGGGACCATGCGTTTACCTGATGATCATGACTTCTCATGTCCGTCGAAATTCGGTGAGGCCATGGGCATTCTGCTCGAGAAAGAGACTGCTTCTTGCTTCCAGCTCTCGAAACCTTACATCGACAGGCTCACGGAGAATTCTGCCCAGAAGTTGGAGCACAATGAACTGAGGGACGAGCGCAGGGCCATAGTCAACTGGATATTTGAGGTAATCGCTGAACCCGTGCCTTCAACATTTGACTCTATGGCACCTCACTCACCACGGGAGAGCTGCCATTGAGCACACACGAGACTCGTGATCAGAATTCATGAATCTTCTCGTTGTCAACAGTTTTTCTACTTTCACTTCTTGTGAACATGTTCTGAACTTCGGCCGTGCCAGTTCTAATGCTCGGGTCCGAGCACCACTCATTGAGAGCATATTCTGAACAAATGCAGACGTTTTTTACGAGGAGTATTAAAAGCTTGGAAGCTGAACGGTCCCGTTTCCAAAGCCATGCCTTCGTATCTGCTAGTCGTCAACATGGCAGTGGTAATATGTCTGAGTTCGAGATCGAATCACGAAGACTAACCGATTGCTTGTTTGGCAGGTCACCAGGCTCCTCCAACTGAGCTCACTTTCTGCTGCACATGCAGTGTCCTTTTTGGACCGATACCTCTCGCAGCGTTTCTTCCCGGACGCTGAAGTACGTGAACCTCCAGCATGCTTGCTTTGAACTTACAGGACTCGATCAATTCTCTGTGAATCTGATCTGACTTGAGATCATGGAGATTTGAGTTTTTGTTTGTTGTTGCTGATGAGACGGGAAATGGGTGAAAGCTGGACACACCCTTTGCAGCAATGGTCTGTTGTATGATAGAACTGAACTGGGATGATTGCTGAGAATGACATGAGGCTTTGCATGTAGTTTGGAGCGAATGTCGACATCCGACTGGCGGCTACAGCTTGCATCTGGATTGCGGCGAAACTGGAAGACAGTGGTGCTCCCGATCTCTCATCCATGCGGGTAACTATGAAACTGAAACTCTACCATAGCCAGGTCATGTCGAGTTCATTTTGTATTCATCTCTCGCACATCAGAAAAGCTGAAATACTACCGCAACCATCGACGAAGATAGATTTCAGATGTAGAGTAGACGTATTGAGCTAAACACCTCTACTTCGTGAAGCGTATGTCGGAACGTAACGCTGAATCGATCGAGATCCATTCAGATTGCATTCCTCTGAATGGCCTGGAAGGACATCATAGAAGAGCCTTCTATTATTTGAATGCGCACCCAGATCACACAGCCTCCGGCAGCGCGCAATAACTGCCATGACTGGATTGTGCTTCTTCATGTCCATGTCCGTTTGGCCACATCCAGCTACTGCCTGTGTAGACTGCTCCCGTCTGTCGAATCATCAATCCTCGTACCTCGAAATCTGTCGGAATTGGCTGCCTGAGGCTTCCATGACGTCTATGTACTTAAAATGTCAAATTTCTGTGCGCCTCCTCTGGACATGGGAAGCCCTGCAGAGCAATAAGATAGAGACTCAGGTGCTTATCTGGACATGTACTGCCACAGGAGCTTTTCTCTTTAGACTACGACGAGGAGAAGATTCGAAAGATGGAAGTCTCCGTGTTGAAGTGCTTGGGATGGCGGATGCTTGCCGTGACTGCGTTGGATTTTCTAGCGAACATGGTGGCCCAACTACCTGCTTTCGGCTTGCCCACTCATCTGTTGCGGCCCGTCGGCCATCGTTCCGAGGAGATCATGCAAGGGCTCCTTTCAGGTATGCCATACTCTTCCCTTCTGTTAGAGAAATTGATGTAGTTCCCCCGATCGGAGTCTTGAGTGAAAAGCAGAATTCCATTTGAGAGCTGATGTCGTGAGACGTATTCGATGAATATCCTCCATAGTCATCAAACTGTACCTGAGAAACAACATGGTAAGAGTTGATCAGTTTGATACTTTTAATGAGAATCACTCAAATCCTGGAAACAGCTACTTTTGAAACATGAAGTAAATTGGGACCGAGAATCTACGTACATGGCTTTCCCTGAAGTATTAGAGCATGGGGTTCAAGGTCTGGGTTGAAGTTACTGCGTTCATGAAAGTATCAAATCTCTACATGCTGTATAATCATCTGGGAGACAAACATAAAAGCCGGTGCGAGTTCGAGACTGACTGGCTGTATCAGCGCACTTGGCTGGTAGAGAAATTAAGGGTGTGAACGGTTGCACTTGAACTTGACGTTGTTGAGCTGTACCTGATCTTGAAAATTTTGGCCCACACCTCAACTCAATTTGTACTATCTGGATCGAAAGATGGACCATTTGACCCTCTCATTTGGCTGACCCTCTGATGCAGAGGTGGAGTTCCTGGCCTATCAACCCTCCGTAGTAAGCATGAGTGTGATGCAATGTCTTTTGGACGAATGTGTACCTGTGCACACCGCCTCCATTATGGCCGCTTTTCACCTGGCTCTGGCATTTGACGTGGTACATACATACATTCATTCATCCATCCATCCATCCAGAGAACAATCAGACCTAGAGTTCTCCTGCTCTTAGTCAGAAACTCAGAACGAGATAGGTTTCGAATTCCTGTCTATACTGGTTGAGGGATTCCTTTTCAGAAAAGAGAAAAAAAACTCGTGGGTCTTGGTAAGCATTTGCAACTACGATCAGCTTCTTTGCCGATGATTCTTGTTACTGGTCAGACACTGCACAAGCACCGAAAATTATTTTGCTGTCCAGTGGAAAAGCTGCAATCATCTGCTAAAAGCCTTTTCAGCAGATGATTTCACATCTATGCAAGCTCGAGCAAGTAATGTGCATATGTCCAGTGATAAAATACTCAAGTCTACAAGTGCTTTCTGACCGCTGAGCGTGCATCTGCAGATTGCTACAGAGATCATCAGTTCATATTCGTCTAATATTAAGCACAACAGAGTACGTGCCTACTTGATTTGGTCGTAGAATGAAGAAAACGAGCTCTTTAATCTCAAGTGCTAACTGATCGAGTTTGCCTCGATGTGCAGGAATCGGAAAAGGTTTGCCACCGAACTTTGATGGACCTTGTGGTGGATCCCGACCTCGTTTGCTCGCTTCCATCTCCTGACCGAGTCGATTGTGCAAGCTCAAGGGAAGAGCCTAGCGGTTGCTTTCAGTGGACTGATGCCATTGGACATCGATACCTTCTATCAACTTCTACGTCTTCCAGTCTCAGAAGTTCTGAAATCCTAAAATGCTGATTTCCTCCCAGTTTGAAGAGAATATACAGCATTTCAGGCAAATCTTTCGACATCTTGTCGAATAATATATGTCCATCTTGTGGCTCCAACTGACTCGGCTTTCAGCGAGTTCGCCTCTTCACATTTGCATATATTCAGCTATATCAAAACTAAGTTCTGGACAAGACTAAATAGAACATCAGTGACCTCTCCGATTGGCGGTTGATCTAATCGCATGAAAAACTTCGAATCTTCCAAGTGATGTGTGGAAGAATTTCAAATTAATTGTCAAGTCTATAAGCGTACTGATACTCGAGAAAGATCTGCAGTGTGATTTGGACTCCTCAGAATGTACACCAAGTGCGTAGCTCTTGGATCACTGGATTGAAAACTACGGTGCTTTCACCCGACGTTAGCATGGAACTGCATTTGTGGTGGGATATTACCCTTTACTGCAAGTAGTAGCTTTACTATTAGCAAGCCTCTTTCACCGTGTTCGTCATTGTGGACATTTTGGACAATTTGGAAGGTCTTAACGAGCAAGTTCCACTCTTGAACCCTTCCAACATCCTGGCCCACGAGTTTCTTTACCTTGCACTTTGCACTACTGTGCAGAGTACAAGGTAATGCAACTCGTGGAAGCATGCAAAAGTTTTCCCTATCAGAGCCAACCGGAACATCGATCAGCACGCAAGTTATCTGTGCATTCCAGTATCCTACCTTCCTCCTAAATGGTTCCATGAACCCTGCCTTTGCATTTATGACGATCCAGAGTTTGATGTCCAAATCATGGCTGGAGAAACTGAGATCTTTAGGAAGGTTTTGACCATGAAGCCTTGATGAACGCACTCATTAAAGCAAGGTGTGGAGCTTTTCAGAGGCACCAGTCCGACATACTCTTATAACTTATAAGAGTATGTTTCAGTCTTATAAGTTATAAGACTGAAACAAACAATGCAATAATGGATCTGATCTCTGATGAGATGACTGGCTCTGGATCTTCGACCGGGCTTCAAACAGACAATCCTAGGGTGCAGTACCTCGACTCCAGATTTACATGATCCCGACTAGAAACATCTGAAAATCATTTCATGTTCATCGTAATGGCGCTAATCAAGACTTGTGCAAAGTAATGTCAAATTGAGCTGATAAACTTCCAGCTTCCAGAGCAGATTCCAAGTTTCGTGACAACCGTTTGAGTTGAACAGATCACCTTGTTATCGTGGTGGATTTCGGCGTACTGGGATAAGTCTTAGCCCAATCGTTGACTCAGAGCAGCATCTGAAGTAAAAAATTTCAAATCCGCCCCTCTTTCCACAGTACTCAATTGTGGTCGTCGAAGCTCACGTTTAGAGATTGTAGGTTCACTTCATACTTTTGTGATATGGATCCATCGCAGTTCCGAACTCAGCTCGCATCGATTGACGCCCTTCATACCGTATGCAGATCACGTTTTATATCTAACTACTTCTACTGTCGACGATCAGATTGTGATTTGAAGGGCAAACGTCGGCCTGGCGCTACCACCACAACAAACTTGAAAACTCACTCAAATCCAGCTGCAAGAGAAGTCGAGATTGGCATATGGCAGTGCCTTTCTTCCGTCGGTGAATCGTGAAGTGAATCCACCTGCAGTTGCAAATCTACACGGACGATCTAAAACTGAACTCGAAGGCCGAAAAGTACGAAAGAAGGCATCTGAACCCGATCCCTCCATGCTCCAATTGCTTTCACAGACCCGACCGATCAGAGGCAGCAAAATCCAGTCACCTTTAGGTGGAACATGCTCGTCTAATATGCACTGACGCCTGGACAAGCTAGGGCTCATATAAGCTCTCTAGCACCCACAAATGCCCATCAGCGTCTCGAGGAACAAGAATCGCTTCACGTGGCACAACGCTTTCAGAGATGCAAATCGTGGCTGGCCGGCTCACAATGACACCGGACGCGTTTCACTAAATGTGTCCAAAACAAGGGTCCTTCACACCGACAGGACAAAGGCACGACTCTGTGCTGTGCTCGAGGATTACAGATACTGGTCGCATCAGAATTCTTCGCACTGTTCCGTTCTGTGCAATCTCCGCCGACTGATGTCTGTCGTAAGTTAGTTCGTTCGGTAGGTCGAGGCCAGAGTTTCCATCAGCGTTGACGATCCAGCAGTGTGTGTGTGGAAGCAAGAAGGAGGGAAGCCTGAAGCAGATGCCACGGAGAGCTAGCTCATTGCCTCTGCTGTCCACTACTAGCAGATGACGTGATGGGGCCATCAGTGGAGCTGGAGCTGGAGCTACTGATCACGCCTGGATACATGCATGCATTTTGGCCCAGACGAGAACATTTGCTTCGTTGGCGTGGCCTGGTCTTCGAATGCTCCACGAGAAGACACAACAGCCAGCCGCAGCAGAGAAACTGGAATTTCGCAATTTCCCTTTTCCTTTTTCCCTTTTTCCGTGCGAGTTCCATTGAGTCATTTCTATCGAGGTCTTCACTGAATCTAGGCTGGAGCTTCTGGATTATCCATCCAGAGGATGCTACCGGTCTCCTCGATTCGTTTACTACTGCCACGACGAAAGTAAGGCTACCATAGAATATCATCATAGGGACTATAACGGAGGCTACTGAGGGATAGCTTCAGGAGAATGTTCGACATGCAAAATGCTGTTGCGACATGCTTCATGCAGATCAATCGGCGGGCTAATAGAACTTTTGAACTACTGTGAAGGAAATTCCGCTGCTGCCCTGGATGCACGAGGTGCTCTACTGCACGGCTCAACTTCGTGGAAACCGTTGCCCAAAAAGTGATGAAGCATTATTCCGTCAGCATCAGCAGGTCTCAAGACTAAATAAATGCAACTAACTGTGTTATCACCAGAGCACGACAATTCGAAATATCCCCTAACTCTGATATCTGGTTCCAAGGCTTCACTACGCACGCATTCGCTGTTGATGGATCGAGCAAGATGCAAGATGAGTTTCCCTATAAATCTGTAACTTGAAAATCGTTCGGTTTGAGGAGAACAAGGTAAGCACAGCGGTATCAAACTTGAGCAGTTTGGCAGCTCAAAGGGGCAGAATGTGTGAAGTTAATGGTTGGACTATAACAGGCATGTTCAATCATCAATCAATCATTCAACCAATCCAATTTCGTACTCAGCATGGTTCCTCCGCATCCTCCACGATCCGTGCAGTAATCTCTTAGCAGTGCAGCAGAAGATCCTTGGGTTTAGCCTTCCCCTCTTTAAGCGCTAACTGCGAGAATCGTAAGCTGTAAGTGAACATTTAAGATTTGCATCGTCTGATCTAGTTCCTATTCATCAGACGTTCATACATTTGAGTGTTAGTGTGTGTGTGCGCTTGTTGCTCCAGATAGAAAGAAGCTCCTTCACTGCAATTCTTAATAAGAAGGAGCCTTGAATTTGTATATATTTTGTGTGCAGGGTGGTTGTTCCATCCACAGGAGCAAACTCGATGACTATGCACAGTGGAGATATCGTCAACGATGGATGTGTTCACGCCTTACAAACTTAGTCCTCGGCCGAGAAAGTACTGGATATCACTATATAGATGGTGGTAGCGCAGTACATGGAAACAAAAGAAATGATTGTCCAGCTCGTATCTATTAAGTAAAAAAAATATGGAGATAAGAGGAATAACTGAAATAAAGCTAAGAAGTAGCTTAATAAGAGACTCATCTGCTGTTCCCCATTCTTAACTCATCCGTGCCTTTTCTTTTCCTCTTCATTTTTTCGAGTTGTGCGCATGGCTTCTGCTGAGAGTTTCTCATAAGTGAGCTTCTTCTGTATTCTAAATTTTCAGTTCTGATGTGTTTTACATTCCCGCTGAATATGTCATTACTGTGACAGTTTTTCCCTCTAAACAGCCATAAGCCTACATGATGGTAAGGTGTAGACCAACATCATCACAAGCGCAAAGGTTTCAGACTTCAGCAGAGACTCACGTAGTCTTCCATCTAGAACATGATTGAGTCAAGCTGTAAAATCTAGAGCTGGAGAGGGTTGTGACTGTTAGTGTATATGATTCTAACTTGGGAACTCTGTTTCTGGAGAGGACAGTGCATTGATTCGTTGAAGATTTGGAATATTATGCCAGCTGAATACAGATGTGCTCACTCGTGAACTAGTCCTTCATATCGTTTCAACACTCCCACTATATCTTCGTGAAGGAAAGAATCCAATGGAAAGACCAATATTCACCGAAGTTACACCTTGTTGTATAACATGTTCCACACAAAGCTCGTGCAGCCATTGAGCGATAACCTCATTCGAATAACTTTTTATTCCAATCCCTCACAAAGAGGAACTGAGTGCTTGAAAGTTAGGGCAAGTGTTCCCTCTTCTTCACGAGGTTGGAGAGTAGCGTTGAACTCCTCTGTTGTCGTCCAGAGAGCATCAGAGCTGTCTTAAATCGAATAAATTATCCTCGAAACGAAGGAGATCATTGAGTGTGGGGACTGCAAACTATTTTTGTGACAAGTGTTGTGTTCTAGAATGGGAAACCATCGATAGCCTTTTTGAGCACCTACGAAGTTAGAGTGGCAACGGACATCATGTTTTCAGGTGTCCTATCATCAAACCTATCACTTGCCCGATTCTACTCATGACCAAGAGATCCAAACTTCATGAAACTTCGCAGGTGCTCGTTTCTACATCATTTGTATATCATTAAGGACGTCAAAGCTGGGTAGATGAAGTTCTGAACCAACGCAGACTCAATCAAGTCGCTTGTGGGAGGAATTCTCTGACTCCATCTCTACTTTCCATGCCTTCGTGAAAGTTCCAGTTTGTGCAGTTTATGTTCAGTCAAAATTAGGAACATGTTTTTGAAAAAATGCCTTAAATCACAACGTTTTTTTTAAGTGAAGAGGGAACAACATATCATTGGTGCATTTCTAAGAGTTCAAGGCTTACCAGCAGCTTATCAATAAAATATTGGACATTTTGTGCTAAAAACTGCTGCACACTTGTAGGCATAAGTACCTTACTGCCGGAACCTTCTACCTACAATACACTTTTCCTCGAGTGTGAATCATACTCGATAAATACGGCACATACGGAACTTGAGGGCCAAAGTGCAGTATTTCGTTTTCAGAAAGTTTCGTATTTCCAAATAAAAAAATCTGTTGTCTGGTTGTTTTTACTAGAGAAACTAGCGGAGTTTCTCAACTAAAACTTTGGGGTGACCGTTTTGACAATATCTCGGTTCATCTAGGTGATTTTACTAGAGAAACTAATGTAAATATTCAGCTAAATCTTTGCCGTGATCATTTGTGACGATTTCATTGTTCATCTCGGTGACTTTACTAGAGATACTAACTGAGTACTCGACTAAAATTTTGCGGCAACACCTGTGGGTTCAACCAAGCAAGTTCTAGTATTTTGTTTCCTTGCTTACCTTGTTCACACAAATCTGTTCACTGAAAAGTCTGATTCCAAGTTTTTAAGATTTTTTCAACTCATGAAGTTTTTCGTGAGATCAGTTTGATCATTTTCGAGCACTTCAATGGTGTGGAGAGTGATTTCTCCGAGCTAAAATGGGAAAAGGATATTCAGATATCAAAGATAACATCCATTTCTCTCGTAAGTGTATTACATTACCGACAAATTCGGCCGAAAACATGAGAGTTAAGGTGAAGATTCGGCCGAAAACTATCAAGTTCCGTATATTTTGTATTTTGATTTGAGAATTATACTTATTTTGTTGAGATACGGAACATAGGGAATCCGCCCTAAGTATGATCCATTGACTACCATGTTGCAGCAAACAGGAGAAAGGAAAGCCTAAATAAATTACCATATCTACGATTCTCCCTGGCCTCCTTCCGTACTTGCAATCCTAAACTCATGTTTGTTTAGGCATGAATAGCAGACGTCTTTAATACTTCTCAAGCTGCATGCCTGCCGAGGTCTTCCTACCCTTCTTCCTATAGTACAGTACTCGGTACCCGACATTTGCAGCCAGCTTCCAATTGAACAGTTTTTACATCTCCTGTGAGTTTGTTTAGTCAGAGAGAACCCTGCCTGATCTTCTCATTCACAGCAACGTTTTGGAATTTCTGATTATTAGGTCGGAAATGAATTGGTCAAGGGCAGGTAGCACACGTTTGCTTGGATGCTCATAAACAGGAATAAATGTGGGGACAACCTCCAGGTCCAAACAGTTATGGACTCAGCCAAGACTCGAGGACTCCATCACCAAACAATCGAACGATGACAGGAGGAAAACACTATTAAACTGGAAACAAGGATAAGATGTAAACATCAAGGTATCAAGCTCGAATCATATTGATTCAAGTTGGTGTTGTGACTTCGAGGAACCAAATGATGGACGACCATTTATAGGAAAATCTGACCTTGCAAGTACAGGAGCAAAGAACTGTAGTGCATCAAAGTGCAGTTTTCATTCTGAGCAACTATGAACATATGGACGATGGCAGGAAGGCAGCCATGATTATAAATTGGTGAGAATCATAAATTTGCCCTGGATGAACTGGACCTCAAGAAGCGCCTCATTACGGCATTCGCAACATCTTTCTGCAGTACGAAGAGCCTGCTACTACCCTGCACTAGGACCAGTATTTGAGGATCCGGTACTGTCGGTATGATCTTCGAGCCTTTATCCAAAGAAACTGATTCCATCGCAGTACAACTCTGTTTTTTTCATTCATCTCTGCCGGCAAGAAATTACTTGGGGTATCAGCTGAACACGGGCGTCCTTAATACATCCTCTCGCCTCGGGTCACGAACGGATTTCTGGGTAGTCACGGCGAAGCAATCCACCGAATCCTCATACGTTACGAATTTATTGTACTGTTCGTTTGCAAGAATGTGATACGGAGTCTGCATCAAACGCTGAAAGTGCTTTACACAGTCGGATGGAGATGTTAATGTCGAACCTCGAGCTCGTTCACGGCGGCCAGTCCCCGGCCATCAGTGTACATGTGATTTGCATCGAGGATTCTGGCATCTTCTCCAGGACTCTGGGCCCCACTAATACCTGGAGTTCTCTTGTAGCGCCGAAACATAGAATAAATAGAGATTGTGTTGTATTCAGCGCTGCTTGTTTAGCACAGATATGTAGCGGAAGAACTTCTCGTACTGGCCATCTTCTGCCAGAGGCGAAAACCTAGGTGAGAAAAATGACCCTTGAGAAATAATAGGAAGAGCATTCAAAGATTCCTTCCACATGGAGTAGAAACTCTTCCGGACGAACCGGGGTATGGACCGAGGCCGCAGGCGGAAGACGGACAGCAGATCGACGACAGCATCACTACAGTAGAGAGAATAGTTTCCTTACTGTAGGACTATTATTCCTCCGATCTCACAGGGAAGGCCAGGCAAGGATTCGGAGAGCAGCCCGGAGGGTTCAGGAGGGTGGAGAATCCTGTGCTGTATAGCAAGTTGCGCCTGCAGCTGCAGCTGCAGACGCAATCGGATGCACGGCTCGTGTTGGCAAGATCTCGATCGGCTGCAACAAATTGGTCCATCCGCACGCAGGCGAGGCTGCAGATACAATACTTCCATCCGAACGATCGATCGATGGGGCATTCCTGAACCCCGGTCTTCGTAACATAGATCCATCAAAACCCAAAATGGGCCCCCCGACTTTGTAGTAATGCTTTCCAGTGTTGTCAACAGGTAAAGGAAGGCCCAATCGTGGACAATGTGATCAATCGATCGATCTTGTTCGTCTGGTCAGGTGGAAAAGAAACCGCGACAAATGTCTGCAGCCGTCCGCCTTCATGTCGCCACCGAAAAGGACCGACTTTGTCGGAGAGCTCGGGCAACAAGAATTCCACTTTACAGAAACGTCAAAGGCCCTTCGAACAAGCGTCGCAGCCATGGCCTCCGTAAAGCTGCACAATTCTCCAGGGCTCGCCTTGCGTGAGCATTCATTTTTTGAGCTCCATCCCTCGGAGCAAAATCATATCCAAAGCTCTTGCTTCGCATTGAAGGCAGTTGCCGTCCACTCGAAGTCAGTGACCTTTTGGCCTGTCAGGCCCAACGGAAACCGTCACCGGATTTTCCAGCATGTGCTTCTCGACCCGAGACGATCCATCACGGCCAAGGATGAAATCACAAGCCTGGCTCCAATTTGGTCAGAACTCTAGCGCTGTAAAGCTTTTGGGGAAACTTCTCACTTCAACACCCCGTCAAGCCTTGAACCCAGTGTCGTCCGTAGGGATATCCAAAAATGAGAGAGAGTGTGGTCACCAGGATATAAAGAGTAGATAATGATAGATATCTCTACTGTCTGGTATAGATTACGAACTATCTCTAATGAACTGTTTAAAAGATTAGATATTTATATTGATTACTTTTCTAAACGGATTATGGATACTTATAAAAAAAATTTAAATCAATATGTTTATGTATTTTAAATCTCTATTAAATGTATAAGAATTTAGTCTTCGTGACCTAAATATAGGCTTGCTTGTAGTCACCGCTGGGAAACATATGAAGTCTCTCGTTATGTGAGGCATCCGACATCTCTGACAGATAAAGAAACTTTTATATGATTGAAACAAGCCAATGCAAAAGCCTATCATCATAAAAATAAAATAAAAAACAGTAATGCAACTCGACAAACCTGATTGTATAGTGCAACCAAGCATACCAAGAGACACGAGCATGCACATTTGCTGGGGCTAAAGCATAGTTTGATAGATATTAGATACACTTAAATAAGAGTATGCTGAAACTGGTGCTCTGTCGAGAAAGATTCGTAGGCTCTTACTCAAATGGATGGGCGCCGAGGAAAAATACTTTACAAGTACGGGACACGTCCATTTCAACTTTGAGTTGAAAATACCTCTTGAGACGATGATGAAATCTGGGATGAAAAGTGTTTGTAGGTTGTTGAGTTCGTATGTTTGCCGGGAGAAATCATTCACAAAGTGGATGGTGAAGGAATACTGTCATTCACGTACGCGATATGATGTTTGATTGACGCTTTATAGTGTAGTAATATGGAGGAAAATCTTTCGAACGCAACTTTTCCAGTCGAGATAAGCAATTCATTTTTGAGCCGAGGGTAGATCACAAGATTCCGGTTCGCGTGGCATCACAGTTGAGGTGCTCCCCTGGGCACACCTCGAGGTAGACATTAGTGCTGGATGCAGCTCGTGTTCTGGTTAATTCCAACGGCCAAAGCAGTGCTAGTGCTGCAAGAACTATGTTCTAATAGTGCTCATTATGAACTTCACTTCGATACACGGTTGTTCGATTTGAGGATAACGTGAAGAAGTGAAATTTATCCGGATTGGAAGAGTTGACCTAATTTGTCTCTACGTCAAATAGGTCGTTCGCATAATAAGGTCAAATGGTTTTGACAATCCTTGGCGTGAAGACGGGTCAACTCACCTAATTGTCAGAGAGTGGCACAAAGCTTCATAAGGAGGACGATGAGAAACAAACTTCTCCTCGGCACGATTCTGAACGAAAAATTCTCGACGTCTCTTGTCGTTCAAGAGTTAACTTTTCTTCTTAATTTCGTCCAATTTTACTTTTCCTTACATCCGTAATCAAGAAAAGGAGCTACTATTCATTAACCCTCTCTGTTCTGTTCTTCAGGATATTCTTCCCACTTTCGTACTGCGAAACTCGATGTTTACGGGATCTAAGCTGTACTGTAAAGATTAGACGATCAACATTCTCTTGATGCTCGGGATCTATAAATACTTCCCGAAGTTTCATACATTACAGGCTTCGGAAGTTCCAAAACATGGGCTGTATGTCAGAATAATAGTGATTAGAATCCCTTCAGCATGATTAAACTTTCTTCTGAAGCGCAGTGCTTCAGAAGAACGGACAACCTCTCCCCGAGCCCTCCATAAAAGAGAATCTTGACTCAAGCAGAATTATGGCTGCTCGGAAGTGGCACCCGATCGAAGAACTGGAAAGTTGTCTGCGCATTTAGAACCGGAGCGAGTTCAATACGTATCATTCCATGAATCTTCTGGAAAAAAGTACCAGCTTCTTCGACGTCGGCCCACAGTGCGCACAGACCCTAAGGCCGGAGACAAGAGGGCGGTGTGTCCCCGGAAAGGCCCACGTCGATCACATATGCGCCGACTCCGAAGGCGTGAACTTTCAAAAACCCTAACACGTGAATGATCTCAGACAGCAACATTGAAAATCAATCCAAGATCCCACAGGCCGGCCTTCTTGACATCGCTCCCTAATCTCGTCACGGAAGATATCCCGACTAAAGAATGCCAGAAATTCCACGAGGAGTGGACAGTCTCGACGACCATCACGTTGACTCGACGTGAGAGGAAATTTGGACAAAGCCGTTCGAGAGCAGGCAGGCCAGTGCGGCATATGGGACCTTGAACGATGAGCTGGCTCGTCCGATCGGACCTCCTCCGCGCGGGTGGACCCACTGTCTCTTCGCCACGTCAGACGTGCGTGGCATCTGGCACGAATGATGCCATTTCAATTTCTTGTTGCGGGAAGGTAAATTCCGACGGACAGGCGTACGTACGTACGCCAGGCTTCTAGCCCATCTACTGACCGACCCGTATATTGTACTGTACAGTAGAAGCCAATCCGTAAGTCTCCTGTCTCGCTGCCTCGTCTGCGTCGTCTGCCACCTATTCGGAGGTCAGCTGGCACACACGCAAAAATCGTTGTGCTATATTCCTCCAACGCGTGCAGCCAAAATGACCGCTACGCTACATGTGGTGGCGATATGGGAGCGGGTCCCCATTGGGCGACAGTCATCGACTGCCCGGCCAAGTCTGGTGTCGTTTTCCAATCGTAATGTTATCTGTATTCCAGGTATTCCAGCGAATTCCCGGGGCACCTCAAATAGTACAATACGACATGCTCGAATAGAAGCGAGATCAGCGTACTTTTCTGCCTACATGCGTTTGTGTGTCGTCACATGAGGTGGAGACATGAAAACCCAAGTTAAAAAGTAACGAGAGAGTGACGACGCCGAGGAAGGAGAGGAGGTTTTGTCTTCGAGCACCTTTTTTAATTTCGTTTTCGAGTTGCTTGTTTTTTAATTTCTGGTTATTCTCGGGAACTAAAGTGTTCCGAAGAGAACGTACGTTTGGGAGCATTACGAGACGTGATATTCAAACCAGGCTCTTGTGATGAAAATTCGGTTGCACCCCCTTCGTCCTATTAGTAATTAGATGATACACCACACGAAGATTTTAATCGCAGAAAATGTGTTCACCGGATTGGACAACTTTTCCATGGGTTATTAGAGAGACGGATGGGTAGGGTAATGGGGATATTAATCCAGGCGAAGGAAGGAACGAGGACAGAGCGATCCAGCGATGGAACACAAAAGAATTGAAGGAGAAGAAATGGGAAAGGTGGTGTCACGGATGACTATAGTTGGAGAGGGAAAAGGGAGGAAAAAGCGGCGGGACAAAGGCCAGAGGTAGTGGGGAGGTGTTGGGGACGGGACTCCTGATCCTTTTGGAGCCATAGGGGAGGGCCAGCGCAGCACGAACACATGGCCAACTCACAGTAGCGCTGGCTCTGCCTTGCTGCCGCAGGAACGAGTCGCCGGGGTCAAACATTTCCGCTGCATTTTCTCCCGCTTTCTGTCTGCCCGTCTCCGGTCTCCGTTCTCCGGTCTCCGTTCTCCGTTCTCCGTTCTCCGTCCTCTGCTTCCCGTTCTCCGGAAGGCAAAGAAAGAAGAGAAGCATTGACACGAAGGAAAGACGGAACAAGCGCTCGCCCGGTCCGTCCGTCCGCCAGCCCGCCCGCCCGCGCTTGCTCCTGCTGCCGCGGACAAAGCTGAGAGGGCCTTTTGATTTTCGAGCGATATTATAGAGCTCCTGAAATAATGGTGTCTTTAATGGTCATCGATCCGCGGCCTGCGTGTTCGCTCGGCGTGGTCTCGGGAGCGTCTTTCGCCTGCGTCGGGGTCTGAGGAAGGAGAAGGAGAAGGAGGACGAGGAGAAGAACAAGAAGTAGTAGAGAAGGTCAAGGTATGTATGCACTCTGATCATCTTGTGATTATCTGTCCGAGTGTAATAGCACTCGGGAGGTGATTCAAGTCTGTGGATTGTAAGGACTTGGACTTTTCCTCTGCCTTTCTTTGGATTTGGATTGATTGCCTGGTTCGTCGGTGGGGACGCGGGGCCTGAGATCGGAAGAGCTAAGGCGAATGCTGCTAGCTAGCCTTACGTGCTTGCCAGTGTAATCCGAGTAAGCGCGCGCTCGTCGATCGTCGAGAGTCTTGAATCTCGTACGTATTGATCAGCTGCACTTGTCATCTCGAGTCTTGATCGCGCCTCGTCACCTGATTGTTCTGTTTGTTCGAGTTTGTGTACACCAGGAATGATCTGTCCGTTCGTATCTTCATCATGCTTATCAGACCCGTGATTTTACGTGTGGCAAGCTCTTTTGTATCACGCAGTTACTATGACGAGATCTTTCTGAATCTTCCTTTCAAGAAATCTGAAGCTTTTTCTATTATCCATTCAACTGATTCTCTTCGCTCCCACACATACCACAATGCTGTCACTCAAATGGCGCAATGCTATCGCAGCTGATGAATTTCCACATTCCCGCCGCGCGCGGCCATCCTCCCTCGCCTCTCCCCAACCCAATCCATTCTATCGTTGTTCTTTGACTCTCGGAACCATCTCCGGATTTACCTTTGAGGTCGCCGCAGCCGCCCGTTCTTTCTTTCAGTTCCATCGACAGGGGCTTTTCTCAGTGAAGTTGAGACGCGGACCGATTACGATGAATCGCAATGCGTTTTGAACGTTTCAGCGGGGACTTTGTAATCGATTCAAGCTCGGAATTGCCTTTGGACTCCCTCTGCTGTCTTATATGGGAATCCTGTTTCAGTTAGACTTTGATCGATTCGGAGATCTGCATCGGGGCGAGTCACTTTAGTTTCTCAGAATCGACTTGCCGGACCATCACAATCCATCGATTACTGGATCTCTTCTGCAGCGGTTTCCAACACGTCTGTGTTTATCAAATTCTGGGGAGTCTTATGATATTTTTTTCTGTAAGGAGCGGTGGATACGTTTAACAAAATCCCAAATCGGGCAAAGGGAATCTCTGGACAACCTTGAGACAATATGCCTCTGTCATTCTCAAAATTATATCCTGGATTCTGATCCAATAGAGAGATTCCGATTGGAAGTAGCTCCCTACTGTTTGCAGTGACCGACATCACTACATTTTCTGCTTTACAATTTTACAGGTGTGCACCAATGTTGTACACGTTCCACAAGGAATTATCTTGGAGAGTCTTCTGGATATGTCAATCAGGAAAAGTCTCAAAAAGTGCTGACATTCTTCCAACTTTCTTTAATTCCACATCATTTACTTACTGGGATGGTTGTCAGGTCATCATGTGAAGAACATCATCATGTGAAAAAAGTGTCTCTGTTCAGGACAGAATCTTCTTTTGTTTAGAATACCCACGAAACAGTTTGAATTTTCTTTCGTGTGATTAGTGAAAACCCAATCCCGAAACCCTTGAAACATACGTCATATGACAAAATTCACATAAATAACTTTTTGTGAGAAGATGGTGAGGTTATTCTTGGCAACGAAGGTGTTTCAAGGTACCCGAATGCAAATGTCTCAATAGCACCACTACGAATAAACCGGTCTGATCTCTTCTCCCTGTGTTACTATGTTGCTTGTTGTATGGGATGAGTTAGCAAGAAGTGGAGACGTACAAACTGACGCTCTTGTGGGCCGCTGCAGGTTGCGTGTGGAGATTCTCTGTCTTCTGGCAGGGTTTGGGTAGTGTGAGATGTCATTGTGAACCTTTGCGTAAGCGGCTTAAGTTCAAGGACTTGCCCATGGCTGTGTCTATGAAAAATGTAGATGTAGCGTTCCACAATGTTGGAGGGAAAGCGTATCCTTTGAAGTTACCAAATTTCACGATTCTTCTGGGGTGTGAAGAAGATCTTAGAGGTTCCATGTAATTTTTGTATTGGATTGATTTTTGTCGAATCACGTTTCTGCAATCAGTTCAACTCAGGGCGTAATAGAGGTCGACAGGTTTTCTTCATATTGTTGGCATCGCATATGCAATTTGTTTTTTTAATCTTTATGCTTGATTAATTCAGGAAGGATTTTTCAGGAATAGTCATGTACATTACATTCGCCTTATCCAAAAAGTAAGGCAATAACTTTGTCAAATGTGAAGCTAGCGACATCTGCTTGTGCAATAGCTGTGTCCTTGACAAACTTTGCAGTGGAACTGAAGTTTGGCGCATAGAAAATTTTAGTCCAGTGCTTTTGCCCAAGTCAGAGTATGGAAAGTTTCATGAGGGAGATTCCTACATCGTTCTGAGGGTGAGAATATTCTTAGCTCTCTACTGCTTGAAATTATCAAATTGTTGTTGTTATCAAGCTTGATCCTTATGGCTGTTGCAGTTTCTTTCATTTCCTTTACTTGAACGATATACTTCATTCATCTGTTTTCCTAAGATTGGGTGATCAAACTGTTTATTATTCTATCATCACTCCTTTGAGCTTGCTCTTTTGGCTCTCTTGATGATACATTCATAATCTTCATGGACAAGCTAAAAGCATAAATGAACAAATGAATTGGATATTTATGTTTCTTTTCTGTACAGACAACGGCTTTGAAAAGTGGAGCCTTTCATTATGATGTACATTTCTGGCTCGGGAAATCTACCAGTCAAGTAAGCGTTCTCACCTGTCGGCATTGTTGCATGTTCCCCTCGTGCTCCTTGTTGTAAGCAGTTGTGTCTGTGTGATGATTCAGACTAGTTGCAAGCAATCATATTCTTGAACTGCGTTTGATTTATCAAATTAGTGGACTGTGCGCATATCCTGTAGAAAGACTTCACGTTCTTGCCCGTAGAGGTTACCTGCTTGACTTTCATGTCTCTCATAGGATGAGGCAGGAGCAGCTGCGATCAAGACGGTGGAGCTCGACGCGGCTTTGGGAGGTCGAGCTGTGCAATACAGGGAGTGTCAAGGCCATGAAACTGATCTCTTTCTGTCCTATTTCAAGCCTTGTATTATTCCTCTGGAGGGGGGAATTGCATCTGGGTTTAAAAAGGTGGAAGAAGCTGAGTTCGAGCCTCGCCTCTACCTTTGCAAAGGAGCTCGTCTGGCGCGTGTGACAGAGGCAAGTTTATATGTCTCCACACTTGTGACTGCGTGGTTACTCATTTGACTTTGCCATTACATCTACATAAAATATTTGGCGTGGATTTGATATTGACGATCAAGAGAAAGTTGAGAATTTTAGTTGGAGTCAATGTTTTTATTGATGTTCTGAGGTCTGCAATTAGAATTTCATTCAGCCTTGCTAAAAAACGTTGAGACCTTGTCTACCAATTGCAATTCTCAGGTGCCATATGCTCGGCAATCTTTGAATCACGATGATGTATTTATCCTGGACACCAAGGAAAAAATTTACCAATTCAACGGCGCAAATTCAAGCATTCAAGAAAGAGGAAAGGCTCTGGAGGTTGTACAGCATCTTAAGGACACCAATCACGATGGAGATTGTGATATTGTCATTGTTGGTAAGTGATTATGAACTTTTAGCGCGTATTGTCGTAGGTTGCCAATATTGAAGAGAAAATGTGCTACTCAAAGATAGAAATGTAAGAGATTCTCAGAAACCAGGTATCTAGCTCAAGGCGAGCGTTGTTTCGAGCTAATTGTATCATCCTTCCAGATGATGGTAAACTCGGGGCAGAAGCTGAGACAGGAGAATTCTGGAGTCTGTTCGGAGGGTTTGCACCTCTGGGAAGAAAACACGTTCCTCATGAAGATTCTAAGAAGCAACCCTTCTTAGTCAAACTTTTCTGGTATTGCAACTTGCACTATGCATGCTGATGTTTCGTTTGTCATTGTTTGGGGGTCATGAACAATTATGTTGTGAATTAGCGCTTAGAACTTTGTACCCTGTAGACAGATAAAAAAGCAACAACGAAGGTTGTCGCATCTATAACTTTCTGGTAATGTAAATATCAAGAGAAGAAGTTTTCATTTGCTGCGATAAACGCTATCTTCTTTCCCTACACACCTTGGATGTACAAACTAATTACTTATAGCTGAGACAGTGAGGTTTACATCTAACTCTTCCTAGTTCCAAGCTGAAGTGCAATCAGTAAAATGATCACTCGTGGATCTAGCTGGATAAAGAGAGACACTGTTGTCCTTAATTCAGTCTATCTGTGATCATGTTCTTTTGACAAAAAATATCACTCGGGATCTCCCGCTTGTCGAGTCCTCCTTGGCCCGACGTGTTATCCATTCTGACTGTGCTCCTTGCGAAGTGTCCTTAAAGTGCTCCAAAAGCAGCTCTCTCACTTAAGCTGTCATCATTAATCTCGTAGATATTGTGGCCAGTGTTAAATCTGAAAACTGGGATCTCTTTCCTCAGCAACCAGACGAGACCTCCAATTCACACTGAGCTTTACTGCATTACCCCAGTTCAAGGATCAAGTGCATTCTCCAAGTAACCTCTATATCCAAACTTGGTCTCATGTGGCTTCCCTCCATCATGTTTCTCGTCACCTCTATAAGACCGAATATCACTATTAATCGGTCTAGTCTTGAACCCTCCTTAACAAAGTCACTGATCAACATCCTTAAATTATACGAATTACAGATAAAACATGGTACATTCTATTCAATTATTGTCTTTGAAAAATATTTCGCGTGACCTAGCTACGTTAGTCGCTTCATTTAAGGCTGCAGAAGTCGTAACTAGTTGTCACTCTCTAACTTTGTGGTTGTGACTGTTTTGTTCACATTTTCCCTTAGAAGTGTTGGAGAAGGAAAACCGAAGGAAGTCGAACATGGACCTGTTTTGAAGAAGAATTTGCTTGATACCCACAACTGCTTTCTTCTCGATGCTGGTAATGAGATGTTCGTATGGATGGGTCGTGAGACTACTCTTGAGCAAAGGAAAGCAGCCACGCTCTCCGCAGAGGTACTTGATATTGTTAAATTTTTTTCTTCGAAAGGTTTTCATAGTTATCATCTTCCAAGTCTACGCTGCTTCAAGTATTACAGAGTAACATCTTGAGGCTGCTCATCTTAGTATGAGAAAGTTTGGTGTATCAGATTCTCACAATCTACCAACCCGCGTTTAATAGGCCTCTCCCCCCTTCCCTCTCCCCAACCCTCTCCCATCTAATAGGAGCGAACCAAAGCAAAGTTGGAAAATATCATAGTATCTTGTTCCTGCAAATGGGCATCCTTGAGGTGCTTGTCTTTTGGCGTTGTGAATATTCACAGTTAGACGATGCAGTATAATAATTTTGTATTGGCCTTAGCAGGAATTTATTTCAAGTCAGGAAAGACCTACCTTTACTCAGGTGACGCGCATCATTGAAGGGTTCGAGCTTCCCAAATTCAAAGCCCACTTTGAGAAGTGGCCTCGTACTTCACAATCCTCTGTATCCGAAGATGGACGTGGCAAAGTTGCAGGTATCACTTTGACCGTGTCAGTAAGGCCCTTTCTGCTTTCGCGGTGTGCACCCGTAAGCCAAAATGTCTTCTGTATGTACCGTAGTGTCGCCCTTCCTGGATTATTTCTAAGTGAACAAACTCTCACTGGGGTTTTTGGAATGGGATCTTCAACTGTGCATACACATATTTCTGCATCTTCTGGCCGTGTTTATGCCGGGTGGATTTGACGTCTTATTTTGATGTGATGTTATTCTTGAAGTTTCTAGCTCGTTGAGGTGGTTCAGGGTTCTTCTTTGGTGTTAAAACAGTACCTAACACGAATGAATTACCAAACAGATTAGCATGAATTACCAAACAGATTAGCTTTGCAAACATCTTTGTCTTACGTGGCTCAAATCTGACATTGCGTGCTCTTGATGAATTTCTAGCGCTTTTAAAGCAACAAGGAGTCGATGTTAAGGGTCTGTTAAAAGCAGCAGCTCCCACAGAAGATATTCCTCCTCCTCTTCTAGAAAGTTCTGGCAAGCTCGAGGTAAGAAATTTCATTTGGCGATGGTAGTCAAACCATCTGAGAAGCTGTTCTGTTTTGTTTACAGTTTAGCTTGAGTTGTGAGTATCTTCAAATCATCAGTAAATCATCCTACATAATAGAGAACTTGACTCCTTATTTTGACGAGAATGTTCTGTCTCCTGCAGGTGTGGCGTGTTGACGGGACAGCGAAAACGGTTATACCTCCGGAGGACCATGGCAAGTTCTTTGATGCCCACTGCTACATAGTCCTTTACACCTACCATGGAGATCGGAAAGAAGATTTTCTGCTTTGCACTTGGCTCGGAAAAACTCACTCTGCGGTATGTTTCATCGTTGTGTCGCTGGTTAGTCTTGTTAAAGTTCTATCACCTTTGCCATGCTGTGTTACTGGAGAGCTCAATTTTCTGGTGCATTATTTTGCTTAGTGTGTGGTCGAGCGTACTCAGATAATGGACATGAGATCCTTACTGGCATGTGATTGTTTGCCTTCTGATTCATCTTAAACTAAACTGTCTTAACAAATCTTTCCGTTTTACTTGATTTCATTATCTTCTGCAGTTCTAAATTTATGTCTGTTGTAGACATTATTATATGCCATGGACAGATTAGTGCCTTAAGTTTCATAAAACGAAACAAATCAAGCAAAGGCTATCACCGTCCTACCAGGAGTCTTCGGTTTTTCTGGCTTAAATGGAAAATCTGTACTCTTTATTGGAAGTCACGTTATTCTTTAGAGATCAGGATAGACATCTTGCTGTTGGCATTTGTATGTACGTTTTGTTTATCGTAAACAATTGAAGATGACGATTGTGCGGTATCTTATGTTCTAGGATGAGCAATCCGAGGCTGTGAAGATGACCTCCAAGATGGCTGACAAGTTGAAAGGGCGTCCCGTACAGGTGAAGATCAAGTTAAAATTGTGGATTTTTCTATCATGATTTTAAGCTGGCATGGATTACTCAAGATAGCTTTCAGTAGGGTAAATGCATATATCTCAGGCTTGAAGAGCTTATGTCCAGTCATGAAATTTTGGCAGGTTCGCGTGTTCCAGGGCAAGGAGCCACCCCAGTTTCTTGCTCTGTTTCCTTGTCTTATCATTATGGAGGTAAAGCCTTCCACTCTTGTCTTCTTCCAAGTTCCGATTATAACCGGGTGGCTCACATTGTTGTATCGGTTTTTATGTGGAAATGGCAAGTTGCAATTTAAGTCTCCTAGCACTGTTCCTAATGATTCTCTTTATGTGTTATATACTTACTGAAACGTGAAGCATTTTCTGCAAAACTCAGAGAGTTAGGTAGAATTGAGTTTTGCCATGGTGTTCATCGCCTTCAGCCTTGTGGTAACACAACATTCTTGATCACTGTGTATTCTAAAGAGATTTATTTCTGATTGTACAGGGTAAAACCATTCCTGAGCTCTGTAAAGAGACGAAGTATATGATACGCGTACAAGGGACAAGCTCTTTCAATTCCCTCGCCATTCAAGTGGATGCGGTAAGCGTCAAGCCGAATGTTTTTTAAGCACTTCAGTTTTGATCTTGATTTTCATCAGTTTTTATCAGGCAAAAACTATTCAAGAAATTGTACAAAAATTAACAGGCCTCTGTAATTTCACGGAAATTATTCTGTCCTGGCTAATGCTTGAACATAGATGGGTGAACTTGATGTAGAATTCACCAAAGAATTTTGACCTTTATCCAAAAAGCTGAAACCTTTTACATGACGTTTGGCGCTCAGGTCCCTGCGTCCTTGAATTCTTCAGAATGTTTCGTTTTATCTTTGGGTAAGGTCTGTTACATGTGGAGTGGCAATTTTACGAATACTGAACATCAAAAGGTGGCAATGAAAGTGGCGGGTCTACTTAAAGTAAGTTTTGATCACAGCTGAGTTCTACAACTCATTTTATCTGCAATGAAATTTCACTTAGGCAAGCGTGTGGCATCTGCAACCTGAAGATAGAGACAAGTATCACGTAATTTGGATTATAATTTTTCTATGCATATGTCAAGCATCGAACTTTAAGAATATGGCAAATGTAGCCTCGATATTGGTCATACAGATTATAGTGCTTCGGTTGTGTTTCAAGTCTTTCACTTAACTAGAACTGATGGATTGTGAATCAGCTAACTGCGAAGCCAATCCGGGAAGGAACCGAACCCTCAGCGTTTTGGAACGTGCTGGGTGGTAAACAAACTGGGTACCCAGCCCACCGCGATACTAAGGATGTGAGCAAGGATCCGAGGTTGTTTCAGTGCACCTACACTAAAGGTGAAGTAGCTCGTACTTTGTTACAACATTCGCTTAAATTGATGTGAGTTTATCAACAGATCTGCAAAGCTTGTATTCAAGTAACATGTTCCGGTGGATCTGAAAGAGCAGCCGCGTCGTGCAAGCTTTTAATACCTTCACTATAGGGAATAATCATGAGCATATTCCGAAATCTCTCCATCTTGCTGCAAAGATATAACTGCGGAAAGCTAACTTCTTTTGTGGATTGTGTTTTCACGGACGTATGAACAGGAAAGCTTGAGGTGATCATCTTCGCAAACTTCAGATATCGAATATATTTTTGAAGTTTTGAGCAGCAGTTATTATGCCGTCCTTTCAGATCTTAGTTGTAGCTACCTTTGCAGCCTTCTTATATCTAGTGCTTCTCATATCCGTGATGTTCAATACGTTATGTTTCAGATCACCGAGGTATTCAATTTCGAACAAGATGACCTCTTGACGGAGGAGGTGATGATTTTGGATACAAATACCGAACTTTATGTTTGGGTTGGTCAACATGCATCGGTGCATGAGAAACAACATGCGTTAGACTTTGCCCAGGTATTCACACAGTAATCTGTACATCAGAGTTCCGAATGGACGTCGAATTATTTCAGATGTGAAAGAACGTTCAATTGATGTTCTCTATTTCAAGTCACCGTGATGATATTACGTAAGCTTGCCAACACCGTCTTTCGGTTGCTGTGCACCAGGAGTATCTAGATAACAGAGTCGCCCAAGACGGTATGTCACCGAAGGCAACTATTTACAGAATACCGGAGGGAAATGAGCCTTTATTCTTTGGTGGTCATTTTCCTTCTTGGAGTGCAACCAAAGTTACGGTATGTTTCTCCACCGGAAGGCTTTTCTCTCCAAATTCGTGACCTTTCGTGTCGACGAACTTTGATGCTGTTTGTTATTTTTTCAAATGCAGGTGCATGCCGATACCTACACCAAAAGGCTTGCAAATTTGCGAGGTCAAAAGTTACCCGTCGTCGAGGTAGGATATCGCCTTAGTTTCTCAAATTAGTATCTGCAAACGATCTCAGTATTCTTTCCCTCAGAGCTGGACTTGACTCTAGGTAAAACAATCGACAGATCTATAACCAACTGAAACATTATTTTGTTTAAATATTTGATATTTCTTTGATATGTATATACATAGGCATTGACAATTTATGACATCGGTAACAATCCAGCATGCAGAGGATGGCACCACACAAAGGAAAACAGCAATGGCTGCCCTCTCATCTGTTTTCGGATCTCCAGGCGATTATCCCACTTCCCCTAGAAGTAGTGTAGGTGGTTCGCCCAGAACACCGTCCTCTCACATCAATTCGGCGTCTTCACAGAGAGCAGCAGCTTTAGCTGCGCTTTCAGCTGCCTTAGGACAACCTCAACCTGAACAAACTTCTTTTGCCCCAGGTAGGCAGTGCTGAGTCTTACAGAACGTTGTTTCATTGGAGTTGTATGTGACCTTTTTCGTTAACATGTATCTAGATTTTAATAGTATGCATCCGGTGAGATTGCAGAGTTTGATAGTTATTTATATTGCTATTTCAGATGCTGATTGGGTGGCAGTATCATCTCCGAGCATCAAGTCTGAAGATGGAGGAAGTGAGACAGGGACGGCACTGTCTGAGCAAGAGCTTGAAGAAAGTAGCTCTGCAGATGGAACTTACGAGTACGAACGCCTGAAGGCTACCGCCACCAATCCGGTGCGGGGAATTGACTTGAAAAAGAGAGAAGTAAGTCCTGGTCAAGTTCATGTCGTCCCATCAACAGTTTGTGCTTGCCTTACACTCGTAGGTCGTGATTTGGTATATTCTTAACAGGTTGATCATGATTATGTCTTCTAAACAAAGGCATACAGCTCCTAAGTGTGCTGTTTTGGGTTCCCCATTGTTTAGCTTTGTTCTGTGTAGACTTGGTGGTTGGATCAGTTCAAAGGAATGACATCACTACACTTACATGACGTTACATGGTACTGAAGTATGTGTTTGTACTACTAAATTTCATATATATATATATATGAAATTTAGTAGTATGTACATATATAGAACACAATGATTTGCATTTTCTTCCGTACCAGCTGGTCTTTTCACGTTATTTATATCTAGGTGATTATGTAATATGTGATGGACAGGCTTATTTGTCCGATGAAGCGTTCGAAAAACTCTTCACTATGAAGAAAGACAAGTTCTACGAGCTGCCGAAGTGGAAGCAAGATCAACGGAAGAGAGTTCTTGACCTTTTCTAGTCAACAACCTCCAACATTTAGGTCGTGTCATACTCATCAGTCATCCATGTCTCTGTTGACTGATACCCTTGTTAAAATATTTATACCAGTAATTTTTGTTCCATTAGGTCAAGTTGGAGGAGTCATTATCTCTGCACTTAATTGGTGATGCTTAAGCATCTCGGCTGATGTATTCATACTTTCCTCGGAAGTCAAGTGACGAAACCACACATCTGTACCACTGCATTCTGTTGGCTGTGATCTCAGTACTGAACCTTATACATCAGAGAACTATTTGATCTCACTGCTTTGTCGTGTAGGAAACTTGAACTGGCTTGGCGATGACAAGAACACAAATACTTGGGCCCATCCGTCACCTTTTCCCTGATGCTTAACCTTACTATACGAGAAAGAATTATCTCGTTCAATGTGTCGGTGAGCGGAGCTGGCCCTAATAAGCAAGTTCTCAGTACAGATTTATCATGCAGAGTATTGAGTCAGGTATGCACTAATTTGAGCGTAGGATTTAGGAAGGATTATAACAAACCTGGGTTGTGGTTTGGTTGGCATAAGCCATTTTTTTTTGGCTTATGATTACGAGTTAGTTTATCTTGTGAAGCGACAGGATTGAGCTATTTTTTGAGCTCCAGGTATGAAACTACCATATCAATTAATTTGAAGTGAGTTCTGTGAATTGTGAATGTGGCTGCTGCTGTGTTTTTTCTCCGCTTTACTTCTTTTGGTTAATGGATCAGCTCTTAAAATTTTGGCTCATTTGTCGCTGGTCCCAGTAGTAGTGCTGTCTTGGAAGTCTTAGTCTAACGTCTGCAGTCTTATCGTCGAGTGAATATTGTTTTATCATGTTGTCTTCACGTAATATCGTAGTAGGCTGTATTAGGTGTCATAATTAGGCTGTAGGTGTCAATGCAGGCTCAAGATTTTGGCTGTGTATATTAGGGAGCTAGTAGCACTTTCGTGGGCTTGATTTTTTAATGTCTAGTCTTTCCATTCAGAGTACTCATGTTTCAACTTAGGTGACAACAAATGGATACAGTGGCACGCGGACCACATTTATCCAAGGCGAGACGTCTTCGTGGTTGCCATGACGTCCTACATGTTCGTAGGAAGTAGAAATTCACTGCATATGACGAGCGATACCAACCCGGGAGAGCTGGAATGCAACTATCCTGTTCAGAGTTGTGCTAGCCCAAAAGATCAACGCTACCACCAGCAGGAGAGATTATTAAGATGCTCGTAGTCATAATATAATGACAAACTAACCTGTATGAATTTAAAGTGCATCTCGTTACGGGTATCATCTGCTGTTGTTATTTGGTCCGTTGGAAGTACAAAGCCGACAGAGCACTACAAGAAAACTACGATCAAATTAATATGTACGTGCCTCTTTGCTACAAAATGGACGTCGTCTTTAGGTATCGGTAAATAAATTAGTTCTTGTCAGATGCCAACACAACAGAACCGACGACCAGTTGGAACGCTTTTCCGAGAGCGAGATTCTGAAACACAAAACGTTGATGTTCCTCACATAGTGTATGCGCCGTAGTTTGGTTTCGATCCTGTGGATCTTGTAATTTTGAGCACTTCTGAAGAGATACCTTGAGATTTATTTGTCAGTTTTATACAGTTAGGTCATCGTTCTTAGTTTGCATCAAACCATGTTACATGGATTCCCAGGCATTTTCCTCATGTGTACCACGTCCTGGCCGTGTATCCAGTGCCGACTATGTTTCGAGTAATCTTTCTCATATAAATTTCGAATTTGATGTTAGTGGATTTTTCACTTGAAGTACGTTGTGATTCAAGTAACAGATACATACCATGTCTGACAGAATTAATCCATATATTTGTACTTCCTTGTGCAAGGCTGGGTTGCGTTTTTTTTATTTCATATTGTTTTGGAGAAAACACATGGGCTGAGTAAATGAAGTACTTTCATGGGTGACCGAGGGAGAGTTTCTAATATGAATGGCCGTAGTCTCCTTGTCTTGGTAATAAAAGAATCTTGATCTAATCCTTCGTCTGTGGGCTAAGATAATTGGGAGACCTGCGTATAATGTACAACGAATAGTGGACAAACTTGGGACAACCAGAAGATTTGCCAACATTTGGACACATTAGGGGTTCATTTGCGACATAACAATCTTGTGTGAGTTAAGCTCATACAATGTCCCACTCATCTACACACCTTGTAGGCGAATTCGTTGTGATTAATACGTGAATTGTCATTATTGTTATTTATCCTAAGAACTTCATATACTTCTTCATTTTGATTACATATTATCCTGAATTTACTTCCTTTTTTCAAATATCCTAACAAATCGTCCACATTCTAAACCTATTTTCGCTTTCATGACAAATATATTCTAAGATATACCTCTTGTATATTTCTACAAAGCATGTTGCGAGAACTTATTACCTACAGTATCTAAAAGTATCATAGGTGCCATCAATATTTGCGGTTGAGGTTACTCTGTAATACAACTCAAACCCAAGGAACAGACTGGGGCCTTGCCTAAGAGACTTAAGGCCAGGTCCATGAGGGTATGTGTTTCCTAATCAAGTTTGTTCAAGAGCAATATACAAACATCATAACCGAAGATGTTATTTAACGTTGAATTGAAGTGAGTTTTTACACTAGAGTTTTTAGGTCAAGTCTAAACGACGTGGTGAGATCCACATTAAAGGCATATGAATGATAAGTGTGGAGATTGTAAGAAGAGCGTGATGAAGTAAAAGATTTTCAGAAAAGTGGAAAAGCTAATTTTGAAGATTTCAAGGCGAAAACCAAAACTAGATTAGGAATCAGCAACTGATAGTTTTTCACCTTACTCAAAATTAGATAATAAGATGACTACAAGACTCATGTCATGAATCAAATATTCAAATCAAATATCTCCCAAATAATACCAGTACTAAACTGTAGCTCAACTAAATTTGAACGGAGATGATATCATTAAAAAAAACTTTAACATTAAAAAAGGATACAGATTGTAGAGATTGTAACTTGTGGCATCAAGAAAGTGGTAATCAACTTTATCGAGGAAAAAACTATAGAATTTCAGACCAAATTTAAAGTGATGCATGAATCACATGGATGTCAAAAAATTATAGTAGGCTAAAAATTTAATTGCAAATACTTAATCAAAGTAATGATCTAGTGAGAGTAGTAGTGTGAAGACACAATTATAGTTCTTTTGACAATTATGAAAGATGTAAAACACTAGAATGTAAAAAATCAATTGAGTTAACCGACATGCGACTGTGATCCGCACTCAAAACCTGATCAGAAATCCACACATTTACTGAAAACAAAGATTTGTGAAACTATACTTCAAATCTTTTTTACAGTTGTATGAGAGAAAAATTCCATGAAATTGAATATCACATAATTTCAGAATTAAGATTAGATTGATGAAATATTTATTTTCATTCATGCATTCAAGGAAGAACATGATTGCACAATCATGATTGGCATTATTATTGGAGTTATTCAGGTGCATAACATTGATGGAAGGAGTCGATTTTGCATGTTCGGAGGATAACAAGGATTAGCTAGACGTATGAATGTGTTGGAAAATTGTTGGGAATTGAGTTTGTATCCGAGGATTTCAGAACTCAAAGTTTTAGTAGAGCTGATTCATCCCACATCAAACACTTTGCTCCTTGCTTTGCTATTAGAAATTGAATTCTCAAGCCTTTTACTTGCAAAGTAGCTGGTTTCTTGTCTTTATTTTCCCCATCCTTCTGTGGTACTTAGCCTCCTTAGTTCAAAAGGAAACTTGGAACTTGGAAGCATCAATTGCCCTTTACAGTAACTCACATATTATTTCTTGGAAGATTCCTTCATTCCAACAAAATCCCAAGCACCAAGTGCAATTAAAAAATTAGACTTTATCCAGAACTTAGCCTTTAACGTATTAGTAAGGCTGGACTCTTTTGTGCAACAATATTGGCATGCAATAATCACAAATGAGGGCAAATTTAGACATACTTCAACCACCCTTGGAATATCTCTTAGTGCAGTTAGCGAGGACTACGAACCATGTTTTGACATAATGGATTGAGATTATATCACAACGTGGATACCTAGACGAGAAGATACAACATGGCAATAACCAATGTGTAACAATGAACCGTTTGAGTCTTGACTCTTCAGTTCATAGTAAACATAGGATTTCAAATGACCATCTTCATTGTAAACCACTTGGTTTACAATGTTGCACCCTCCCCTTGTACTTGACCAACCTAATTTGTTTGTTTGATCGTTCTTTTTCAGAGTCACAAGCAAGCAAGCCCTCATCAACAACTACATAGCTTGTTCTTGAAATGAATTGCGTCAGATCTGTGGAAAAAAAAGGTAGGAATAGTACTTCAGATTGTAAAACATGAAACAAATGATCATGATCAGTGAACATCATTAAGAATATGATATATTATGCAATATCCATGGATGGGGCTCATGACGTCCACGTGTCCCCACCGGGCCTTTACAACTGGCACGTTCCGCCCCTGCAACTCAGATAGGCCTCCACTCAAATATCAACGATTGCAGCGAGAGGATGGTCGCTCGGCCAATGGACTGGCAAGAATGGGCCATGGACATCGAGCTCTGTCTACGCCCGTGCGCGTGCATGGCAAGCTCGAGCTCGAGCTGCAGCGGGACCTCGGATTGCACGTAAAAATTCGCTCGCGGACACGACGAAGGCCTCGGCAGGCAGGGAGGGCAGGGGAAGGGAGAGGAAAGTGATGGCCGTGTCGGTGATACCCAGTCCTCAACGATGGCTGCAACTGTCCGCCGAGAATTTCGTGGGCAGACCTGCGGGGCTCAGAGCTGGAATTCCGACTCGGGCCTTGGGAAATTCGACAGGCGGAAGTTGGTGCACTGGCGGCGGATCGAGGAGATTTCCTGGGGGTGCAGAGGTTAATCGTCGTAGAACGAGGCTGGCGTGTAGTCCAGGCGATGGGAAGCAGGAGGTTGCGAGTTCAGATGTCGGAAAGGAGAAGGAGATAGTGAAACCGACTGTGCAGGAGAGCAAAGGTGTGGTCGAGAAAATCGAGGAAGAAATGGGGCGCCAGTTCGGAGGCGTTCTTTGGTTCACCGTGCTTATCGTTTGCCTCGCCGTCTTCGGCGGAGCTTACGTCTACTACATTTTCACGTTCGCCAATTTCGACGACATTCCCATTCTCAGGGGTCCCGTAAGATAACGATTACGATGATGATGATGATAATGATAGTGAAAGCTTCCCGCATGATGACGACTCATTTGTAGGTTGGCCCATCTTCTTTTCCACGACCAGCCTTTTCCACAGCTCGCGGGGCGTTCCATGGAGATGTGCACTCGACTGCCATGTGATCCATGCCAAGCAAGAGAATTCGACCCCTCTCCAGAAAGATTGTGCATACTATGGGCCTCATGCTGTAGATAGAAGCCGCTCGGGGCAGAATCGAGGGTCCGTTTCAGCATTTTGAGGTTTCGAGCTGCTCCGTGGCCGCACATAGTCCAAGTATTTAGCTCATTTCGGCCTCTGATGACTTGTGACACTGTCTGGTGGACATTCATTCATTCATTCATTCTTCGGCCGTAATCTGGAAGAGTGAGTGTAACAGCTGTCACAGGCACGGATGATTCCCATCCTGCAATTGCAAGGTTTTGTTGGCTGTAATTCATTTGTACGTCTCCAGTGGCACAAGAACTGGTAGGTAGGTAAGGAATTATCCTCGTGATCGCGTCTCTGAGCCCGAGAATTGTCTTGCTTCGTCTCGAAATGTCCTGCCATGATGGTCTCTGTCATGCTATGGCTTTTACAGACAGACACTCTTGGGACAGACAGTTCGGGCGAGCTGCACGAATCATTGTGGAATGTTCCTCCTCGTCCACCTTCTTCTTCTTCTTCTTCTTCTACATCGTGTGATTTCAATGCGCAGGTAAGTTTCCATCGGCAGGCAGGCGAAGGGCGTCTATGAACATCTACACACACACTGACAGCCCCCAGCCCCCGCCTCAAGACTCAAGGAAGCTGCCTTTCCGAATGCTTTCACGCCCCGGCCTGTCAATGCCGATCGTCTGAAGTGCTGTCGGTAGTGGACGAGTAAATTCGGAGACATGTACCTCGAAGAAAAGTGCATTCCGAACTGACATTTCGAAGAACTTTTGATATTTGAGCCTCGTCTGAGCAGACAGTTGGCCAGCCGGCTATCATCCGTCACTGGTGATGTCTCCCCTGTGCCTATGGCAATTCGATCATCAGCCTTGACGCATATCATTCCGAAACACTCTGCAAGCAAGCAGAGAAGCACCAGACCACACAGCACACTGAGCACACGAGATGACATCGTCATTGACCGACCCTTCCAGCGTTAGACGATCCTGAATATAGATGGCTGCAATGGCAAAGACTAATTGGAACGGCGTCCTTTTGCCTCGATGATGATGATGATGACGATGATAATGTAGGGCCTCTGTTCCTAAACCCGCGTGCCCCTCGAACTCGGCTGCCATGTTTCAAGTACCTGATCGTTGCTAACCAAATTACATCACCTACAGCAAGAGTAAGCGATTCATTCGTTCAGCAGTCAAGTCACTCACACAGACACTCGACAATGCAAAGTTCCGGGCTGAGCCTCGATGACAAAGATGTTGCCCTGCGGACAAGATCATATGATTGTATCCGTTCTTCCTACCATGCTTCCCGGACCATCTTCTGACTTCCAATTTCTCCTCTCAACGATTGAGACAAAGATAACAGTCGAGGATCTGTGGGAGGGAGGGTTCATCAGATCCGACAGCAAGTTAGTCAATCTATCGTACATGGTGTTTGTATGACCTACCGCAGTCACCAGGATTCGCTTCAATTGCTCGCTGATTAGTGACTGGTGACATCGAGGGTGACGGTGAGGCAGCGAGAGACAGAAGTGGGCGTCATCATCGTCGTTTCGCCGGCCGGCAAGATGATGAAACCTCTGTCTTTCAGATACGCGCTCAGTACGAGAAAGTGCAGATCGCCCTTGTTTGCTCCACTTCGCGAGAGGCCCTCAGCCTCAGCCTCAGTCTCTCCTCGCCCACAGCTCGTCCGGTGCTCGTCTAGCTCGATCTCAGGTCAGCATACACCCCCCGCCATTCCCTTCCCTATCTCTAGAGATGAAATGGAGTTCATAGGCTGAATTCATTCAGCTTAGACCTGACCTTCCGGGACCCCACGACTGATGTCAAGCGTAAGTTCAATTTCCCACGCACAGCTTTCTAATTAGCGCATGAAGTTCGCATGGACTCGAGTCTGCCTTTGGACCATGAAGGTCGATTTGATTCGAGCTGCGCTCGTAGTCAGTCAGTCTGTCTGTGGGGAGAGGAAGTGGGCCCGAAGACATGGGTTCTGGAGGTTACCAGTTGTTCATCGTCAACGAGGACACGAAGAACCCTAAACCTCGAAACAGCAAAGGTGCACAGATACACTCTACGCAAGAGGCTTGACATGACAGCACCACAAAATGTGGAATCGATGAGGCTCTGGTTGTCGAAAGAACATGAAATTAATCCTCCTAGTGACAGCGTGTCGAGGTGCTCGGAGTTTTATCGACAGCTCATGTGCAATCCTGTGCAATCGATCGGCAAGTGTGTGGACGATCGAGGCTGTCAGATTCGCAGAGTTTAGAGAAGCAAAGGATCGTCATGAGCGGAAAGGTTGCTTCTGCTTCGGAGTGCGTGGGATTGATTCTTGATCGATCCTTGTCCATGTTGTTTGAAAAGGGAAGCCTTCCTACGAAGCGCTGTTGGTGGACGTCGGAGGCACTTTGCTGGAAACGTCGAAACCCGTGGCAAGTATTTATGCCGAGCTCGGATTGAAGTACGGTACGTCTCATACCCTCAGGTGTCCGATTCCTGCCGATGCTCTGTGACTGTTTCCGTGGAGACTTGCTTTCAGAGATCGTCCTAATCGCTGGACGAGTCGCTGTTTGGAACAGGCTTGAAGAAATCGCCGGATGAAATCAAGACGGGCTTCAAGAAAGCATTCGCCGCACCGTGGCCCGAGCGACTGCGGTACGAGGTGCGACATCTTTTCGACCGCTTTAAGAGAGAGAAGTTGATGGCTGTGTTCTGAAAATCATGTACTCCGATCCGATCATTGACAATTGTACAATCTCGTTGACCTCAGGGAGATGGAAAGCCCTTCTGGAGATTCGCCGTCGCCACTGCAACCGGTTGCCGTGACGAGAGCTACTTCGAAGAGTTGTACCAGGTGAGAGTGCATGATTGAATCCACGCTCCAGGCATCTGGCCCCGATTTGACATCGTTCTTCCACCCTGCTCTTGCTCGAGTCAGTAACCTGTCAGGATCAGAAGAAGCTCGTCGACACAGGCACCAGAAATCTTAGTAGATTCTCGGACGTCTAGCGCCAGCGATGTAATTCGGATCTCAAGGGACAAAAGTGATTCCGTCTATCTATACCATACCTGTTCATCGAGGACAGAAATCATAATCTGAAAAGAGTTGTCAGGGTGCTGGAAATCGGTCATCTCTGATCGATTTCTCAGTGCTCGATTGTCTCGCTTCTTTGGCGACAACTGCGTGTGAGGTTCTAGTTCTGTTCGGTCGAAGACTCGAGAACGAGCAAGAAGAGCAATCTTCGCCTCGCACTCTGGTTGTCATATTCGAGTACGTCCTGAGTTTTTCATGTCGGTCGATTTGAAGACCTCATGTGCGATCGATCGTTTGATTGTGTGAACATGGAGGTAAGTCAAAAGCTCCGTCTCTGTTCACACATCTTCTTCCGTATGTTGAATCGAGGGGAGAATCGGAAATCTGGCCGCTTTATTTGGATTACTGCCGATGGTCTGAAACTTTCTGTGGGATCCATGGGATCCAGTATTTTGCCAGGGGGGAAGCATGGAGAGTCTCAGCTGGTGCTCAGGAAGCGCTGGTGCAGCTTCGTGAAGCAGGAGGTAAGCACAGTTCGCCCATCTGCAGGATTTGACAGAAGAAAGCCATTTCCATTTCCATTTCCAGTTCCAGTTCCAGATCCAGATCCAGATGGTTGCGAGGACAGCAACATTGTGTGCCACAATGCGCAGGAGGATGTGGAGGATCTGTGTACTGGCTGTTTCGCTGCGGTTGATTTTGATTTGTTTTGTCTCGCTCAGTGAAACTTGCAGTTGTCTCGAACTTTGACTCTCGTCTACGGCCAGTTCTACAAGATCTACAAGTTTACAGCTTGTAAGAGCTTCTAAACTCATCTCCTTCTCGCTTCGTCTTCTTGAAACTAAGCATATTCTCTGGATTGCTCGTGCTCCATCTTCCTTTTAGTTCCGACTCTTTATCATTGACTCAAAACAGACTGAAAAAATGACTTTCTAACAGGTTTTACATCGTTACTTCTGAATCTGGCTTCCATCACTCACTCTCGTTTGGTATATTTTCTACGAGTGGCAAAAAGATTTTTTCCTGATGTACGTGAACGAAAGGCTGGTCGAGGAATTTCAGGCTGATCGCCACTCAGCGCAGCTTTTGTCGGGACCTTGTGTTCACTGACAGCTGCGTTTGTTTGATGATTCAGATTTGATGCTATAATCGTCTCATCGGAGATCGGTTTCGAAAAACCTGCCCGACAAATTTTTGAAGCAGCTCTGAGTAATGTCTCTTGTAACACCTCTTCAGCCTCGTGTGTCTTTCTAGAATTGTGAGATCTGTCGAGGTCTGTCTATCAGCTGTTGTCTCTGGTGCTACGTAGTTGCCATTATCAAGCCGAGCATAGCAGACGAGGTTTCCTTACTGAGAAGGATTCCGAAGTCAGCCAGTATTGCAAACTTAGTGCTACCTTACTCCTCACGAGCTCATCGATCTTCATGTGGTTTTCTTCATCTCTTTAGATGAGCTGAAAGTTGGCGCAGAACAAGCCGTTCATGTTGGGGACGATGCTACGGCAGACAAGGCGGGTGCCGAAGCCCTTGGGATCAAAGCCTGGTTAGTCTCTGGTCGATTGATGCCCTGCACGAATGTAACTGTGCCGAAGACTATCTGCAGTTTAGTTTCAGTATGTGGTCAGAAAGCATTGCATGTAAACTGCTCTTTTAGTCTCACTGATGATATTGTCAACTAGTTGTCGATTTCTGCTTGAATTGAGTTTGAACTCGTGTGCAGGCTGTGGAAGAAGGATGTCAAGTCTTTCAAGGAGGTAGCTGGACGGATCCTCAATGCAGATGCATATCCTGAAGGAAGTTAGAGAATGTGTGCTTCTTGGAACGCTCATATCTTGGAGTTGTGAAAGTCTTGTGGAAGGTGGAAGGAGGAAACAGTTGGGACGGAGCCAGGAAAGGTTGAAACTATGTATGGAGTATGGAACGGAGACAAATACCACACAAACGGGAGCAGTGGGTCAGAGACAGAATGATGTAAGCTCGGAATAGTCAACATCGTCTGGAACTTTGAAAGACGGTTTTTTTCAGACTTTGGCAACCATCTCTACTATGAAAAGCGAAGCAGCACAGAGCTTGTAGGACTGAGAACATGGTGAAATGCTAGATGCTTTCTGGTTCTGGACACTCACTACGATCTCCACAGCTGAAGGTAGGATCTCATCTATGGAAAGTATTGCCACAAAAAGTGCCTGGGAGTTTCGTTAACGTTGATCTCCGAAACCTAGAGATCCATGTGCAGATGGTGGCATGATGTGGTCTGGGTCGGTTGATGCTGCAGATTTGGATTGTAGCCAATGTGCGACAGTAGACACTACTTTAGATTCAAAAGCCAAATAGTGGAGCTGGTTTTCCACGTACTGTTGCAGGGAGAACAGATTATTCGCTTGAGACGAGTCTGACGTTGTTGCGCTCGTCACATGATGTGGGTCCTCGTGGTGTGGGATATTCCGACGTCAGATGTCTGGTTCGCCTTGCAGAACAGTTACATGATATCAAGTCTCTTGATGTATTGTCCTCTTTCATCAAGAGCTGAAGGTGGTGTCCAGCTCGTGTAGTGTTATGTGGGTGTTCTCGACTACTCCTTAAGCCAACTCGGTTGATCCTCACATATCCATGACAATAAACTACATCGACTTCGCTTACTATTACCAAGAATCTTGCATACTCTGGCTTTTACATCCAGGCAAATGTTCACAGATCCTAAGACACTCGCAGGCTTCGTGTCGCCTTCGAAGATCAGCCATCAGCATCACAGGGGCATGCCACTTACTTGTTACTTACTTGTGTGATGGTGCTCCGCTCGAGTGAGTCGCCCTGGTAGTACAGTACTTCGTCCAAGTCCGAGTCCAAGCTTCAAGGTTCAAACTCCTGCCCACGGGCATATGAGCCAACTTGAGGGACGGAGTTTCAGCCCCGATGCAGTCAAAAAATTTCTGGGAAATTTAGCCGAATTTGGAAAGGGTGGAAGCCTCGTGAATAACCGTCGCCAGGCATCCATGAACCATCAACCAGGCGTGGGAAACTACCAACCAACGGCCCCAACACACTCCAAAACGTTGTGGCATGGTCAGGCCCACGGGAAAGGCTGCCATGTCAACCAGTCCCAGGTGATTGCTGCCATAAACCAGGCCACCATCGCGGCGGTCATGACACGGGTGTGAGTTTTGATTCGCTAATTTTTACGGAGCACGATCACATATGTCGGTAAATTCGAGATGTAAATTTGGGACTGCAAGACGACGTTCAATCAGTTTGCGCAGGCAACATACCACGAGAGTAAAAACATGGCGAGGGAAGTGAGCTCCCGTGTTCAAGGCCCGGTTCAACTGTTATACGTTTCATGTGATTCAGTGATGTGTACAGCAGTATCATTTAAGACCAAATGCCGTAACCAAGGTTTACTATCTAAGATCTTCCATGAAATCTACTCAGAAAGTCACGTCTACGATAGAAATCTTCAGAATTTTCTACAAATCTCCGATACGTAGAAGGTACAGGTACAGGTATGAAGTCAATATACAACCCCCGAGGAGTGACTTGCGTACGCCATGCAATAGTTCATCCGCTGACTGACGGACCAGCATTCCTGTCACGAAGCTGTGGACGATTTCAGACTCGACACGAATAAGAAAGATGATACGAAAGCTCCAATTGCGCTTAAAAAAACTCGTCCATATGCAAAAGCTTAGTTAGGTAGATAAGTCAAGAGGTCAAACAGATAAGAGAAATACGAGAAAGGAAACTTCGAAACCCGGGGCTTTCGAAACTTCCCAAGATGAAAAGATGAAAAGATGAACAGATGAAAAGGTGAGTGGGAGGAGTATGATTGACTTACCAGAGCACACACACGGACTTGTGTTGAAGTCCAACTGCTCACTGGGCTTCATTGAAGTGATAGGACGGGCCTCGTTGTGCATGGTGTACGCTTCCTTGATTCAGGGTCCCGACAGAAACGTTTTCGGTCGGTCATGAGAATACCAGATTTGCCGTGAATAAGTTACAGTACAATTGAATCGGCTTCCAGACATGAAGGTACAGGTCGAGGCTTGAGCCTCATGAATTGAGTCAGTCAGTCAGCACAACCGGATATCTGGCAACCTGCATCGATGGAGCGGATGTTTTTTTTCTTGCTCTGAGTTTACTGGAAGTCGAGGCTCGAGAGCTTGGGGATGGCTCACAGAATGACAACGCTCGCGAGACAAGTTCGTGATGATTGGCGGAACCATCACACGCACTTCGTCCGACACGTGGGGAAAATGCATAGTGACGCATAGGTATGGAAGTCAAACAAGCTCGAGCCGGAAAAGCAGCGCAGTGTTTATAACCACAAACATGTGAGGTTTGCAACGGAAACTGGTGGAGAGCCTAACTGTCCCTTCGGTAGGTCACTTTGTGGAGCGATCTCGCCTCGGGTCTTGCTTTCGGTGCTTTGAATCTTGAAAAGGAAGGTCCTCCCTCCGTCGAGGCCCATAGCACAATCTTCGTACTTGCAAAGAAACAAATCGTGCTCCCCCTGCGGAAAAAAAGAATTCTGTCCTCGAAGATTCGACGTGAGGCAAGCATGGTGCACATGTCGCATGTGAGCAATGAGTTTCGTGTTCCAAAATCATGTGCCCATCCAAACGTGGAGTATTTGAGACAATTTTTCTGGAGCGGAGGTAGGGCTGGTGCAAGGTTTGCACTAGAAGAAAGAATGAGTAAGAAGTTGCGAGAAGGGATTTTATCTTCCTTCAAGGTCCATGGATCTGGCGTAGAGATGGATGACACATCGTCCTCCAAGTGCCGAATGCTTGGGGATGCTCGTCTGGCTGCTCTGCCAACTTCGAGTCGTAGATAGTAGTAGACTTAGTTGAGCTTGAAGTCGATGGAAAGTGAGCTGGGGATAAGGGTGAGCAACAATACTGCCATGATTTGTATTATCCCATGATTGTCAGAGAGGCCAGCCGGCTGCTCTGCTCTGGCCACGGGGGGCTGGTGGTTTATCCAATGGCAAATTTGGAGCGGAAGATGAAAAGGCGACTAATTTATTCTCTTCCGGCTCAGCAAACAACGACCTTCTCGATCTCACCGAAAGACTTCTTCCTCATCATGCCCATACTCTTCTTTGTCTTCGTCTAGGATTCTCGAACGTCAAGCGTTCTTCGAAGAAATGACTCAGCCCATGCTTCAGATAGTAACGAAGCATTGCACGTCGCCCCGCCCGAAGAGCTGTAGGCTCACGGCAGAGATTTGTGGATTTGTGTGCGGAGTCTCATGATGGCAAGCAAACTGGACTTGGACTCGGGCCTTCTTGAAGACGAGGAGCAGGAGGAGGGCGAAAAAGGGCGGCCTTTGAAAATGGCGGGCTACCCACATCACGAGGAGGAGGGAGGGAAGAAGGAAAAGGCAAACCGCAGCGCGACAACAAGGCTCGCCACACCGAAGCGAGCATCAACGATTTGTACTCGAGAGCAAGATATGTCGAGGCAGGGGGGGGGCCGAAAGTCAAGTGGAGATCAGTCAACATCGAGGGCAGAAAAGCGCACAGATCCATGGCTCTCATTATGGTGGATCTCGTCCGCCACCACGGACACACACACAGACGGACATACAGACAGACAGTGTGCGTCTCAGCTGCTGCTGCTCCAACCAAACATAGGCCGCAGGCGAGTCCTTCGTTTGCATTTGGCTCCGAAATTCTCGATTCCTTCGAAGGGAGGGGCAAGCGAATTATTATTATTATTATTAGGCGGCCCGGGCAGGCAGCCACTGGCGCTTGCGAAGGGGGGAGAAAAGGACGGGGGCCGTGGAAGGAGCAGCATCCATGCGCCAACTTTTCAGTTCAATGATTAAAAGAGCACTGGGCCTCGGAACGGGAATGTATAGGGGCTGCTATGAGAAGGACGGACGGACGAGAATGGACGAAGCCCTTCCGTTCCCTTCCGTTCGGGCAGCAAGGAAGGGCGGGCGGGCGCGGGCAGCTGCAGATGGCTCTCATGCTATTCGTGGTGTCGTCGTCGTTCGCGCGGAGGACGAGACTTGAGGAAAGGAGGGACCGTCGATGACCGGCGACCGGCCGGGCCGCGCTGCCACTCCTCCTCCGTCCGTCCCGGGGCGGAGCGGGCGGGAGCTGTGCCATAGCCGGGGAGGGAAGGGGGGACAGGGGGAAGGGGGGTAAAGGGGGGGAAGGGAAAGGGCGGGGCAGGGGCAGGGGCAGGGCTAGGCCAGGAGAGCGACACAGAGCAGCCCAGAGAACGGAGCTCTCCTCATTCACTCCTCATCACGTCACACGGACCGGACCACTCGCGACGTGAAGGATGGAACGGAGGGAGTGAGTAAGTGAGGGAAGGAAGGAAGGAAGGAAGGCAGGAAGGAGAGGAGAGGAGAGGGAAGCGGGGGACGGGGGTTGGGGGTTGGGGGTTGAGGAGCAGGGGGAAGCGAAGGGCAGGGGGAAGGGGGAAGGGAAGGGGGAAGGCAAGGCAGAGCAGAGGCAAAGGGAAGGGAAGCGGAGGGCGAGTGGGAAGGGAGGGAAGGGAAGGGGAAGGGAAGGGAACGAAAAAGGTTGGGGTCATACGGGACAGCGGTATATGGCGAGCATTGGCCTGCTGGTGCGAAAGATCGATGCATGTCCGTCGGTCGATCGAGCAAGCTAGTAGAGCTAGAGACAGGCGTAGCGGTGTGCCTTTGGTTTGGCAAGGATTGTTGGATGCATTGTTGTAGTGCTGGGGCTGGGGCTGGTGCTGGTGCTGCTGGCCGAGACGTTGTTCTGCGTTGTTCGTGGTGTTCGTATTGAGTATTACAGTAGGAACGGGAAGATTGCTTTCAGCAGCAGCAGCAGCGCGACGACGAGGACGAGGACGAGGACGAGGTGGCGGAGGCTGAAGCGGTCGTCGGGACAGAGAACGAGGAGGAGGAGGAGCTGAGGCGCGAGGCGAGGCGAGGAGAGTCGAGTAGAGAGGAGGAGGAGGAGGAGGGGGAGGGGGAGGAGGAATGGTCGATGGAGGCCTGGCCGGGAAGGCGAGCGAGGTTGATGCGAGAGAGGGAGGGAGAGCGAGAGAGAGAGTGTGTGTGTGTGCGAGAGGGCGAGGAACGAGTGGAGTTTTTTGATTCGAAATGGTGGCCGAGTCTGTGAATGGTGAATCGCGGAGAAATTGGGCTTAAGGAAGGGGATACAGGCACAGGGATGGAGCGAGAGAGAACGGATAGGACTAGAGGAAGGAGTGCTCGAGGTTATGTGTCCGAGGACTTCGGACGAGTGGCTTTCGGTGGCTGTGGAGTTATCGAGTCGGAGAGCAGGTGCGTCGGAGCGATCAGAGAAGGGAAGCAGACTTTTATCAGCACTAGAGAAAGCTAGGTAAAACGGATGCGGGAGATTAAACCTGCGCAGCGAATGGCAGATCTGGCCCGAAATGGACCGGTAGAACGCGACATTGAGCAGGTAAACGCGGCTTCGATTCCTCCATGTTTCTTAGGTTAAGACGTACCGACTGTTTGCGGGAAATTAAGCTGAAATGAATTTCTCTATTGTCCCAGTCACAGCAACAAATTATCTCCTCTTGTGTGATCTTCTCAACGAGTCCTCAAATCTTAGAATATCTGGCACCCCGTTATCAGGAATAACTTCCAGCACTTGGTCTTCTGGAACCCGTCTCATGCCGGAGTACTTCGGCGATCACTCGTACGCGTGTCATCCATCCTGAATTAGGGTTTGATGCTGATCTCCTCACAGTATAGGAACATTGTGGTCGTGATCTTAGTATCTTCGACGTTTTCTGAGCAGCAGACCAGAAAAATGTGGTAACTTGGGCTTTACCATTCCTCTCGCATGTACCTACCCCGTGATTTTAACGTAATTATACCATCGTGGCTATTATCTTCAAGTCAGTGCAGGATCTCCTTGCTAAATGTGTTCAGTTGCTCTTTACGTCTTGGATTTCGTGTTACCTTTGTGTCCTTAGTGCTATTTCCACTCGACCCTTTTTTAGCCCAAAATGTTGAGCCCGAAGTCCTTGTCAGTAATACTTACTTGGATTCGTGTCTGAGACAAAACCTTCAGAGTCCTTTTCTCACTTGTGTTCGTGCCTCTCGTATTTCAGTGTCCTCTTTGAGTGTGTGAAATCTTTTCGAGGACATCGATCAGCTGCCTTTAATTTAGAGGATGCGGGTGAAACAGGAGATGCTTTTAAGTCTGGAACTTCGAAGGACTATATTGCAAGTAGGAGGTGTGTAGTGCTTAGCTATTCTGGTCATGTTGTGTCTTAATGAGACAAGGGCTTGCTACAGGCTTGTTCGTTTAGTAGATGATCCTGTGTCCAGGTTGAGTATTTGCATTGTAGGCCGTGAAATGGAGCACAGTTGGTCTCACCAAAAACATTCGTGATATTGTTTCTCTCTGTAAAAAGTCCCGGGTGCTGTCGTCAATCCTTGTTGTTTCCTAGTGTCGCACACTGAAACCTGGTAACGCGATGTTGATATGTCGAGAACTTATATCGGATGTTTATCTATAAGATAAGACCGCTTAATGTCGAGAAGCTCACTCGAATGTGGAATGATGTCGAAATGCGACTGAGTCCCTCATGAGGAGGGCTTATGTACTCAAGTCCGTTGTTGCGGACTGGATATATGCGAGTTATAGCTTTCTTTTTACCTGTCTTATCAGCCGTTCATTGCTAGTACTGCATTGCCGGTTGAGTTTATCTCCTCTATGATTCTGAAAGTCCCAACTACATGAATGCTTGCTTCTGTTTGGCAGAGCTTTAATTTCTGATTTCGATACAACGACTCAAGAGTTGGGGTATCAGTGATGGTGGTCTCCTGACAGTCTACTTTCGTTTGCTAGCTCGGTATTGAATTTTGAGGTATCTGTCTATCCGACATTCTTGGCGATTACTAGGAATTTCCTAGATGATTCCAGTTCTGGAGAGGAGTATACTAGAGAGAGCTATGGGCTCAATGTAGGAGGCAATGTTGATTCAGGAGCACGTCTACCACATCTGTGGACTGTTCTCACGCTCTCTCTGCAGCTTCTAGTGCATCACTTTCAATCAGTCCTAAACAGTCTGTGTGGAGCTATTTACAACTGTTAAGCAGGTGCTGAATATCTCATAGCAGGACTCGTGAGAGGGCTTTCCTCTCACACGCACGACGGGATGTTTTCGCCTTAGTCTCCTGTAGGTATTGCAGTTGTTCACACCGCCCAACAGTCTAGGTCAAGATGTAGCTCATCATTGGACCCTTTTTTGCTCATCTGGTGACCAGCTTGATTTATGTTGTCGATTTTGCAGGCAATCACTGCACTAAAAAAGGGTGCTCAGCTGCTGAAGTACGGGCGTAGAGGGAAGCCTAAGTTTTGCCCATTTAGGCTTTCAAACGTAAGTGGCATGCTGTCTTGTTTTCTCTAGGTTTGAAGCTACATTCATAAGTGACGATGGATTTACAAACTGGCCGTTTGGGTCTTTCATTTCACTCTAAAAGCCGTCACTTCGGTATTGAAGCCTTTGCGTACACTGTTGACATCAAGGATGCCTCACTATTTCATGGCCCTCTTCGAATCACGTTGTCGGACCGTATGGAGTCGACTTCATTGCTTTTAATTAGTTCTCGACTCCGAGGAAGAACACTTTGGATACCTGCTTAGGATTGTTTCCATGTGTTTTGTCACTCAAACCATTTGGTATATGGGACTCAGGATGAAGGAGCTCTTATCTGGTTTTCTGGGAAGGAAGAGAAACAACTTAGATTGAGCGCTGTTGCTCGAATTGTTCCTGGCCAGCGAACTGTAAGTATACGCCTAGAGCGTTGACTACTTTCCGAGTCTAGCTGAGTTCCTTTGAAGTTAGCATGTTATTTTTCACGCAGAACTTAATTCTGCGTGAGAACTTCATCCTATCTTCCAACACGATACATTTTTTGTAAGCTTGCAATGTCAAGGCTTGTATAATTATCAAATTGTTTACAAATTCGTCGGTCCTTTTAGTTTGATTTTTTCAAAAGTGGTCTATCTCCTGTCTCATTGCGTTGTATCACTTGTATGTTTATATGCTTATCTTGACTTGTAGTCGTGAGGAGCATAGCCTTGACACCATTTGTTGTCTACGCGCCTATGCAAGGCGGTTTACATGTAGACAGTACCCTCAGCAGCTCCTTTCGCGGAGTAGATATCCATCCACTAGTTGTTGTGTTGATCTTGTGGAAGATTTGACTTCGGCAAGCTGCATCTAATACGTATATTTTTTCCTCTGGGCAAACCTTTAACTGAGTCAGAGTTATCGGTTAGGCTCATGGATTCGACTACGCTTAATTTCCACTTTCGGCTTTTACCAGGCAATATTTCAGCGGTATCCCCGTCCAGAGAAGGAGTATCAATCTTTTTCCTTGATCTATGGAGAGCGCTCCCTCGATCTGGTACGGTCGGTTGTGCTTATCTTCTCTTGAAGAAAAATGCAGCATTTTACAATTTGGCAGCTTTTTGCAGCTTTAACACCGCCCCAGTCAGGTGGGGGCGATGTTTATGGTTTTCAGCCCTGATGGGCAAATAGAGCTTACTTCACACCGGCGATTTATCTGGTTTTTCCAATATTTTTCTTGTTTCAATTTGGAAATTCTGAATTTTCTTTTAGATTGGAACCGCGATGCCAGTTGGCTCTAGGGGTAATCAGAAACGAATGGATGCGCTGATAATCTAAACTTTGCTTATCCTCACAGATCTGCAAGGACAAGGATGAAGCAGAAGTTTGGATTCTGGGCCTCAAGGCACTCGTTACAGCTGGTGTCCAGCAACGAAGGCCGAGGGCCGACAACAGAACTGACATACCTTCTGATACAACGAGTCCCATATCTCGTACGCGGATAAGCTCGCCCTTAACATCACCTTTCAGCAGTGGGGAGAGCTTGCACCAGGTTTGTTTTCCGTCCATGATTACAGTGTTTCGCCGTCACATGGATCGACCTTGAATGTACTTTGCTTGCTGCTACGGATTGTTTACATGTTGGAGGTCCTTAGGCTGTTGTACGTGTTTTGACGATTTTTCAGATATGCTGCACAGTATGTTTTTGCTAATGGCTTTGACCTTTTCTACATTATTCGATATCTCTTTGCTACGTCTTACAAAGCTAGTGTGCTTATTGTGAATGATACAGGATCATAGTGGAGATACTTTCAAAGTACTTAGTCCCTTTGGTAGTCCCCCACGTTATGATAAAACCCTCGAGAAGTCTTTTTCAGCTGGGGCTTTGGTAGTGGGAGATTCCAAAAATTACTTCGACAGTGGCTCTCTTGGAGGTTCAATGCATTCTGCAGGTTCTGACTTGAGCTCAGATAATCTGATGAATATGAAAGGTGGTGGTCCCCCCATCGATGCGTTTAGGGTGAGTATGTCGAGTGCTGTTAGTTCATCAAGTCAAGGATCAGGACAAGAAGAAAATGAGGCATTAGGTGACGTCTTCATGTGGGGAGAGGGCATGGGAGATGGGTTTCTCGGGGGCGGTGTACATAAACTATCGAGCGCGTCAGGTGGGAAGATGGATGCTCTCCTGCCGAAAGCTCTCGAATCAGCAGTTGTGCTGGATGTGCAAAATATTGCCTGTGGAGGAAGACATGCCGCCCTTGTGACCAAACAGGGGGAGGTGTTCAGCTGGGGAGAAGAGTCAGGAGGCAGGCTTGGTCATGGGGTTGACTGTGATGTGCCACATCCTAAGCTTGTAGAAGCTCTTGCCACGATCAACACTGAATTTGTATCCTGTGGGGAGTACCATTCTTGTGCGGTTAGCCTTGCTGGTGACCTGTACACATGGGGCGACGGCACGCACAACTTTGGACTTCTCGGTCACGGAAATGATATCAGTCACTGGATGCCGAAGCGTGTAAACGGCTTGTTAGAAGGAATTCGCGTGTCGTCGATAGCTTGCGGTCCTTGGCACACTGCTCTTGTCACTTCGGCAGGACAGCTTTTCACTTTTGGAGATGGAACATTTGGCGTTCTCGGTCACAACGACACCAAAAGCGCGTACTCCCCTCGTGAAGTAGAATCTCTGAAAGGTTTGAAAACTGTTCGAGCTGCTTGTGGGGTGTGGCACACAGCTGCGGTCGTGGAAGTCATGGTGGGCTATTCCAGTGCAAGCAGTTGTTCATCAGGAAAGCTTTTCACTTGGGGTGATGGAGACAAGGGAAGACTGGGGCATGGGGATAAAGAGCAAAGGCTTGTACCCACTTGTGTGGCCGCGTTGGTTGACTACAATTTCAAGCAAGTTGCGTGTGGTCACAGTCTCACTGTCGCTTTGACAACGATGGGCCAGGTTTTTACCATGGGAAGCAGAGACTACGGACAACTTGGGGATCCTGAGGCAGATGGGAAGATTCCCGGCATGGTGGAGGGGAAGCTTTATGAGGTTTTTGTTGAAGAGATATCATGTGGCTCCCACCATGTTGCTGCAATGACTCACAAAACTGAAGTTTACACTTGGGGCAAAGGAGCCCATGGTAGATTGGGACATGGGGACGAACGCGATAGACTAGTTCCTACTCTGGTAGAGGCGCTGAAAGATAAGCAGGTGAAAAATATTGCTTGCGGATCCAGCTTCACCGCTGCCATCTGTTTACACAAATGGGTTTCTGGTGCAGATCAGTCTGTGTGTTCTGGATGTAAGCAGCCCTTTGGGTTTACTCGGAAGCGACACAATTGTTACAACTGTGGCCTAGTGTATTGTCATTCATGCAGTTCCAAGAAAGCTCTCAGGGCCTCACTTGCCCCAAGTCATAGCAAACCTTACCGCGTTTGCGATCCATGTCATTCTAAATTGAAGAAGGCAGCTGAGGCTGGACCCAGTACACCTGCAGTGCTAGCGAAACGAGCGACCTTGAAGACTATGAGATCAATCGATAAAGATAAGTCAGAGAAAGGAGAGAAATCTACTAAACCAGGGCTATCGTCCAAACCTCCTGTAGAGCAGCCTAAGGCTATGGAGGGCGGGAAAATGCCCCCTCGACGTCCCAAGAAGTCAGACGTGTCCTCGAGCCGCGTATCACCTGCACCAAATGGGATGATGCCTTGGGGAAGTGTGAATGTGCCCCCTACTTTCAACACTGGTTTTTTCCAGCCAAAGATTATTGCCCTGGCCACCAGTCTTTCCGTACCGCAATCTAGGAATCTTTCCAGAGCTGTCTCACCTCTTTCAAGGAGGTCTAGTCCTCCGCGCTCAACCACACCAACTCCAACTATAACGGGTCTGACTATCCCAAAAACGGTGGTTGATGACCTCAAGAAGACTAATGAAGCGTTGAGTGAGGAAGTTCTGAAGCTTCGGGCACAGGTAGGCTCCTCATTACCCTTTTGCGCGATAGTTGTTGTTAAAGATGACAGTGAAGCATTTATTTTGAAAGACTTTTCTGAAAGATTACGTGACACTTAAGGCTAATATATTGACATCTGCCCACTAAATAGACGATGTGTAGGGCATCGTGTTGCACAGCAAGGCCTATTTTCATGTGAAGATCAATCGACTTTCTCGGTTTTATGTCTTCTGCTAAATTACTACCCCAATGCTTCACAGCCTGCGCTGAAGTGACCAACTTTTGCATGCACATGATCTTAATGTTGTTTATGCAGGTGGAGAATTACACCCGTCGGTGCCAAAATCAAGAAAAAGAGTTGCAGCGATATATGCAACAGGTTCGAGAGGCCAACGCAATAGCTGGGGAAGAGACAGCAAAGTCCCGAGCAGCCAAAGAAGTTATAAAGTCTCTTACTGCACAGGTTTGTTCACGTGAACACTGCGACTTTTGCATCTGGTGAAATTCAACTATCAGATCTGATTTGCAAATACGTACAGTTACTCTATGTCGACGGACAGAAGTCTTCATACTTTTGTCTAGAGAAAGTTGTGAATCTCGGATATAGTTTCCTCCATCCTGGATAAGAGTAATCGGTCCTATCCGGCCCTTTCTCTCTTCTTGTAATAATGTGTACAGTGTCTTGATCGAGTCTTCAGCTCTATCAGGAACTGCTGCTTTTGTTGTGAGAAATTCTTCGTTATCGCATACAGCTGACATTGTTTTCGTTTGCAGCTTAGAGATCTAGCTGAAAGATTACCTCCTGGATCCATTCGTAGACCTGGAGCGGTAACTGTTCGACATGACATTCCGAATGGGACACATCCCCCAGCTGTACCTGATCAGCTGGTCCCATCGGAAGTGGAAGGCACTCAGAACCACATAAAAAAGTATCACATCACTCCTACAAGTCCGAGTTTGAGAGATGGAGATATGAATGGTGGGACTAGCCCACATTCCAGTTCAAGCCCGCGCTCTACCGTACAGGCTAGCCCTCGTTCTCTTGATGGATCAGGCTCACAGGGGAGTCGACGCCAAATCGCCCTTAGACCTTCGGAAAGTGATATCAACGGCTTGGACCTTGGACAACGAAATGAAGAATCGGGGAGGACCATTGTCTCTGCACCTACAGAAAATGGAAGAGAAGAAAGAGCGGAGTCAGAGTGGGTCGAGCAGGATGAGCCTGGAGTTTACATCACGCTTACAGCCTTGCCCGGGGGTGGCAAAGATCTGAAACGTGTGAGGTTCAGGTATGGATGCCAGACTTCTCTGTTTATGCCCTTTTAGTGTGTGTGATTCTACATTTGTGTGCACCTCACTTCTATGCAACCCAAAAGCCCTTAGAGCCGGTGATTTCAAGAGTTTGTAATACGTTTGAAGCTCCGAGTAGAGAATTTGAATCTAGAACGAGATTCGGTTTTCTTTTTCAGTTTTTTGTAATATTCTCATTTCAAAGGCCTTACGTGATGATCCGTCTTGGATACTTAACTCACGCGCTGGATCTGTGATAAAGCTATATGGGTTGTCTCATGGCCTCGTTCAAGTTTTCGTGTTGTCCTTGTTTTGAAAATAGACCTGGTGGTTACTGTCCAAGACAAGTGTAGTTGTCTGTCTGCCATCATGGGCAAAATCATGCCCATGGCAGTGTGTGGAACTGGTTTTTTTGAAGCGGCGGCTTGTCGGTGTACTTTGTCTCAAGATTTTCTCTGGGTGTTGCAGTCGAAAACGATTCAGTGAACGACAGGCAGAGCTGTGGTGGGCAGAAAATCGTCAAAGAGTGCACGAGCAATATAACGTACGAGGGATGGACCGACCAAATGCAGGCATGAATCCCCCATCGAGGCCTGAGGAGGAGGAAAGGATAGACCCCACTCACCAGAATCCTCTCCATTAGAGGTTAAAGAGGATAATGGACTTGGAAATTGGATCCTCTAGTATCTTGTTAGTTGGAAGGAGATAACATATTCCTTTTAACCTGTTGTTCATACCCTTTGTAGAATGAGCTCTCCAAAATATCCAAGAAGGGTGAGGTAGTCTCTGCAGTTTTTCCCCAGATATTAGCACATGTTGGGTCCTTAGATGTGGTAACACATTGTTGCCCTTTTATGCCTGTTTAATAGTCATAATGCAGTCTTTTGCACGCTGCAGAGTATGCTAGATGGACACGGCATCTCTACAGTATTTTGTTCATGCTTGAGGGACTGAGCGAATGATACATTGTACATGTCCGAGGAGACCCAGAGGGTTGGGATTAATGGAAGCATAGGTCTGAGTGAGCAACAGATCTGGCCAATAGGCTGCTGATAGGTCAGGGACTGGCCGCATGAACGGAGGGGTGAGGATGGGACCACTGATGACCAGAAACCCTCCAATCTACACAGGAAGTGATCATGGTGATGACACGACCATCTTTTGAGTTGGTTAAAGTCATCAAGAGAGGACTTGCTGTGTGCTTTGGCCTCTGCATGGGTTGTGCTACGAAGAAAAGAGGATGGTTCGAGGATCTCTGGTCTTCAGCCTTAGGCCCAGAGCTACCCTTATTGCCCCCTTCAAAAAAATTTGTCATATCTGGCTCATAATCGGCGTAAGCAGTTTGACCGTGGTCACCAGCAAAGCTAACAGACTTTCATGGTTTAGTCTGAAACTTAGGTCTGCTATATGCAAGACAGTTGGGACGCATGCCCGAGTCCTCCCATCGTCAGCATGATGTCAGCTCTACAGCTGCTTGCTGGTTATTGCACTTGTTTGGTGCGTTCATTAGAGTCTGTAGCTGTGTAAATTATATTTCAGTCTCAATCAAACATGAAGCTCACCCAGTGAGTCCCGGTGACATTAGTTGGGTTTTTTGATCTTTAATAATTGTGAAATCATGTCAGTATGCTGCTCACAGTGAGCTAGCATCGATCTTCCTACGCTTCTATATATTGCTCGGATATGATATAATTGCATCAAACATGTGAATGTCTCTATGATGAAAGTAAAGTTCTCCCAAGAGATTGGTTAAGTTCATTCGGTGGGTGATGTGGATTCTTTTCACTTTCGGCATCAGCTGTCTCCGGGACTGACTGCGTAAGCTCCAAAAAACTCTTGCATTCCTTGTGTTTTCATGTATTTTCTTGTTAAGTTTATTGTCCAACCACCTAATTCTAGGTGTTATCTGGCAAGCCATGATCGTGAACACTTTCTTTTTGGTTACAATAAGGTGCCCCGCCCCTGGGCTTAGCTGTTTGTGGTTATTTTTTTCTGTCATCCAGGTTAAGTATGATACGACGGAATCTGTATAGCAGGTTGGAATCAAAGCCGAAGGTGTGACGAATTTTCGCTATCCTCGGTATATCGCAATCATTGTAACGTGTAAGCTTTCAGCTTGAACGTGCCGGAAGCATCATCATTACAAAATCCGAACGCATGGACACCGTATGGAAAGTTAAGTTTCGTCTAGAGGCAGTACGAGATGTGCGGGTTATATCAGTGAAGACGAGATTGTTCGAGTTCAACAGATATGAGATGGAGAAGCATGAACTCACCCATTGTGGGATTGTAGTTGTGCACACTTATATGATGTAACAACGTGGTGTTCACCAGGTTGTTAGCTAGACATAACAGTTTGAATCTGTCGGTAGTATTGGGCTTTGAATTTTCGCAATATTAAACATGAAAGTCTGAAGTTGCACCATCTTCGATCTGTCTGCACTGTCTACGGTCGTGACGTCGTAGTTTACCCTCACACTAAATGCATCCTGTTCCCTCGACAGACTCCTTGTAGAACACGGAGCATGTGGACAACAATCAGTTGCCAAACCCAGTGGCTAGTCCCAAATCTTGAATCCGGTCTTCGTCTTTGCTTGATGGCTGACTTTCTCCACTGTAGATGTGGAATTTGTGCAACCTTTCGAGAAAGTCGAAATTTGTTGGGACCCGATATAGCACACCGTAGCGTACGTTAATGGAGATATGTGAGGAGACCAGATGGTGGGCGTTACATCTGCATCATGCATCTTGGAACTGCTAGTAAAGAAGTGAATTTTGCCGTGACATCTGTCCAACGCAGTATATGGCATGACGCTAGTAGTTTATTCCAGTAAAAGTCAGCACAAAACCTTGTTCTGACATGGCCCTAAGTGGAGACACATGTCTATCCTGCAGTAGTTGACCAGCTGACCACCAATATACCATCTGATCTAGGGACCTCCTGTGATTTTGGCAACCAAGCGATGATTGGGCTCTGCTACACACATTAAACACAAAAAATCAGCGATTAATACGGGTGCCACTGGGTTAAATGGCCCTGCATGTACTCCATGTTCTCGTTTGTAGCCTAGCGAACGTATTGTAAAGCATTTGGTTATCTGGGTACCTGAAAGCAAGCACGAATGAACTTATATAATAACCTCGTTTATCCGAAGTGGTACGTAGTCTTGCTTTTTTTCCATAACCATGTTGACGAGTCAATATCGAGTTCCATGGATAAAAGTCCAGAATGCGACTGTGAAGCAATGGCATAAGAAGTGAAGAAATATGAGTACGAGCGTCCCGTGGTTGTCTAAACAAAACGTCACGAACTTAAGGACGAGGTTCACTTGGGGTACTGTTTTAGGGTCTGACATTTTTCGTAATAACGGACACTTTCGACGTGTGTTACATTCTCTGAGTACAACTTATGGATAGACTCAAGTGGACGATGACTGCACTATGCACTGGGTTAGCCTTGAACACGGCACGAACCAGGTTTGGCGTTGGGGCGCACTAATTGTGCACAGTAGTCAGATTAGTACTATGTGGTGCATATAAATCATTACCTTAGCGGTGAGCAGGCCAAAATCTGGCCGAAACCATCAGGAGTCAGAGTGAATGTTCCCCTCTGCTCGCGGATTCAGGCTATTCCATTCAATTCTGTACTGAGTCTTTTCATGCCAGGTACAGCGAGAGCCAAAGATGGAATGGGGGGTGAAGGAGGTCCCAAATGGTGGAAACTGCGAGCCTTGAAGTCGGGTCTGAGAGGAGATGTGGTTGCCAGAAAATCTCAGAGTCCCACAATCCGGATTTGGTCCATGCGCCCTCTGGCAGACGTCTGGTGCAAATATTCCTTCTCGCTGTGGAACCCACAGATTTGCCTTGTCCATTAGTGAATCAAGGCGCTTGCCATCCTTTTCTTGAACATACATGCAGTCCTCGCCAGAATGTGTCTCACCATCGCTTCCTGAGAGCAGCGCGTGTTAATGACGAGCCGCCGCCTTTTTAGCTACAACTGATTTCTCTGGACCTACTGTCGCCCTCCGTCTCCGCCTCCCGTCCAAACTGCTCTGCTGAGCGTCTGCTCAAATTCTCTATTCTTGTGCCTCGTGCCTCGCCACAGGGCTCCAACGTCTTTTCGCTGCTGCATCGAGGAGGAGGAGGAGGAGGAGCGCGAGCGTTTGAGGAATTGATGAATGCAGGACGCACTTGGCACCACTGCTTCACTTTGTCACGCCTGCCTGCCTGTCTGCACTCGGCTCTCTGTAATCGATCGATCGAGCGAGCGAGCAACGAGAAACGAGCGATGCCCTGCAGTCGGGGCGAAGGGACATTGGTGCTTCACTGTACCCCCAACTTTCTCATCCTGCATGCTCTCATGGTACGTACGTAAGCCCTCGGCTTCCTAGGAAACGAAGCCCAAGCCCAAGCCCAGAGGGGGGGATGGAGGGGAGGTACGACCTGCGACAACGAAAAGCTGACGGGTGACTAGGCAGGCCTCGCAGAGAAACACAACAGTTAAGTATGTCAAGCCCAAGCCCAAGCCCCTCCCGCTGCCCCTCCCTCCCTCCCTCACCAACAAGCCCGCAACAGGAGCTTGGGGAACTGGCTGGGGGCGTTGGCCGGGGCTTGGGTGGCCGGCTGTGACTGGCTGGGCTTACCTCTCCATTAATGCTAGCCTCGAAAGGCTGACTTACGCCCACCAACAGAACAAACCTTGTATCAGATGACGTGCGCCCATCGCCTCGCGAATGATCTGCCTCTGCCTTCCTCGCCTGATCTGGCCTGGCCTGGCCTGGCATGTATTTTCCTCCGACCGAACATTCCCACCAGCCAGCCAGCCTTGCACCTCGTCGACCTCCGTGTTCCTGGAGAGTCTGGAGACATTCTCCTTGCCCCTTCATTTTGTTGAACCGAGCTTTGCAGTGGCAGCTTACATTGTCTTGTTACAATGCGCTCCTTCCCAAGCCCCAGACTCTGACCTTTGATTGGAGTCCAAAGCACGAGTCTTCGGCACAACACAAGGCACGAACAGGATGCCAGTGCAGCATTGTATACATGGATGGGGTTTGCAGAAACATGGAAGACTACTTACGCGAGCTTCTGATTAAGCACAACAGCAGGACGAGAGTACGACTCTGATACGTTTAAGAGCAGACGTGCTGAAACACCAAATCATCAGATCAGCTTCCAGCAGCAAACAGTGGCAAACCTGCCTCGCCACGCCCCCTCCTGTTGAGGTCGAGTGGTTGATCTACAACACGCTTTGGGCCAATGTTTGACCGACGAGATAAACCCAGGAACGATGATTGATGCACATGACCGCTAGCCCAATGAGAATCCAACCTTCCCTAGTGTCTTTGGAGCCTTCCTTCTTCACTATCGTAGAAGGATGGAGTTTCTGACATGAAGGGAAAAAAAAATCGGTCGGCTCTGCTGGTCAAAAGTTTGTGAAGCCTCTAGAACCTCAAGGTTCAGAATCTATTCTCCTTCTTCTTTTCTTTCTCTTGCTTTTCGACAAGTTATGCACATTGCGGTTGGTGCACACTCTCCTTTCCACTACAAAGCTTGCGCTCATCCCCCAATCGGACTCAACTCATTTGGCTCGATCACTCGAGGCATCGTTGTTGGCCTACTTTCGTGTGATTCCACTTCGGCTGTGGTCAGCAAAGGCCTGCCTCCCCCTCCTGCCTGCCTACCTACCCTGTCTGACTAGGTAGAGGTCAGATGCAGAAGGACAAAACTATATAGGCCCTCGGTCCTCGCTGCCTAGGGTCAAAGGTTGGAACCAGGTTCATGTTTGCCCCTGGACTTCGGTCCCTCCAGGACCACTTTTACCCTCCCTCCCTCCCTTCCTCCCCTCCAAGTCTAAAGGGCTACAGTTTTGGTTCCATTCTCGGTTCTGTTGGATTTCACATTCGAGGCTGCACTCCATCAGTCTCCATCAGTACAGTACACACAACTGAAAACAATTCTTTCGACCGACTGGAAACAAAAGTCTATCCGTTTATTGGAATAAGCACATTCTTTATCGATATTTCATCACAAGCTGCTCTGATTCTCTGAACCTATCAGTGTCTACAGAGCCGGCTACCAAAAGGATAATGTTATTCTTCCAACATTTAAGAACGTAGTACCCAAAGTCATGCGTTCGCTGGACGATTCCGAGTTTCGAAGTCTGAGGATGAAGTAGTTTGTACAGTGGCAGTCGTCTTGAGCCTCATGTTACAACACGTTACTTGAAACCTCGAAGCTTGGGACAGTTGTTAATCGGAGTACTTGCTTTGGGAGATTATGATGAAGCAGTAATTGGAGCATGATTAGCTGGTCGCGCAGTTCGTAATTATTGTTCCGTTTATGATCGCGAAACTCCAGCAGGTTCGATTGGGCACGAACCATATCTAACGCCTGTTCCTCCATCGCCTGTGGTCATTTCGGTGGTCATGGGATCTTGAACCTTCTTCTTATATCTGTACTAAACCGGTTTATGACGCTCTTATTTTAAGTGTTTAATCCACTTATAATTCATTCCAACTGCTGTACTTTGGGTTCGTGTAATCACTAGTAATTCCACAGTCTAAGAGGGCAACAATACGATTGATTTTTCTATAGCGTGTACGGCGTGGTGGACTCGGAAGGTAGAGCCGACCGCACCGCCTACACGAGTATATTAGACTTAGACCGGCCGATAAATAATCTTCTCATAATGGAAAGACGTGTTTCCAGACGGTGCACACTGCTCAGGGGGCTGGGCTTGGGGGCTGGGCTTGGGGGTGGGGGACAGCCGACTCTTGTTCGTGTGTTATGCAAAGAATGTTGTGTCGAGGTTCGGACGGTTGTCAGAGCGAGCGAGCGAGCTTGCTTCCTGGAAGGAAGAGAGCGGGCACGTTTTTATGAGAGTCGCTGAGAGAGTGTTTGAGGGCCGCGCCCGTCCTCCCCAACCCCTGCCTTAGCCCCTGCCCCCCGAGGCTCTGCTTACATCTTGCGAAAGGAGGACAAAGTTTACGTTCGATTGGCGCTGTTGAAATGCGTCCGTAGCGTTACATGCATTCCATGGCAGAGCAACGTGCCGTGCCGCCTCGTCACCCAACGACGACACCGTCGCCAATATTCCCATGGCAACGAGCGAGCGAGCGAGAATTTTCTGGGCTGCATCTGGATCCGCGCCCTGTGCATCGTACCTCGCTCTGCTCCTGCCCGAGCGAGCGAGTCCAGAGCCAGAGCGAGTACGTACGTTCACGTTCTCGTTTACGCTTACGATTACGCTTGGAAGTTCGTGTCAATGATTTGATCGGGGCCCCTTGTGTAAAGGCGCGCTCGCACTGATGACTCGGCCCCATCGGAATGGCAATCTGGTCTCGGACTAATCCGGACGACGATCGATCGATAGTCGTCGCCTTTTCCTCGAGATGTTCAAAGCGACGTCAAAGACGTAGGGCCCCCGAGACTTGTGTGATGTGTTCATACGCCCGCTCGCGACGATAATATCTCGCGAGATGAATGAATGAATGAACGAACGAACGAACGAAGCCCCTGCCGGTGGTGCTCATGGAAACTCATCTTCCTCGGAGAAACCGATAAAGTGCGATTTCTCGTCGTTCGTTCCCCTCCCCTGGCCCTACCCCTCCCCCTCCCCTTCACGAAGGCGAGGGGTTCGAACGGAAGGTTTTTTAATGCTCTGCTCGAAGCCCTTCCATGCACGACGCGACGCGGGCCAACGATCGAACGTTTTACGTTGCGGGAGCCGGTGCCGCCGTTCGGTCCGGGGACGTTCGAAGTTCGAATTTCGAATTCCGAATTCGAAATCGGTCGTGCTCCGTTTTTTATTCGTTCCCTGCACGTCCCAAAGTCACGCAAAGTCGACGTAAAGAGAATGCCTTTCTGCCCCCGCCCCCACCCCCAGCCCCCACCGAGCCCCACCCCCCAGGGGGGGGGGGGGGGAAGCCGGGTGGCGCGGGGGGGTGTGGGCATGGATGGATGGATGACTTTAACGGTTCGGAGCACGCATTAGCGCTTTTAATAGGGCCCGGAAATGATTGGCCGCAGGGCAAAGTCAAGCGATCCAGCGATGGCTCATGGCGAGGCCTCGTCCAAGTCCTCGGCCGTCGGGGATTTCCTCGAGAATTTCCGATTTCCAGTAGTTTTCCTGTTCTGGATTCCGGTCGAAAAATTAAATGTCTCGTGAATTCTTCTGCTGGCTGTCACTTCGATGGTCAGCCTTCATAAGCCCTCATAAGTAAGAGTGAGTGAGTGCGTGCGTGCAGACAGTCCCACCGAATGAGTAGTAAATGGGACGAAGCAACACTTTCTGCTGGATTCACTTATTTGTCACTTATTTCGCCGGTACTTGCAACTGCGGTCGATGTGGTTCGTTAGTCTAGTCACGTCTCGTGCTCTTGCTCTTGCTCGTGCTCCTAATGCTGCTGTTGTGTTGGGCATGCAGACGAGAGCATTAGCACCCGACAACTGCACATGGAAAACCCCAGTGCGCAGGACGGATGCATCTCCACCCTAAACCTCGACACACTCCTCCTCCTCCTCCTCCTCCTCCTCATCAGCATCATCATCATCATTATCATTATCATCGTCTTCGTCCTTTGTCACAAAACAGCTGCTCCTACTCCTACTGCCACCACCATCCCCACCCCCTTCTGTCCTGCTCCGGGCTCGAGACGTTCGATTTTCTCATAGCTTCCCTGCCCAGTTCCAGCTCCATCAAATCAAATGCCCACATTTTTAGCTCAGCCTAATGGCTAATGGCTAATAGGCGAATGGCTCATGGCCATGGTCGGAAGGAAGGAAGGAAGGAAGGAAGATTGATTATGATGAATGGAGGAATGTCAACAGAGAAAGACCGGCTTTGTCCACGCGCACCAAAAGAAAAGTGCCAACTGGATCGAACCACAGTTCCGAATCTTCCGATCATGAGCCTTATCGCTCTACCACCCTCGTCGTCAGTCGGAATGCAGTGAGTGCAAGCCGAAGCTCGGAGGGAGCCCTTTGCGGGAGGGAGGTGGAGTTCCAGAGCACCGAAGATCATTCACGGAAGCGAGCGAGCGAGCGAGCGAGCTTCGTACAGGGAAAGGATAAAACGAGGGGATGCGATGGAGTTCGTTGCGTGTTGCTGTAGACAAAGATCGATCGAGAGAGCTCAGGTGTCAATAAGTCCGCAATCGACTGTAGATGTGGATGTATGTTGTCCAGGTCCGGCGCACAGTGCTCCGCGGCGTTGTTACTCGCCTCGGTCCAGGGTATAATTACGTGTCCCTTGATGGGTTTCTGCTCGGGCCACTGTGCAGGGGTAGAGTGATAGAGTGAGTGAGTGAGTGAGTGGGTAGGCTTGATGCATGGCCTGCACTGTTAAATTCATCACATGGGCTGCTTTCGCCACAGTCCCCCCCTTTCGAAACAGTGCCAAACCTCTCCTTCCTCCCTCCAGCTCCACCACGTTCATCGCATTCGGAACGTTTGCATCCTGGTCAGAACTTGGAGCGACACCATCAGTTCTGCTGAACCTGAAGGAATGCCTGACCTTGCTCGAGAGAGAGAGAAAGGGGGAATCTTTCGAACCACCGAGACCAAACCGATCGTCTTGTCTGCTCTTGTGCGATCTCACACTCTCTGCTCTGGTCCGAAAGGCTTCGTCGGTCGAGGTTGAAGCGAGCATTCATTCGCTCGATCGAGAGGGAAAACGAGAGGGAAAGGACACATAAATACGCCAACTTGTTGTTGCGTTTTCCCCCAAAAAGTGGCTGTTGCTGTCGAGCTTTTTTTTCAAATCCTCGGTCATGCTCCGGTCCTCATGAAATACTGCTATTGTCGTTGCTACTCTGGGACGGGTTCATTCATTGAGCTGTTTAGATAAGACACGTTTCTTCCCCTCCGGCTAGCCCCCACTCCCCACTCTCCATTCGCCACTCCGGCCTCTGCAGCAGTGCAAACTGTTTAGGACCAGAACGAATCTGTCTCGTGATCTCTCTCTCTCTCTCTCTCTCTCTCTCATCGGCTCGTGAATGATGACGGACGGGTACTCCACACTCAATCTGGTCTACATACCTTTGGATACGGTGTATGATGATGGCCAGCCTCCTCTACTCCACTCTCATGGAGCTCAGGGATTGCTCTACCGTCACCGAATGAAGGAGACCGTACCCCCACTGAGTGCCTAGGACCGTATGGAGGTATGAAGGGGGGCTTGTTTACAAGACAGCCTACAGCAATGACTGTCACGATTTATTAAATGCTAATTTAATCGAGCGCGTTGAGAATTAGTCCAAAAATACAGTAGGCCTATCTGCGGGAGGTGTCCAGTGTCGGGGCTGCAGGAACAGCCCCTAAAGTTGGGGGCTGCGGTGGGGCTGGGACCGACTCCTTTTCCATTGTTTCGCGGGGGCTAAAGCTTGGAGCAGCTCGGGCTTGCATGTGGGAAGCGTGGAAGCGGAGACAGAAATTCTGAGCACGGCAGAGGATAAGTACCATATTATTAGAATGCGAAGACTCCCCGATTCGCGATGCGAGTTCGGCATTTGGGCACCTCTCTGTCTATCTATCTGCGCTCGGATTGGGGGTGGGGCTGGGGCTGGGGCTAGGGCTGGGGGTAGGGGCGCGACTTTCCCGGCGCCGTCGCCAGATGGAGGTGGTGGCTCGATCCGTCGCGCGGAGTCGCGAAGCACCGAGGAAGATGCTCCGAAGTGCGCTCCGGCGGTGATTGGCTCAACAGCCTGTGCCGTCGCGACGCGCGACTTCCAACCCCCCAGCACCCGCTCCACTGCCCCCGTCTCGTCTTGCCTCCACTCACGGCGCTACCGGACGACCGGCCCGCCAGCGGGGCAGCGCTTGGTCATCGATCGATCGGGAGCCCTGGCGCCGAGATGATTACCCCCTGTCGGACCCGACGAAAGGTTTCTCGTGAGGCCCGCTATGTGTTACGACTACGGTGGCTAACATGGCCACCCAGCCTCGTGTCGTGCTCTTCCAAAAGTAAAGTCAGATCGATATATCGATATTCCGAGGAAAATCGCCATGAAATTCGATTGCTTGTGATGTGCGTTCGCATAGCCCTGTCAGAACAGATGCTGCAATTTCCCAGATATCTGAACCCCCAAATGCAATCGTGTGGCTCACCACTACGGTATCCTGAAATACGTTGTGCTCCAGCTCACACGTCATCCATACGAGTATGTGCGCCAAAGGACTCGCCGACTCCTTTGACACCCGAAATCATTCCGGCATGTGCAAAGGTCTTTGCCACTCGACCACGTGATGAAAGTATTTTCTCCGAATCTCTCTATAAATGAAACTGCTATTTCCCTGCCGGTTAACGCCGCCACGCCACCGTTAGTCCGAGCCTGTACTTTGACAAGTTTAACTGACGTCTCTGAATGAAGGGAGGCACTGATCGAATGTTTCAGCATCTGGCTCATTGCGCTCATACTTTGGGCTAACGATTGGAAGGTACGGGTTCCGTTATTTACCCGAAACTTCGAGTTTCACCGATCACCGATCGGTGATCACCTCAAGAGGCCTCAAGGAAGATAGGGGAGAGTTATTGTGACGGAATATTAATGTTTCCACTCGTTTGGTAGATATCGACATGATAATGCATTCATGCTTAGAGATTACATCGACCACGTCCTGCATGGACATTCCGATTGATTTCGGAGACCAGAAGCCTTTTCTTGCATTGGACGGGTGTTTGAAGGCATGTGCTCGATCCGATCACTCCGATCAATAATTCTCGTCGACATCTTTCACGGCCTATAATTGAAATGAATTTTATTGCTTCTGAAAAGTCCCTCGACATGAGTTAATGAGAGCAAATCTCAGTCGGTCGAGGTCGGGGGTATCACCTCCCGGTCTCGTGCGAAGTTGTCCCCTCAGCAGCCACTTCCCAGCGAAAAGTGTTAAAGATAAGATACAAAAGCGCCTCTTTCTTCTTTGGGAGGGCCTGCCCCCGATTGCCCCCTCCGTCTATATCCACCGTTGGATACGCCTCCCATCATCTTCTTCATGTGAAAGTTCCGGTACCCGCGTTAACGATCATCAGGGTCAACTGCGGCAGCAACCACGTACGTCTCGGCCGAGAGGAGGAGGTGACCATTTCTCCCTTTCAGGCGTGGTAATAAGCCGCGACCGCGATCTGATCAAATTGGCAGTCGATGTCGAAGACGGCGTCGGCGTCGCAGCCCCAGCCCCAGCCCCTGGCCGGCCGGCCAGGGGGACAGCGGGGCTAGGCGGGGGGGTCAAAACTCCCCCACTGGGACAAGGACATGCGTGCAGTCTTTCCCAACAAAGGAACAAGCGTCGCATGATTGAGAGAGAGATAGAGAGAGAGCAAGCAAGCAGGGGCAGGGGGCAGCAGCAGAGAGGGAGGGGGAGAGAGAGAAGAAAGCCCAGACGAACAACAACAGAGCGGAGAGGGCTTCGCCTGCTGCAAGTTCTGCTTGCTCGCTCGCTCGCTCGCTCGGTCGACTGCCTGCTTGCCTGCCTGCCTTGCCGACAAAAGGTCTCGTTGTTGTTGAGCTAAAAGCGTTGCGAGCGGATCTTAATCGATAATCGAGCTCGGCTTTCGGTCCAAGCAGAACATACAGTAGGCACTTGGACGAACTGGGTGGGTGCCTGTTTGCCGTTAGTGGTATGCATGAGTCATAATACTCGGACAAATAGAATGCAAAGATCAATGCCCGGATGACAGCCCCAGCCCCCAGCCCCCCGGCGTCCTCCGGCCTCACCTCCACCATTTCCTCTGCCCGTTCGTTTGACCTTCAGGACAAAGAGTCGCGTGCTCTCAACCACCGCTATAATAACCGGAGTCAAACGGCCACGGTCCGCTCCAGCGGACGAAGGAGAGGGCGGGTTGGGCTGGGTTGGGTAAGCCCCGCGGAAACGGGTGAAGTGAGTAACGGGGGAAAGTACCGGGGACTGGGACTGGGACTGGGGCTGGGGCTTGGGGGCTTGGGGGCAGAGGGGCGGGGCGAGCGTGTAGGGCAGGGGCCTCGAAGAAAGCGGAGAGGAAAGGGGACGATTTGCTCGTGTAAACTGGATGGTGGTCCGAACAAGAGTAGGCGGAGAGGATGGCGGGGGTAGAGGGAGGGATGATTGATTGATTGCGGCCCTTGAGCAATTTGATGGAGGGTAGGTGGGTGCGGGTGCGGGTGCTGCCCTTGCGCCGAGCAAGCTACAACGAGTGAGCAAGATGGCGGGAGGACAAAAGTGGTCAGGTCGTTAGCCCTCTCTCTCTCTCTCTCGCTCGCTCTCTCGCGTTTTCGGTTTTCGGGTCAACCAGCGAAGCGAAGCGCAGGGAGCGAGGAAGTTGCAGGCATTCTGAAGCTCGTCTATTTCGTTCGTTCGTACGAGCCAGATTCATGATAAGTGAAGGGAAGGGGAGGAACGCACGCACGCACAGTGGGCGGGTGATTAATACACCCACTTTTCGATTCGGGCGTGGGCTGCGAACAGTTAGAACGCGATAGACCACAGCGAAGAGTTGGTGTTATCACTGTTCAAGAGTTGGTTTGTGAATTGAAGAAGATCTGCAAGTGCCATTACTTCCGTTCTCAGAGCTTTGGAGTCATCGTGCATGCGGGGATTGAAGTGCGAGGCATCGGTGGCTTGGCGCCACAATTAGCTTCTCGAACCTGCAGGCTCCGAGCATCATCAACCACCTCCAATTGCTGGGCCCTGCTCTCGCAATGACAGACGCTGAGTGAGAGAGTGAGTGAGTGATTGAGTGATTGAGGGCTCGCTCCCAGCGTGCATATGTTGGCAAGCCCCTCTCCCATCTCCAGACAAGAACCAATCTGCCGATCGCAGGCCGAGACTCCGAGGAGCTCACTGTGACCATAAGTTGCAGGTCAGAGCGAGCAATCAATCCCGAGACGATAGAAAGACCGAACAGTGGCGAGAGCGAGCGGTCGTGTCAGGCATCGACTTCACGGCGAATGGTGTACGCTCGCCAATTGCAGGGTCCACATTGCGCAGACCTCTCGTCGTCGTCGTCATCGTCGTCATTGCTGCCGGAGCACTGGCATTGTCTCGAAAATCGGTGGGGATCGAGTAAATCGATCTGCTCATGCACAGACGCTTTGCCAGGAGTTAGCATCACAGTGAGGCAGGGAGGCAGGGAGGCAGGATTCGGGCAGCAGCACAAGGGCGCGAGAATTGCAGAATGCGGTCCTCGGGGCTCAGCCTTAGACGACGAGGACGATGATAGTCGGTCCGTGGGCAGTTAATGAGGCGAGAAGCGAGAGAAGTGAGAGGAGTGAGAGGAGTGAGCGCAGCGGAGTGCGAGACAGAGAGAGCGGGCGCGCAGCAGACGACGACAAGTCCGGAGCGCGAAGCGCTTTTGTAGATCTCTGAGCAACGACGACGACGACGTGCATTAAGTAGCAATTGCCCATTAAAGTGGCCGGGCTCCGTCGGGGCAGTGGTCCAATGCTGGCGTGCCTGGTTTGCACTCGCACTGTCGATGATGTCGGGGGCGGAGGCGAGGGTCCGCATGGCAGCGAGACCAAGACCATCAGCACCAAGCATGGCCTCCGCCTCTTCACTTTTCAGGTTCGTGTCTCTCTCCAGCCTTCCCCTTCCGCTCCCTGCCGTCCCTTACGCACCCCCGCGGCCAGCCCCAGCCCCAGCCCCAAGCCCCAAGCCCCAAGCCCTCAGCCCCCCGCGCAGCCCCGCGCCAGCCATCGAATCGAGGCGAGGCAAGTTGCGACGTCCGACACCGCGAGCGAACAAGTTGAGGGGAGGGGGCTCGGAAAAGAAATGACGCCAAAGGTCGTGTCAGAGAAATATGGAGGGAAAGCTCGTCGAGAGATGTTCGCTCGCTCGCTCGCTCGTCCTCGTCCTCGTCGGGGGGTTGGGGGAGAGAGCGCGAGTGGGAGAGTGGGACGAGGTTCCCCGCGAGCATCTGCTTATCTGAGAGCCGTTTTGTCGTATTCTAAATTTGGTTTTTTGGGAGGACTCCAAATTTGAATTCTCCTCGCGCACGAGCAACGTCGTCGAGATGTTTCCCCACCCCCATTTATAAGGGTCCGTGTTGCCCGTTGAGTTCTCTGAGCTCTCGCAGCAGCAGCCCCCATTAATAAGTCGCCACAGAATGTTCGGTTCTCCCCTCATTCATACATTCATCCATTCCCTGCCTGCCTCCTCCTCCTTCGGTCCCTCTGAATCCTAGCCACAGTCTCATGAATGCAGAGGCTTCGTAGCTTACATAGCTCTCTCGGATTTGCCAACTGCTGGCTTTGACCGGTTGACTCTCCCAAGGCAGAGACGAGGCTCAGAGGGGAGTGATTGAGCTGGTTCGCCAAGAGAGAAAATGGTTCAGGAGATCATAGGCTACCATGAGTCGAGGTTCAAGGATGTTGAGCCGAGATGGGATGCAACTGCCACTTGCATCTCCTTCCATCAGGTGATTCCCGAGAGCTTCTTCCGCTGTGGAGAGCATGATGGGCATGAGCACGGGATGCTTACGCATTCCGATGAATCACACAGAATTGCTCCCTTCCAATTCATGCATCGATCGGTTTAGATGATCAGCGGATCCTGACAGGGCTTGTGAGTCCTGTTCTCCAGAGGAACAGCTATGACTGTACTGTCTTGACTCACGATCAGTCCAACTTTTTTCATCATGGTCTCACTCTTGGCTCTGATTTTTCTTGTCATTGCAGCTCAAGCAGATGGCCTCCAGATTCACCGCCGGAGCTCTGTACAAAAACTGCAGGCCCGGCTGTGTTCAAGTGACCAGGCATGATATGCCCAATGGCAACCCGGTCGTTCATCCGTCTTCAGATGAAGCTCATGAGACCCACAGTCCTCAGTTCTCGTTGAAGAGTTATAAAATAGACGACAGGGCACGCACTCCTGGTCGTCAGGATCCGTGCTCCACGCCTGAGATTACAGACTTCAAAGGCACTCCACTGAAATCAGTGAGGCCACTGCGGCGCATTCAGTCCCAATCAGCCTTGAGCGATGATGGATCAGTCTATGGAACTCCAAGTCCTGTCACCGTTGTCAAGGGTGTGGACAGTGAGTGGGTTGCTCAAGTGGAACCGGGAGTGTACATCACCTTCTTCTCGTCTCCAGACGGTTTTAATGATCTGAAGCGGATCAAATTCAGGTGATTGATTGATTGTTGCGTTCACAGAGGGATGACTTGGAGATCAAACGTAGAGAGTAGAGAGTGACTGTGTTTTCTGGGTACCTAGTGCATGAACCAACCCCCGTACCAGATGTTTTGACAGAGCGCAGTCAACTTCGACTCCTTAAGATTTCTCTCCTGCAGTTTTCTCATGAGCTCTCTGTATCACTGCAGCCGTAACATGTACAGCAAGGAGCAAGCAGAAAGTTGGTGGACTCAAAACTGCGCGATGGTTCGGGAGTTGTACAATGTTCGCCCCCCGTCCTCGACAGCGGTGGATGATGATGTAAGCATTGGTTCTGCCGGTGACATCCCTTTTTGACGTGTGCGTCGTTGTGTTTGACACTGAATGTGAATGCACCTCGTTTTCTTGAACGTTGAGCTGGTCTGAAACCTCAGCATTGCTGAGCTGGATATCCCGCGTCTGGAGGCCTACTTTCGTGTGGATACACGTCTCCAAATCGCCTTTGCGCTCGACGTTGTTTCTAAACATGGAGTGCCTGATGAGCTTTGCGTCTTTCGTTGTTGCTCAATTCAAAGCAGTCCACTTTTCTTACCAACCTTGCATTATCGTGATACAGCGGTTTTCCTCTGGCTACGCAACTCCAGACGCTTACAGCAACAGCCACAAGAGTCCTTGTCATTCCTACAACGGCGACTATCAACTCACGAAGAGAAAGGTTGCGACTGATGCTCGAAGCATCACCTCCGAGAAGAGTGAGACTGGAAACGAGTGGGTCGAACAAGATGAGCCAGGCGTCTACCTTACCATAATATATGTCCAAGGAGTTGGCAAGCAGCTCAAACGAGTGCGGTTTAGGTGAGTCACATTGCTGACCCGCCAGTCCGCTCTTCTCGACGTCATTCAATGTCTTGCTTTATGGACGCCTTGGAGATACTGGCTTTTGACATCACTCTGGATAGTCAGGCTTACGCTCATTCAATTTGCATACTCGCTCTTATCATGTGCACTTTGTGTGGGGACTTGTCATGGTTTTATATGCTCTCAAGAAAGCAATCAATAATTCTCTTCCATTTTCTTCCTGCAGCCGGGACAAGTACTCCGAAGCAGAAGCATCGTTGTGGTGGGATCAGAACAAGCAAAGGGTTTACGCAAGGTATATTGGTTCCAAGCCTGGGACAAGTTAAGCATTACTTCTGCTTACTTCGTCTCTCATCTTTTCTGAGCCAGATGATGGCTACCGTAGCCTGCTGCTTGGTTCCTCACGACGGAGGAAATGGACGTGGGAGTTTATTTACTCCACCGGACAAGCGGGTTTCATTCTTTGAGAAGTTATCCTGCGCAACACTCTTGTTGCGCCGATCTACGTCACCCGTAGGAACGTCGCATGCTGCTACACAGCTGTATCATATTCGTTTGAACCATGTACAAAATTTTCAAGCAAACATCATATTTGCAAGATAGTGCAACCGGGGCGGAGTTCTGGGGCTATTGAAGAAGCGAGGCCATGGTCAGAGGGCATACACACGGAGGATGGAACAAATCAAGCTGTTGACGCTCGTTGCCCATACGAGTCTTCCGAAGTTTGTGTTTCAGCAGTCTCTGTGGAAAACATCGACATGTCTTTCCTGGATACATCTGATTGTGATGGAAAACTCAGCTTTTCATATTTGGAGTGGGTTTTTCCGATCTCGGTCACATGTATCTGGTCACGAATGACCTTTCTCAGCACACGATTACTGCAGGGGCGAATGTGGACCTGTTCCGAACAGTCCTCGTTCTCGGCAGCAGATCAATGCAATGCCCTCGGGGTGAACCATCAGCTTGCCACTTCACATTCTCTCACAAGCGGTCTCTTACAAGGACGATCGATAGGGCACTGCGTCCTTCATAATCGAGTCTGGAGTTGTTTTACTGCTCTAACGCTTGGTTATGATGGACTTCGCTTGTTCCTGACACCTTGTGGGACACCAGCTGGTTTCGTGAATCTGCCCATCTGTGTTTCTGTGATGTCCACATACTGCCTCCTGGGAGACACATCTCATTCCCTGGTCTGAACGCTGGGCCGTCTGGAGGATTCTACTGGAGGCATTTCGCTGGTCGAATGCAAAGGCTTGGTCGATGCTTGGGGTTAGCTGATAATTATGTTACTGCTGTTGCTCCCTGGATAACCATAACCGAGGTTAGAGGGGAGTTTCAGTCACAAACTCTTCCTTGCCTCAAGCATTTGAAGTGCTACATCAAAATCGAAGAGCCGTGTTTATTACCAGACTTCCTCGGGTCTTGTGGACACACAGGAGTAATGCTCAAGAGAATCAGGGCGTGATGTTAGTGGTGCATGCACAGGCTTGTGTGCTTGGGGGTGAACGATTACTCTAGTGAGTGTCTGCAGTTCTTGTAACCAGGTAACGTATGTTGCTGAATAGTTAGAGCTGTCTTTGAAATCAATATATCAACCTTAGTGTGGCGGTGTGCACCCCGGAGACAACCACAATGCCAGTCGGTTGTCTGCCTGTGGTTGCCAGAGCACACTAGTTATTTTGAACAGATTGTTGAACTCGAACAGTTCGGATGTCAGGAGAGCCCCGAGATGCTATCTCGGTGTCTCTTCACCATCCATAACAGTCTCACGTGAGAAATCTATCGGGCTGTCGATGTAACAGTTGACGATGCGTCCTGGATCATTTCAAATCGTGACAGGTTTGATCTTTTGTAAGAAAGTTTCCATCTCCACGTTTCCAGTACTTGCATGGCTTTTCGCACGGACTGCTTGCTATTCGGGGAATGTCAAATGCTGTGGGATGTTGAGTAAGAATAAAAATGAATGCGTGACAAAAGATTTGAGCTTTTTAAAGAATGTTTTGGAATGGGTAAAAGATCGGAACGATAAAACTACATGTGAATAAAAATGAATGCGTGACAAAAGATTTGAGCTTTTTAAAGAATGTTTTGGAATGGGTAAAAGATCGGAACGATAAAACTACATGTGATTCAGCTCTATTTCGAATCAATTCTCTATCAATACAACGTCGAAGGGTTTCATACACCTGTGCACTTCATGTAATGACGTAGATGGTTTCCATCGCCTTTCATGCGCTCCGTTCCGTTCCATTCGCAAGGCAATCATAAAGAATTCAAATGGCCCGCGCTAGTGGATAGGAGATGTAACGTTCAGGCGCTCCCGTGCATTGCGGTGCTCTGTGAAGGGGCGCTTCGAGGATTTCCTCTCATGAAAAAAAAAAATTAGTAAATGTTTCACTCCGTCTCATCTCACCTGAACTCCACCATGCAGCTTGGCACACAGTCAACGGTCAACGGATGCTCTAAAACGGTGTGTCGTCAAACGAGCCGCAGTTGCACGGAAGTTCAGAAAATCTGCTAAACCGAAGATGGGTCGAGCAGACTCGTCCTTTATTTAGGAGTGGATGGAATGGCGGCTCCTTCGTCTTCGGCTGGCTGAGTGTAGGGCTGTAGTGGTGGGCAAGTTGGTCAACTTTGACTGGATTTGGATTCCAGTGAAGGCCGAGTGAGCAATGACACTGGTAAGAAAAAGCTCTCCCAGCACCGCCAAGAATCCAGAAAGCCCAAGGACACGAGCTTCATACAGGAGATAGACTCAAGGTCAAAGTGGGCAAGGCAAATCTTCGAGTACCTTTCGCTGCTGCTTCCATGGCAGCAGCAGCAGCATCGGATCCAGTCGTTGACGACGAATACTCGAAGCATGACCGTCGAAGGACAATGTCAAGAATGGGGGATAAGTGAGAAGACCCAGAATAGAAATTCCATCATTGGGCACGAAGTTCAATGGACTTCGGTTCAGGTCAGTCCTTTCTTGCTCTGCCTGCTCTCTTGCCAACCTTTAGAGCCCTTCACGTGATGGAATGTCACCTCCCCTCTTCTCGGCTCAACTTCGCTTCTGCGAATCGTCCAGTTGATCAGATTCGTCCTCTGAACCCTGAATGCTCACTTCCTCCTGCATCATGCGCTGTCATTCTCCTCCTGCGGTGAAGAGAAAGGATCAAAACCACACAATCAATTTACTTGAGTTACGTTGTATTCTGTATGCCATGCTCTGGATGTAACTTGGCATGGATTCCTTTCTCATCATGTAGTCGAAGGAAGTTTTTAATCCAGAAGCAATTCGTTGGTGGCAGCAGAAACGATCCTGAACGTGTATTTCGGAAGTATAAATGTTCCAGACGCTGGACTCGCCTCTCTCACGAGATAAGCACTTTGCCTGCGAATGTCCATTCCTCGGCCGCCAGCGAGTCCAGTCGAGTTACCACCATCCTTTCAGACTGTGGTGCAACTGGTGCAAAAAGTGGTCCCTCAAATGTGTATGTCATTAGCAAGATACGATCGCGACGGAACCATGTACATGACTCCTTCAGCTAATCTGGAGCTGTATTGAACTGCAATTTTTTTTGTCGATTGATCAGGTGCTGCCCCTTTCTGTTTGAGTGGTCCGTAACCTGTTCATTAATGACCACGAAGTATCGTCCACTGGTTTGCATATTGTAGAGGCATCTCCCAAGTTCAGAAGGAAGGCTTGCTTCGCTACATGCAACAGAACAAGTGGACGAGACCAGGGTTTCGTGTTACAGCCAGGGTGACTGGACCACAGACCAGACCAGCTGCAGCGTTGCCCATACATACTGCGCTCGTTCAAGTAGGCAACGGAGTCATGCATGCTCACGAGAACACACACTAAACCATTTTGCCTGCATGACTGCCAGTCTTCAGATTTTGTATGTTGCCACCATCCTGAATGTGGAACAGCAACATTATCCACTTATATGCCTCCTGAAGTTGCAAGGGTGGCAAGGGGGGCAAATATGCCACTTTGGATTAAAATGCTGGAAGTCATGTGCATGATCTGTTCATCACCTTCCCTCCAAATATCTTGGAATACCCGATTGTAAAAACCTGACTGAACCTTTCAGAGTTTCCGAGTTCGAGTTTTCCCTTGTTGGTTATTGAAAGGTTTGATTGGGTTGCAAAGAACTGTGATCTAGGACTTCAGACAGTAAAAATGGTACCGGTGAGGTAACAGGGAGCTTAATGCCAAGCTCCATTCTCTTATGGTGAGGACACTTCATCCATCAAATTGATCTGCATAAAAATACCTGTAATAGTCTTGTTCTAGCAAATAATTGTGAAAGTTTAGTGTGATCATCAGCACTAACGAGCTCCATAGGTGGGATATAGCCCAGATAAAGTACTGCTTCCTCATTTTTGGTCTTGCATCCATGGGCTGACATTGGACCATTATTTTGGTGTTGCAAGTTTTATTTATTTTCAGTCGAAGATAGAGTGCAGGTGTCTCTTATAACGTCGTCTATGCAAATAAAATCGGTTGCAAGTTTTCACCACATCGAGAGATCTAAGAGTATCGTGACTGGTGCAGAGTGACAATGTCATTAGATTAATGAGTTTAAACTAGGTGTATCTAGGTGTACGTGGATTTATTTAACTGTATGCTCCTGTTTGGTTGTACCTAGCGGTGCTTTTGATGTTCAGGCATAATTGAATTGGTTTGAACTGAATTTTGAGGAAAAAATAGGTTGGTGTATGGTCTTAGTGTATGTATATAAATCCAGATGTGCTAGACATGTATGTTAATATTCTATGCCAATGTCCAGAAAATTTTATAAAACTATAAACTATTTACTCTCTTTTTCCTAAAAAAAGGCAATACAGTTCTCAATTCCGCCTTGATCAGTTTATAAATTTAACTGGACTAATTGAATCCCATTGATGTAAAATAAAAGTTAGACTGAGAAGAAAATAATCAAGTTTGAATTTTCAGAATTTAGTACGTAAAATTTTCAAATTTACCTATACCATACAATAAACACTTCAGAGAAATTTTCTAGTCATTTAACAATAATCTAAGGCATAAAACGATAAATTTTATTTCAGTGTTATTTCAACTTTGGAATTATATAACTCTAAGTATAACAATTATCTTTCTTCCTTTTTGAGCCATCGGATAACAATTGTGTTTGTAAATTAATATGTTGCATTCAATTTTTATTATCCATAAGATGTAGGCCCTTTCTCTACAAAAAAATATTCGATCATATGATATTATGGATAAAAAACAGTTTTTGAATATTTTAGACTAAAAGTAAAATTTATTTCGATCTTGATGTTTATACAGTTTAAAAGTTTTATTCCTATATCTTAATAATCAATTTAAATTGATTATTAAGATATATGAATAAAAATTTTATATGATGGTGATATTTCTGTTCTCTGATAATCTATTCTAATTAATTTGATCTGAAATATATATATATATATATATATATATATATATGAACTACGTATATAGACATGTATATTCATATACATGTCTAGGGACAAAAAGCCTAACAAATAATTTTTTTAGGTTTTTGGCAGATAATAAATAAGCTAGAGTAATCATTCTTATGGTTTATAAATAAGCTCGGAACTTGGTGCACTTGCAAAGATTATCAAGAGATTTTATAAAAAAAAGTGAGCTAACCTTGGGAATCTCTCAGCTGGTATGAAGCACAAACATTAGTCTTAAATATCGTCAATCTTGTATACAAATTTTCCTAATTTAAGGGTTTTTTATGATGTTTGTTTACATTTTCTACGATGCAGTTTACACTTTAATGTCTAGGATCTTCATATGATTGCATAAATTCATTCAACAATGTACTTTATGCTAATTATCTATTATCATTATAATTCACATTCTCGAAAACAGCAACAGGTTTGAACTCAACATATATCTAACACCAGAGTATGGTGAACAGAATATATTTCCAAATGAAAACAGAAATTAAACCTGGAACTTGAAAATATTTCACACTTAATATTGGAAAATTCCTGTAAGGTAAACATCTCGTTTATTTAGAGTCATTTTGACACATTTGTAAAATCAATCTACTGTTGTCATAAACAAGATCATTTATACTTACAATTCTTGTCATATATTATGACAAAAGTAGTCCATGTATAATTACGAGAGTTTAAAAAATAACATTAACCTGAATTCAGTTGACATATTTAGATCTAGTTTTTATTATATATGTCAAAAATTAGATTCTAACAGTTTTAAAGTATACTTGATTCTCGTTTTAATTAATCTCAATTCACCTTTCATTGAATTCAACGCAATTATTGTGGATCAAATGTACAAATAGATTTTATCATCCAAATTTGGTAATGTAACCCATATCATGTAATTAGTTTTTATTTGTCTCCCATTTCTACTTCAAACTCAATGAAATTCACACTAACGATACTTGTTTCAATATGTACTTATCAAGTCCACTCAGTCCAGGCTAAATCCAAGATCTTATTAACCAAGCATTTTTTAAGTGTTTTTTATCCTACACAATAACACTTTGCTGCAAATCACAGCTTAAATAATAGATACAGATTTACCAAATCTACCTCGAACTGCAGATAATCCAATATTTTTCTTTGCCAATCCAACTTCGAAAGTCGAAGTTGATGGAGTCCCGATTCAGATTCTATTATAGAGTTCGATCAATGCCATGGAAACTTCTCCATCGAAATTGGATGTGAAAATACATTTGAAGAGCTGACCCTTTATTTCGAAAAATATTAACATGATAAAGATATATCTCAAAACTCGGCGCTGTGTTACATCTTTAACGTATCTGCCTGTTCCTTGGCATTTTTGCGGACTTAAATTTTTTTTAAGATTTTTAGTGAGTTTAAATGCTTGCTGTTGGGGCCTCTGT